CATACACTACTATGTTTGTTTTAAACAACTCACCTATACTGTTGTGTTTGTAAAAACTATAATTATAGTTAATGGTAAGAAAATGAGTTCACACTATGTTTGTAAAAACAAAATAAACATACATCTCAACCGAATTACAACGTTACAATTCATTAGGTACGGTATCAAACATTTGTAAGATTTCATAACTTGTCATTTTTGTTGTTGTGCATTACCAAATGTTCCACGGGTAAACAAGTCATATGCTGGGGGTTGACCCTATTGTGTGTCGATCAATGATTATAACTTTGTAAGCCAAACACAATTCAACACGTGTCAGTGTCTCAATGCGTTCGCTGTAAAACCATTAGTTCTAGTACCCACTGTACTATAAATTATTGAAAAGTACAAAATGCTTTTGATGGAAGCGCAAAAGGTAAACAAACATGTATTATGTACGCATTAATGGTATAGTCGGTCAGTCAGTTATTGATATTTTTTCGTAATATTCCGTTATTACACCAACGTACACATCTTTCGTGATTATAATATTTTATCAATCATGTTCGGATGTTTTTTACAATATCACTCGGTTGGTTACATTTCTAAATATCAATTTAAATGTTTAATCAGTATATTATATTTATAGTTTTTCAGCAAACTAATTATTGCACACTGGCATTTTTTTTTTTTGTCTTCTCGACCACTTTAGGAAACGACTAAGCTGAATATAACCGACTACCTATATTATGTATATAGGTAGGTATATATAATATAATAATAATACATTATGTGTACAGCTAACATTTTTTTTTTTACTTAACATTTATTCTTATCTCCTTCGCTCTTGCAGTGCGCATGTTATCCATATGTGAGCATATTTTTTTTTTTTTGCATGCGTCGTATCTTCTTTACGCAAATATCAAACGTGTGAAGATTATAATAATAAAAAAGAAATAGTAATCCGACTCGAGAAACAAAATTCTCTCGTTATGGCTTCGGCGCAGAGATACCTATTGGTTCTACAACATCGTATTTATTTATTTATTATTATTTGTTTTTTTATGTGTCTGCACATTTTTTTGATGCGTTCTCATTCCCATGGCCCACCATTTCTTTGTGTAACTCATCTATTGATCATACATGGTACTTAAATGCGATGAATGCAAAACACGGTACTTATTACCTCGGGGCTTATAGACAGGATAAAAGTGAAAAAGCATGCGCTTTACTTTATTTACTACCGCGCCTTCCCGTATTTGTTTTTATTCAAACGTGTAACGTCAGTAAGTTTAGGTTTTTGACGTACACAGTATATTTGCAGATACCTAATACAGTTTTTAATCAAGACTAGCAGGTATAATATTATTTCCATCATGGTGGTTTGTTAACTTTTTAGCTACACCAGTTATCGTATATGTATTATATTTTTCAGGTCTATGGCACAAATTTAAACGTTCAACCAGAACTGAAACGACCTCAGTTACTTAGTCTACCACCCGTAGAGGGATGTACATGTGCCAGGTATACGTTAATTTATTGTTATTTATTGTATAATAATGTACATGCATGTACTGTAGAACGGAGAACATAAAATTCTGCTTACCTGCAACTCGTATAATATACCCTCGATGTCGGAGGAAGGATACAGTGCAGGGCAAAAACTGAACAACACGCCGGTTAGGTACCTATCCAAAACGTGTACACCTTTGTAATTTTTTTTTTCTTTAAAAGGGACGGAAGACGTTGACAGTAAATACACAATTTTTGACTTTCGAAATAAAACGGTAACCGTTTAGAATGGAGTACTATATTATGTTAGGCTATACATGCATATATTATTATGAGCAATCGGTGACGGGTTTACCAGTCATGAAATAATCAATTAAAACCAAAACCAATTGCTCTTCAAATGGTATTACATGATATAAATTGTACATTCGATAATGATACATTTATTGTTACACGCCTAGTAATTATATTTAAAATTAGATAAAACTCCAACTTGAAGCTTCGATTCGTTTTTGCATGTTTTTAAAATAATTAACCATGCAGCTAAATATTTTCTAACATCATAATATAATGTTACAGATGACATGCATACACCAAAGTATTATGTTACTATTATTATGTGATATTTAACGTTTATGCAAACGTTTTAACCTGTGCGCCGCAGGCTAAACAGTACCTTTTTTTTTAGGTTTGGGGCGTGTGACCGTGATTGGGTTAATAAAAAAAAAACAGGTCATACACTAAATTTGTGCAGTGTTTAAACCCATATAAGTTTTTTCACACATGCTATAGGCATATGTTAGACCTATTCTCGGACTAATTTTCAGCTCTAAAATCCTAAAATTGCGCCTAAAAAATAGAAAAAACTTCCATCTCCCCCAGGGGGCGGGGTTTCGAAATTGGGTTTGAAGGCATGGTTGATAGAGACATGCGTAATCGATGTTCTATAAAAATATCGAATTGACTCCACTATTTTTCTCGAAGTATAGCAAGTAAAAGACGGTTGAAAACCGGTTAACTTTTTTCGTTATTCCTGGTTTCGGGGCTGAAGGAGTTGACTTTTTCTTGTAAACCACGAATATACCATCTGCATTTGATCCCGGTGTATACAGAGGTGCTACACGAATAATTCGATCCACAGGAAAAAAGTTATAGTGTCTACAGGCATAAAAAAAAACATCATTATAAAACCAATACCTTCTCGGCTATCGCATCGAAGCTAAAATAAAAATAGTTCTAAGCCGCACAACTGTTGTTATTACACCGAAATGTTTTTTCACATCTAATTATTCATGTTACCCAATAGCCTATGACCTATGATCGAATTGAATCTAGTGCCAATAATGAAAAAAAATCGTATTAACGCATTTTTAAGGCGTTCGGTATAGGCAATTTGCTTACAACCCCTTAGAGCTGAAATCGTTTTCTATATGTTTCAGGCTTGTATTAAGAATACTTTCTATTTTTCTAAAAAAACCCAGTCTCTCGCTTTACCTGTACAGCTCTTTTGAAAATTCAGGTAGAACACTTTCTTTAACGCTTTGTAAAACACATGAGATGTTCCCACTCGAATAGATTTTTGGTAATTTTAAAAGCCAAATCATTATTAAAATTTCCAAAACAATATTTTATTTTTTTACTAATAGCTTAAAAAAAATAATTATGAAAATAAAAATACTCTGGCATAGTATAGATATTGATCTTTCTATTAATGTCGACATCATATATTTTAATATAAAGGTAACTCAAACATACTAGTTCAGATCATTCATGTTTACTCTAAGGTTCACATTGATATTAACTTTGAACTGTGGGCATAAATTAAATTTCGTTTTTCATTGGAAGTTGGAACCAAAACGATAAAAAGTGAGCATGATCAAGAAATAGTAAAAACTAAAAATCTAAATATGAGGGATTAGAGTAGCAAAAGTAGCTAACCAAAAATAACGTGGACGGGAAGTTTATAGTTGTGTGTTATTTATGGGAACGCGAAGGTGTGCGAATACTGGCGTGACGGGTAAAGAAGTGTGAAGGAAGAATACTAGAGCGGTTGACCTTACTCGAAAATATTATATACCTAAGGCAAAGAGATGCGGATGTAAGGAGCTATAATTATTTGTATTTATACATTGGAAAAAAAAATATGTGTACATTAATTAATTTCAAATTAAACGAGAACTGTTTAATGTATGTGTATATTTAATTAATCATTATTTAAGTTCATGTTATGTTCAAAAAAAACATGCACGTATCGACAGAACCTCGTGCAGAACAATAATACTGTACATTTGACATGAAATAACATAATGTAGGCAAATATTGAAATAGAAGAGCGGTAATAATAATTGTGTCGTTGTTCTGTCGTGTCAAAAAACCAAACCATACATACGCAATTTCTCAGGGACGCTTTTGTAAATGTGTTTCTGCGAAATTCAAAATAAAACTAATAAATTTTGCGTGCAAACTTTTTTAACGCGTGTTTTGGCGCGTTTATATTCATGTTGACCGGGGTCGACGTTCTTGTCGTGGCTGTTCTTGGACAGTTACCAAATTATTATAATTGAATAGAATTTTTTAAGTTTTTTGTTTGTTACTAGTTATTACGTTTAACACGCGTGTCGTAACAAAAGAAGTATCAGTTGTGTCCGTAACTCATAACAAAGCTTGGTGGAGTTAATTGTTCGACAATTATCCTGCTCTCAAATGGGCATATCTACCTCGTAAAAAAAAATCGAACAATTTATTTAAATGATCATTTTAAAACAATTATTCGAAAATAAATTAAAATTTAATTTGGATAATTTTAAGGGAGAGTGTCATAAAAAAAAAAATGTTTTACTGTTTTGGTCTTATGTAAACTAGTGTTCGGGATTCATATTTCTAAGGTTCAAATCTGGCTTGGATTGAGTATTAAATTTAAAAGTGGTATATAATTTAGTTTAAAATGGAGAGATAAGAATATAGACGCATTTAAATTTAAAATAAAATAATTATAATTTATATTGTGTTTAGTATACAAATTTAATGACGTACGCAAATATTATTTTGTTAGCACATAACTCTGAGAAATTAGAGCGTATACTTTTTAAAGTTGGTATTCTCATTAGTATAAAGCTTAAAAGGAAGTATACATACATAGTAATTAAAATTATTATTATGGACTAATAGACATTGAGCTTCGGAATTAAAGCGCTGTTTTATTATTAATACAAAATGCCTAATAATATGTTTGATTGACAATGCAATAATTATTATAGAATATTTTTTCTGGAACGTAATACGACTTTTAAAAATAATACGTACTTATCCTATAAAATTTAACTATAAAATAACAACAATTGAGCTCTATTAAAATTACAATTACAATATATAGTAAACAAAGTAATTGTCGATAGAATTGAACAAACGCGTACCTAATAAGTAAGTAATGTAATATTTATCAAAAAATAACCTAAACAATTAACACATGATTATGTAGTAAAATAAATAATTAAATGTATAAAATCGACTTCACTAATCATTTAAATTGTAATTAAACGAAAACATATACTGACCATTATCACTGTAAGGGCTACAAGTTAACTTTCAACATTAGAAAAACGCCCTTCTAGCAATTCGTCCAACCACTCCAAGAGATTCGTAGCCACCGAAGCGAAATCTTCCCACTGTTTGTACTCTGTTGCTTTCTCCTCGTCAGAGGACAATAACGCTGTGAATAATTGTTCCTCGTCTACAAGATCATGAATATGTACACAATCAACAATAATAATAATAATAACGACAATGTCACTCTTATGCCGGTATGCATATAGTGTATTCTTTTACCGTTTGATTGGTCAGTTCAGTCTGAATGAGTTGTTAAATTTATAAAAAAATGTTGATCGGTCCGGCATTAGTTTAATATAGTTACATGTATGAGTTACATGTTATCGGCATACGTGTTTTTGATTATTATTTCAAAATGAATAACTAATTGATAAATTAACAAATGTACTTGCCGGTGAGTCTGACCAGAGTATCTAAAACGACCATGGGGTCGTCAGGGAAACAGTCAGTGCCAGAACACACGTTCCACAGGGTCTGGCAAATCAACAAGTATAGGGTCCAGTCGCGTTCGTCAGAGGTTTTAAGAATATTCACAATTTTAGAAATGCCACCATAACTCTTAAAAGCCTCTCGGCTGTCTTCGTCGGACGTCATGTTGACCAAAACACCGCAGCAGACGATTATCAGTTCACGGTCTCCGCTTTCCAAACAATTGGTTAGCGCCAACAATCCTACGATGAGAAACAAAACGACAATTTCAATTTTTAAGCTTTTTCCTACAATGACATTATAACTAATGAAAAAAAAAAAAATGTACTGTTGAAACAAAACCTTAGCTGGTGTCTTTAGACGTATAGAGTCAGTATACCTTACTTATGAGATGTTTTTTTTTTAATTTAACAGCGTACTTGAGTAAATATTTGTAAGTATCTCCATGATTAAAAGTTCCTATTGCTAAATCAACGTCCAAAGAATGGATATTGAAATATATAGATTACATAGAAATAATCAAGGTTAGTGATAATTAATATTGGACTCTTAGAGATTTTAGTCTTTGGACAAATTACGTTTCACCATTATTGTTTCAAAAAATGGTCAATTCGTAGGTCGAACAAAGACCTTAATATGATATACATCCCTAATCCCTCTTATCTAGAACATACCTTCAAATTCCTTTAATGTTATCAAATATGTTGCACATGTGTGTTTCAAAGGTGACACAAGTGAAAAATTAATGTTTTGAGAAAATTACGTAAAACTGTTAAATGAGCCTATCAAAGAGCATTTGCATAACTAATAGTTTTTTTTGAAATCGTATAGGTGCTAGGAAAAAAATGATTCAAAATAATTTTTGCATACTTTGAGAACTGATTCCTTAAGTCTTACTGTTACGATTATTTTACTTGTATCAATTTTAAATAATGAAACACATGCGTGGTGTGATAAAATTTTTCCTCGTCGCGACACCCACAGTTTAAGAACCTAATTGATCCTAATTGAATAAAGATATTGTCTTTTGCCCGTCTATAATATTTGGAAACAACCTTCTACCAGCTCATAATATAGTTTCTTTTCTTCAAATTCCGTTATTTTGTTTTGTTACCTTCATAATGAATAAATTGTAAGCTTTCACTACATATTATGTTTGATTGTTCTGCTATGGCAGCTAAAAAGAATTGAATTCTTTTATTTCCTTCACAACATTCACTATTAATATTTTTAAATCTCGTTCGATCTCTATAATTTTCTTCAAATTTTTTAATTTTACTATGACATTTTCAATTATCTTTTAATAAGTATTTATAGGGCAATTCAAAGACGTTACGATACCACGAGTACCCTATAAGGTTACGCTAGGGTTCTACATTACGCGATATGTCCAATAAAGAAACATTTGTGATTTGCATAACATATATTATACATTATTATTATGTTATAAATAATGTATAGGCTGTTATTTCATTAGTTGTCAAGTTTAATTCTAAGTGTGCCTAAAAATGCATTTATTTGGTAATAGTTATTCCATTAGACATTATATATTACTAAAAAGTTACAGTGCACTTTAATACTGTAACAAAGTTGACAAACTGATAACTTGAATTGTGGCATTAATTTCTGTTAGTCTATTGTTTAACAGTCACTTACGTATTTGAGTATTTCATTGTTATACTATAAATATGATTTCCTTTTAATAAATAAATATTATAATACATTATCAAGTCTAAACAGTGTTAGCCTTTAAGTCATATATGATATACTGATGAGTTATGACATGTAAACGGAAGAGTATTTTTTAAAGAATACAAATACAATTTTGACTTTATCTTTCACTACTGAGTATATAATTTAAACTTATTTTTTTAGTTATTCCTATAAAAATTAAGTAAGTATATCTAACTAGTGTTAGGGTGGAGTGTAGAGTAATTTTTATCTGCGCGCATTACTCAACCGCACTCTATCCCCGTCCTAAATTTTATTAATTTGACAACAATTTATTCAAAACTGGTTATCGACCAGGCAACGTTTTCAGCGAATTATTTTTAATTAAATAGTTATTAAAAGTAACCATTTAAGTTTCAAAAGTTGATAATGCTCTAGCAATTACCAACAAATATTAAAATTGAAATATTGTCTAATATTATAATGCAACAGCCAACATAAATACAAATGTTTTCAAAAAGAAACACTACAAAATTTACTATAAGTGTAAAACTAGTGTAGGGCGTTAAAATAATTACACAGTAGTAAAATAAAGTCATTATATATATCTACAAATCGAAATTAGAATTGGCTATCGATGACGATTGTAAATATGAGGAGGATGATGAGCACAAATTCGATTCAACCTTCAATTATCGTTTTATGTTTTTCCTAAACTCACACATGCGTTTTTTTTAAATTAAGTTAATACAGTTTGAAAACGTATTTTCAATAGGCAAGTACCCGTCGTCAGTTATTTTAATTTATTCGAACAAACATGTATATCAATAAAATCTATAAAAAAAACACGTATAATGTATTTATGAAACCGGTGTTTCTGCGACAGCCTTGTGTTTCCTCCTTTTCACCACCGCGTTATTAATGAGTCAATACAATTAAAAACTCACCGTCGGTTTCCAGTAAATAATTGCGGACGATGCTTGATCGGGTCAAGTTTCCAAACACTCTGACAATTTCCACTTTACACAAATGATTTCTAGTGTTAAGCATTAAACTTAATGCTGAATTGAACAAAATATCAACGTCGATTACTATACTATTAGTATTTAGTAAGTTAAAACATAATATTGAACCATGTATACGTCATACTTTGCGTTATATCTAATTGGCGGCAAGCAAATGGGCCGCGGCTTGCTACTGTCATGTCGCCAAAGTAAGACAAATTGTTGAGGGCGGCTAAAGCGGCGTGCACAAGTTCTTCGTTTTCGTCCACAGATTTGCGTCTGAGTACGGTCAGCAAAACGTCTAAAAACTGTTCGCATTCCTTCACCTTGTGTATCGGATGTCGATCGTTGACCGCCATCACCAGTTTTGCGCCGATTTCCGGCTGTATACTCATGTTGACCACGACCCTTATGACCTGTGCCCCAAAAAGTCGAAAGACGTTTATGAGACAAACATCTACCCCGAGGGTTACACAGAACTGACCTTAATGAGGACGTCCTCGATAACGCTAAACTCTGTGTTACGAGATAAGTTAATGAGATCTTTTTCTAAGTACAACTGTAACAGGTTTAGGAAAGTTCCCATCGAACAGAACGCGTCGTACAACTAAACACATACAAAAAGCGCGAGTGTGTTTTTACTTTTTAGAGATATAATACAACAGTATTAAAAAAATACTTGATGCCTGGCGTTTTCATTGTTTGTTAGTATGTTGCCCAAAGCGTAAGTGATGCGAACTACTACTTCTCCTTGCCCGGGATATTTATCCAACAGCGACAACAGTACGGACACATTCGTCCAGGACTCCACTAGAACCTCACAGCACTTTCCGTCTGTGGACAGGATGCTATAGAATAACAAACAGTAGTACACGTTATACATTATTGTAGGAAATAGGTTTTAACTTTAAAGCGATCCGCTCAATATAAGAGTACTACTCTGTGTCGTGAACTGTTGATGGACAAATCCTTTTACCTTATGATTCTAGAGATGTTAGTAACCACATCCACGTCTCCAGAAAATAACTCCAACGTCCTGTAAACGGTAGCCAAGCCACCCGAAGCCAGCAGATCGGAGTAGAACTTATCGTCGTTGACCACATTTCTCAGGGCGCCAGTCAATTGGAACAGCACGTGGTTAACAGTTTCTGGCAATTTCGGCCGTTCAGCTCGTTCTAAGTTGATCATTTTCAAGTGGAGTAACATCAGCGGAAGGCAACCGTTACTCATGGCTCGCTCCATTAGATCCGGATTCATGGTGAGAAACTTCAATGCCCCATAACCGTATATTAAAGCCTCGGCGTCTTCGTTCGGCGTGGCCAAGCCGAGCATGTCGACAAACAGGTCTAAAGCGTTGGTCTCTAAGAACAATCGGTCGTTTTTGTCTGAACGAGCCACTTTGAAAAACAATTTGCAAACGGTCGCCAAGTACTTTCCCGAGATTTGCATCTGAAACGTACACCACGACTCATGGTTAAATTGTATCATTTCACAAGTACAAATTTTACATAGTGTGCTGTGCGACAGACACAGTTTAAGTTGAGCCAGAAATGTTTTATACTAGTTTCGTTATTTCTTTGAATCATACATGATGCACGATCTCTTTATTAAAGGTTTCTTTTGATCTCTTTAGTAATTCAATAACCCGACATAGCATTTTAAATACAGGTGCGATACATTTTATTAGAAACGTCTATGATTTAGTATTGATAACTTAAATCAAAGAAATATAACTTTCGCTAGAAGTAAAACAAGTCACAATATCGAAAAAAAAAAAATAATGATCACTAATTTAGAAGACTAATTTAAACGTTTTTAAAATTACATGTTTTTCATTAGATCCATCAGCTAGGTACCATCCTAAATCAAGATTATAACTTATAATAAAAAAAACGGGCGTCACAGTTATCACTATAGCCGTTTCCTCCAAAATAAATAAAAATGTTTTACCTAACACGTTTTAAAATCCCCTGAACCTAATTTATAATAATTCATTTTTTTTTAGTATTCTAATTTATTTATTTTATTATTTATTTTGTTTTTAAAATGAATTATTCAAATATGAAGTGCCATTTTTTTTATGTCGAAAAAGGTTGAAGTAATTACGAGTAACCGTGAGCATATTATGCTAATTTATAACAATTTTAAATTTGACTACGCGTATACAGCTTAAAATGGCATTACACGATGGAGGTGCTACGAAAAAAAGTGTACGGCAAAAATTTTCACAAAAAAATAATAATTATGAATTCGTCAGAATATAGGGTGGGTTACCATATAGCAGAACATAATGCTGTCGATAAACAAATTATTAACTCAGCCTGTGACCTAAAAGCAGTAAATGATATTGTAGATACAGTTTCAGGGGTTCTTAAAAAATATTAGGTAACAAATTTTGATTTATTAAATGTTGGTAATTTTGGCGGAAAACGGAAACACCCAAAAAACCACTAGCTTTTTTACTTAAATTAAGAAGAAAAAATAACAACGTACCCGAAGTAATACCAATAGTATATGAATAATGAGCTCATCATTCGTTGAACTGTTGGCTAATCTGAACACAGTCCTAAGTATAGAAGCTTTTTTGTGACCGTCTCGGGCAATGGATATGCTTTCTCGTTTAACAGCCGTCGCAAGTTTGTCCAAAAGGGCACACATTTCACCGACTTCCAAGCCTGCTGTAAATTTACTTTGAAATCATACCTACTTATTACCGTTAACTATCAAGTACTCTAGTCATATTCTACTCAACATCGTGAAGCTTAACAGGCCTTGAAGGCTCAACATCATGATATTGTCCTCAGTATTTATTAATAGTCTATTAAAGTAAATTGTAAATATTAGTAATCAATTTTTACTTTTCATCATTTTGTTCTCGATCAGCGAAACGACACACAAACAATCCACGTGGGCGTCAAAACACAAAGCACGTGCTTCGTTTATTTTATTTTCATGGTTCATGTAATCGTGGTCATAATAATTCGGTTCACAATGGTGCTAAAAAAAAATTATGTTATCCCCAAGACTAATTTGATGAATTTTAAAATTAAATTCAACTAATGAATACGACAAAATTTTAACTGTATCCACTATTAGAAGGATAAGAAACCGGTAAGGCGTCGTTATGCCCTCATCAGCGTTCCTTTTTTTTTTATCATACCTACATCGCGTTCACCTCAATCACCTAGATGGCTAGAGATAGTTTACAGATACACAATCTGGGCTCTGGAAACACTACGCTGTGTATAATAATATTTTTTTCGGATCAAGAGCGAAATGTAAATTTTAACCGGAGTTAATTTGAAACCAGCTATTGCAATATTGTTATGTATCTACTGGACTGTCCGATTCGGTGCGGTCGAAATTCGCCAGACCGCCTCGCACATACCAAAGTAAAGGTGTATTGCTCAATCAATTCAACGATATTATAATGTCCAAACACTGAACGCGACTATATACAAATACCGGCGATTCATACCTAAGCGAATGACCGACATTTTACAGTTGAATCGGCGCGCACATAAAAATATTTTTTACATAAAAACACCATTGGCCAACGGTCTATATCAAAGACCTTCGAGACCAAAGCCTAACGAAGTGAGCAGGCCGCTCGAAGACCAATCGATTTCATAGTTTTGAGGGACACAAAAATGTTGAAAAAAATATTCGTGCCAGGACGTCTGGACGTTATCGGAATTCTGAATCCTTTCCAATTCATTAGTGTGTTTAAAACACGCAATTCTCCCCATTATGCACAGCTGCGTTTGGACATTTTACACTGTGAGTCAACATTTAAAACGCCCCCTCCTATATGCCTTAGCATAAAAAAAATATCCATTGACTAACGACGACAGTACTCTAGCTATAATGTGGTCCTAGAAATACAAACAAATAATATAATATTATTACGTTAGGTAAAAAGAAGTATATTTCAGTAGTACAGACGTTTATATCTATGAAATCAGATATGATAACATAAAGGAGGAAATTTCATATCCGCTTTTCAATAAATAAATTATTCGACTTGGTATAATAAGGGGCCTCTACACTCTACAGTCTACACTAGCATTTATTAAGGCGCATTGTGTAGGCAATTTCTCACTTAAACTTAACATTAAGCAATATTTTGTAAAACAAAAAATAAGGATCCATTTGGGCATTACATTTTTTTTTTAAACTTCTTCAACGCATACAGGCTTTCTATTTGTACAAAAAGGTATGTTTTTACATAGAACAGTACGTTCTTAAAAGTAATCCGATTTAAGTTTTGAAAAAAACATTTGGATTCTTCACAAGATTTACAAGGTATGGTCGGGGCACATTTTTAGTTAATTATTAATTTCTATGTGAAAAATTATAACTTTTGAAGAGTTTTCATGATTTTTGCAATAACATTTAAAACGAAAATTAAAAAAATGTATTAAACCGTTTAAATCTTTAACCGGGTTTAAAACTATTGTCGCATCACTCGTTTCAGAATACGAATGAGTTAATTAGAATGAGTTGATTTGGATAAAAATTACGCATGTGTAGAGGCCTTTTTTTCTGTAAAATATTTTTTTTTAAATACTTATGATATTCCCTTCAAACAGTCATCCTATTTTAATTTTAAAATAGGCGTTCTTGCGTACCCTCTTACTTTCTTCTTACCTTTAATAGTGCATCAATCGAGAGTGGAAAAGATAATGAGGATATTTTTTTTCCCGGCACGTTTTCATTATAGACCAAATCTGGATTAGAACGCCTTCGAATCGTGTTCGGAGGACTGCTTCGGGTTTGCCTATTGACTTCATTTGTGTTTTCGACTTTGTAGGGGATAAAAAAAAATGAATAATGTGCACGTTGTATAGCTATTAATAAGAATATTATTGTTTCATTGCAGTTCTTACAATAGTACAAACACTTGGACTTGTCTAATGCCGGTAACTTGGTGTAAATTGGAATTTTTTTCTCCTGGAACTGCACGTGATGTGATCTACAATGTAAAACATAATAATATATTATTAAGTTTTCCGATGCACATACAGAATTTCAAAACAACAGTCGATATACTCGATCCTAGTCCAGTAAAATAGCGCAAGCTACATTATTGTGAAACAATTTAGCTACATTATGGCGTGGACGCAGCTTTACTCAGAGGTGTGTAATGTGTTACATACTTTATGACACTTGGCGGTCGATTTGGTCGCCGATGACCAAAGAAAACTCTTTCCCTCGGCGTGAAAGGCCTTTTGGTCGTCAACGGTTTAATGTAGTAACATGGCGGTGTGTTAAGAGCAGCTTTGGCTTCACTTATAATTTCAGAACTGGTTTTTGGTAACGTCTTAGCACACAGCCTATCAGCCATTTTGATTGTTCAACTCTCGCAATACGAACTGACTAATTATTATGTTTAATGCGATTCGTAGTAATAAAACATTTGTTTTTTAGTAGGATCCACTAAAACTAAAGACTATTGACACCTACCTTACTTGCAGGTAAACTATATTATCAACACCGTGTGATTGTCACAATTCCATACATTACGTAGCTGTTACCAAGGAGCTCACAACAACAGTTTGATGTACACGAAAATTATTGATTTTTTTTTTCTTGTTATTTTTACTTCCAGCGCAGCGGTATTATAATATTAAAAACTAAGGTATTATAACAATCTTAAAATACAAGTATAATTATTTCTTTTTTAACATTGTTAAATAAACATAAAATTTGTGTTCGGATAAAAGTGCTAAGAGTCTGAAGTACAATTTTCAATTCAAATATCCTGCATTAAACCGTCACCTCCTTCACCTGGATGTTTAAGTTCATCTTCTCTCAATTAAATAGTGTGTCTGGTGATAGTTTGGTGGTTTCTATGGCAAATAAAAACAACTTTTATACTATATGATCAATAAATATGACAACACAACGATCCAAGCAATAAAAGTATGTAATAAGATTAGTGTTAGAAAGTCACAAATAAATACCATTTATGTTAAATTGATTATTTAAAAAATAATAATTTGTTTGTAATACATACTATAAGGAATCAAATTAACCGAGTAGGTAAATGATTATCAGCAAATTCTGGTATTACATATTTCTTGGAAACTCTTGTTACAGTGGTACTTCTAGTCCTTACTCCTTAAAAGGGCGTCGCACCGCCTATTTTTAAGGAGTAAAGTATAGGCAATTTTTTACAAAATCTTAAAGGTTAAACAGTAATGTGTAATTATTAGTTCAATAACAAGGACTCTATTTTGGGTAGTTAATTTATTATTTGGGCTATCACAGCATCCTTGAAAGCGATTTAAAAATGTTTTTTCATCTTTACGTGTTTAAGCAGACTGAAAATAACTTGCTTAATTTTGGTTAGAGTAAAATCACCCATTATAAAATTTAAATAGAACAATATTCCGGAGGGCAAGACGGTGCGTTTTTTTTTATTATTCCAAGTACAACGCTCAATACATAGATTAGAAATAACGACTATTTTAACATTTTTAAATGATTGTAACTTTTTAAAAAAAATTTTTTTTTTTTAAAACGCACCGTCTTGCCCTCCTGAATATTGTTCTATTTTAATTTTATAATGGGTGATTTTACTCTAACCAAAATTAGGCGAGTTATTTTCAGTCTGCTTAAACATGTAGAGATGAAAACACATTTTTAAATCGCTTTCAAGGATGCTGTGATAGTCCAAATAATAAATTAACTACCAAAATAGAGTCCTAGTTATTGAACTAATAATTACACATCACAGTTTAACCTTTAAATTAAGATATATATTACCGTAAATTATTTGAATTATTAAGTCACAAGTATTTTTTATCGCAAACTTGGTTTTCGGGTTTATCTAATAGATGGCGTATTACGACAACTGCAGTGTTATCATTATAGATTATTTTATAGTTTATTATCAAATTAATTTACTCTAGTTGTGTAGTTTGTGATGTATATTATATAAAATGTTTTGTCTATTATATACTATGTAGAGTATATTTTATTGCAAAAAATGTGATGTGATGATTATTTTCATTTAATTATAAGTTACGTTATGTAATATTACTTTTTTCATCTGGAAATTACTATTGAAAATCAGTTTATCATGAGCAATTCAAGTGATCCAACAACATCTTCCGAAGGCATCTTTGTTGCTCGACAACCAGCTAGTTGGTTGACAACTAAAAATAAGAAACCATCACCGTCCGAGTTAATATCTTTCCGATGCCCTTACACATTACGTAAAGTAAGACGGATTCAATTTAATAATCGTTCCTGGACAGTGGGCGACATAGTGTCTTTAGGTGAAGTAAAATCCAAAAGAATATTTTATGCTCAAATTATAGAGTTGTACGAGAACGACCTATGTGAAAAACTCGCAAAGATTATGTGGTTAGGCCCAAAAGCAAATGTCGGAGTTGTTAACGAACATGATAAAGTGCATTATGACAAATTTCAACCAAGAGATTTTGTTCACGTGTCTATTGATACACGATTGATACCCATTCGCTGTCTAACATTTGTAATGAGTGTTCCAAATCAGTATGAGTATAAAAAGTTGATTGGTACCGATTATCTTGATAATACAAAAATTATTTCTCACGCTGAAAGGTATGCCGAATCAGACGAAGACGATGGACCAAAACCAAAATCTAAAGTTAGGCGATTATTAAACAAATGATCAAAAATATAACAAATATGTGTATTTTTTTTCTTAACACATGTTATCTAATACTAATTTATTATAAATGTTCAATTTATTTTGTAAATACTTGTAAAACCAATTCCTTTGTTATATCTACTTTAATCTTTTGTTATAATAATAAAAATAAACAACATAAATTATTTTCAGATTTATTTTATATTTATATAATATATAAGAACTGTTGAATCGATTTAGTTCTACATTCTCATTAAATTAAAAATTATTGGTTGTTCTCTTAACTACAACAAAGATATTTTAAATTTACGAATAGATACTTGTGATAAATTTTCACATTTAATTCAGCAGGCATATTATACAAAATCATAATTTCTTCACTATCATAATATAACAATCATTTCTTCCTCAAAAACCTCCATCGTTTTAGTATCTGGATGTTTATATGTATTTAACTCGAGTAAAGGTTTAATTTAGCTTTCAGTATCAGCAGTGGATATTGGAGTATAATTTCATTGAAAAGGAGATCACATTTTAAATGGTAACCTAAACATAATAACTTTGATCCTAATAAGTGGTTCAATATTTTTCATTTTAAAAACTTATAAAAAAAGAACAATTCCTTATATTCAAGTTTTACTAAACCTTGATAACACCATTTTTTATCTTAATATCACCTTTATCTAAACTATTATCTTCACTGTGTTTTAATGAACGTAGTAATACTTTATCATCTTCATTTTTTAATAAGACTTGAAGAGCTTTAATAATCTGTACATATGAAATCATAAATTGTAATTATTCATGAGACCAAATGAGCTGTAGGAATTTGTAATAAATCAACAAATGTTGCTATAAATTTGTTTGTTAGTAAATTGTGATTTAATAGTCGTTGAAGAACTTGGCATGTTTTCTGAAATGAGTTTAGTACTAGATAAATATTTAGGTTCTAATTAAGTCGAACAAAATTATATATTAAAAATATATTTTTTTAAACGTTATAAACAATAAAATATATTATAACACTTGCTAGAAAAATTTTCTAAAACCAATATTTTTAATAAATATAAGACAAAATTTTGATATCACAATTAACGATCTCTACAATTATTTCAGTTGGCACAAGTATTACCAGAATCAACAAACATGAAAGGTTAAATACCACTCTAAAAAAAAATGTAATAATAAAATAAACAGATAAAATAACAAATAGATATACTTGACTTTATCTTAGACTCTTCTTCTTCATATAACTTTTATATAAAAATATGTTAGATAGTAAAAATAGATAATATGTTAAATAGTAAAATATGTTTTCTATATAATGCAATATTTTTTTTTTATCAACCTTCACTTGGGTAGGTTTGGGAACAAATGAAGAGTGAATTTGTCAAACATTCTAAGTGCCTAAGTATAAAAATTTAACTTTATAATTTGATTTGTATTTTATTAATTACCGGAAACAATTTTTTAAAGTTTCAAGTAAGGAATAGTTATTTATATAAAAAAAAAATACAACCATATTTAAAACTCAAAAATATGTTAGCGGTTTTCCGGTAATGAATAAAATACAAATCAAATAATAAAGTTAAATTTCTATACTTTGGCATATGGAACGTTTGACAAATTCACTTTTCAAATGTAGTTTACCGGGCACCCTTTTTTTCATTTTTAATCGATAATACTTTTATGATTACGAATCTGCACGACGAACTTAATTTGGGAGTTATAGACATTTGAACATCGCCGATTATTATTATTTATTTTTCGATTTTATATAATTATTATCAGACAGAAATATTACGGCAAAAAAAAGTCGGCAGCGTAGGTAAACGTGCACCACCAAACGCCCGCGTATGTCGATTACAAATGTTTATAACTCCCAAACTAAGTTCGTTTCTTCTTGCAGATTCGTAATCACCCATAAAAGTACAATCAATTAAAAAAAAATCGAAAAAAAGGTGCCCGGTAAACTACACTTATACCACACAATTTCATGTTAGATAAATATTGTCAAACAATGGCTAAATTAATCACCGGTTCATTGTAGGCCAGTGTGACGAAAAAGCACAAGGCCTTTGCCCTTTTCTGGACAATACGAGAATATTCCTTCAAAACGAGTAAATTTAGCAATGTAATACATAGATTTGATTTGTCTTTATTACTAACATCGAGATAAAGAATACTATTATTTTATTTGTGTTTTCTTTACCTCGATGATTACCAAATAAGAATTATCACAAAAAATACTAATCAGGAAATATTTTTCTGTCATTGAACTCTATAATTTTGCCATTACTAACATTAAATAAATTTGAGTTTTGACGAAATGGTTTGAAAACGTTAAGTCCAAATGCTTAAATGATAAATTGTATCAATGATTGTATTATATTATAATACAATTATTGTTATTATTATTGACTATATTATATTATAGTTCACATCGTCCACAAATCATAAGTGAAGACGATCAACTATCAAGACGTTATTACAGAAATTAGGAAATAGGAAAACGTTTGAAGTAAGGTGAAATTCAAATTTCAAACTATGTAATATTAATGGACAATGATAAGATATTATCTTTCATACAACCGAGTACCGCATAACTACAAATTTGTAACCACGGTTGTAAAAAAGTTTATACCGTAGTTTGACGACGGTTAAACCATTTATCACGTTAATTCTACTTTTTATCAATCAATCACCCATCACAAATCACGAGTAACAGGAAAAAACAAACAGATTAAAATTTTTAAACTAAATAATCATATTATTATAATACAGGTACTCTGTAGTATTTTTTAAGTCTTGGTTACTCTTGCTGTGTGTTTTGGGCAATGTACGGTGTCCGATACATCCTAGTTCGGCTGGAGAACATGCACACATCTAATGGCTATTAAAGAACCTCACGGACATAAACAGAAATTCGTTGAAGAAATCGATTACAATGAAATCGAAAAACTCGAAGTATACATTACTGTTTGTTATATTAATGTAACAACATAGCTAATAATTTTTATTATTGAACTTATAGATGGTGGGGAAGGGTTCGTTTGGAGTGGTTTATCGCGGACGATGGCGTAACAATTATGTGGCTGTCAAACACATTGATACAGAAGCGGAACGTAAAGCATTTACAGTAGAAGTGCGACAGCTATCTAGAGTAAACCATCCCAACATTGTTAAGCTGTATGGAGCTTGCACGTCAAATCCTGTATGCTTAGTTATGGAATTTGCAGAAGGAGGATCTCTTTATAATGGTTAGCAATTCATGTTGTATATATGTTGTAGGTGACGTACTGTAAAATCATTGAAAATGTTTTAGAAGAGCTTTAGATCACTTAAAATGAGTGGTAGTTGGTATTCAATATATGTAACCTGTTATTGCCTATCTATTTGGCTGTTAGTATTTATTTTCTTTTGAGATAGACCATTATTAATAGGTAGAGGTCTTGAAAGCAGTTTAAAAAAAAAATTATGACATAAATTCGCTTAACCGGACACCCTTTTTTTTGCAGTTTTTTTTTCTACATTAAAGTATTGTTTACGCTGATTCAGAATTAGATGGACTCTTCTAGCTTAAAAGTTATAGCTACTTGAAATTTTCATATTTCCGCTTGTTTAACTATAAGCGGTGGCGGCTGCAGCCCCCGCATCATACATTTGTCGACTGTTTGGTCGCTGACCCTTACAGAGTGGTAGGTTAGGTTAGTTAAGTCCTTTTGGCAAGCTATTTGTTTCGTTAAGCCTCTCAACGGAGGGTGGATTACATCATTGATACAATAATCAATAATAATAATAAAAATAATTAACTAATAATACTGTAGCAGCGCGCACTTGGGTTGCTGACAAATTTTTGGTTATACACGCGGAAATAGGCAAATTTTAAGATGCTATAACTTTTGAACTAAAGGAGTCCGCATAATTCTGACTTCAGTTTCATATCACTTAAAAAAAAGGGTGTCCGGTAAAATGAATTTGTTCCAAAATTATTTTATGTACTCACATTCTACCTATTTCTAATTTCAAATGATTAACTAGGTTAAAGAAAGGATTATGATTTTATCACTTTCATATTTGTTTTACTTAGTTACATAGTTTTACATAGTTGTTTTTACTTCTTATTTCTTCAACTGTTAGGTTCTATGCTTTGAAAAAAAGAAATTATATACCTATCGAGTCCATCTATATATAATAGTTTATAAAAAATTATATTTATATTATGTAGTAAATTTTGTTTATTATTTTATAGTTTTACATTGTAAACCAGAGCCCGAGTACAATTTAGGACATGCAGTCAGCTGGACGTTACAGTGTGCCGAAGGAGTGGCTTATCTCCATAATATGAAACCTAAACCTTTAATTCACCGGTATATGATTTCATATATGTATACAGTTTTATTGAAATTTTTTTTTAACATAACTATTTAAATTATTCTAGAGATTTAAAACCCCCAAATTTACTTCTTGTCAATGAGGGAAAAACCTTAAAAATATGTGATTTTGGTACTGCTTGTGACAAGAAAACATATATGACTAATAACAAAGGAAGTGCTGCTTGGATGGCTCCAGAAGTATTTGAAGGTAAGATCTTATTACTGTATGTTACCATTAATGTGTTTAATTGATTATTTTCTATAATAATTAAATCTGTTCTTTTATATGTGTATTTATTTATTTTTAATTAATCTTGAGAGGAGCATTGTGCACTTACACCATTAAAGTTATGACAGTGTCAAATAGTATCATTTTGAATACCTTAAAAACTGACCACATGTTAAATAATGTTTATTATAAGGTGTGACTGTTTTTTTTTTTGTAAAAGTAGAAAGTCAAGAATTCCTTCTTCTCTGTTGAGTGGATGATTTATTTTTTACTCAAAAGATAATTTAAAAAACATTTATCATTTTTTCAGAATTACAAACTCTTGCCTACAATTAATTTCACTAAAAAATTGAAGACTTGTGACCTCCCTGACTTAACTGTGTTTTATCTATGCCCACTATACTCTGATCCCACTGAGCTGAATATATTTAATTTAGAACATTTTTTCATTTGAGTATATCCTGTTTTTGTGAGAATAATAATATTATTAATGTTTTTTTAATACTTAATTAGTTATTATATTTAGTAGTGTACTGCCCTCCTAAACAAAAATGCCGTAAATGGTCTAGGTAAAGTTATGGGCAAAATTTACATTCACTTCTAAACTATAAAAAAAAAAAATTAAGTTAGGGAATATAATATAAAATTTGCATGGAACTTAAATTGGCCCCCTGATTTGTAATAAAAACTAATACTGGTATAATTTTAATTTTTAGGTTCAAATTATACTGAAAAATGTGATGTGTATAGCTGGGGTATAATTTTATGGCAAGTGTTAACAAGACTGAAACCTTTTAATGAAATAGGAGGGTCTGCATATGGAATTATGTGGGCTGTGCATAAGGGTACTAGACCTCCAATTTTTGAACAATGTCCTAGGCCATTTCAAGAACTTATTACAACGTAAATTAATAGCATAACAGATTACTTTTTTTTTTGCAATTGAGTAGTAAGTTATAATTTAATAATGTAATATTTTTTACGTTTTGTTTAAAGGTGCTGGGACCAGAATCCTAATATTAGACCGTCTATTGACCATGTTGTCGAGGTGATGCGGATATTAATGTCATTTTGTTCAGGACATGACAAGCCATTAGTTTATCCAAATGATTGCTACACCTTTAGTGAATATAATTTTTAAACTACACATTATGTGCAAATAATAATATTTTTATTTATTTATGATATTTTAATTAATTATTGGTTTAAGGTAGTGAATATGAAAATGATTGTTCCTCCGAAGATTCTTGTCCAGACATTCCAGATTCATACATCGAGAGTTTAAGTAAGAGATGCTTACACTTTTTTGAGAAATAGTAATTAAGATTTTGTACTAAGTAATTTAAAGAAAAATTTGATGGCTTTCAATATTATATTAATTTTTTTAAATTAAAAGAAAAAAATTTCTTTTAAAGTTAGTGTAGATCATGAAGACATTAAAAAAAAAAAAATTTAGTGATTAGTTAGTAGTCATTGATTAACATGAACGCTAATAGAGGCAAATTTCACCACCATGTTACAATTGACAGGTCCAAAATTCCATACATTGATATTTACTTTTTATACTTATTTTCATTATTATATTTTTTCTAGGGCCTATCATGTTGCTGATTTTTTTAGTGAAGTTGCATTTAATTAAATATAAAATTCAATTATTCCATTCAATGTTTATTTTTACTTATTATAAAGCTCTAAAGTTTCATTGGTTTTTTTCCATATTAAAAAAAAATATCTAAATATTATATAATTAATATTAACAAAATTACAATTTTTAGAACACAGTTAAGCTGTCACACTCTGTTCATTTAATTAATTATAAAATGCCTGCCCCCTCTTTTTAAGCAGAGCTCAAGTCTTATATTACCAAATAGAAACCATATTGTTCTCTAAAATTTATTAAAGACATTTCTGTCCTCTTTCTTGTCCTAAATTAAATTTTAAACACTTGGAATTTGTAGGATTTTTACTTCAAAAGCACACCTTACATTAAAAATAGTGACATCTCATTAAGTTATAGAATTTTGCTAATTTTTTTTTTTTTTTTTTTATAAGAGGAAGACTTTCTAAAGATTGTAAATTTTCAAAATTTTAATTATATATGACTAAAGAAAAGAGTTTGAGTACAACTACAGAGTGTGGAAGTCAAACCTCACGATTTTAGCAGAAGCTGGGGCCCGTGGCTTAAGTGGTTAAAAGTTTGGGACTGCACCTATCGCTTCCAGACACTCGGAATTTAGTTAACATAGAACGTTGGTCAAGTGAACAGCTTGTGATCGCGGTAAAAGCATTATAAAGCGTCGTGTTTGACTGCCGCACCCTGTATTTATTGAACTTTATTTAACCTTTTTTATTTTTTTTTATTTTGATAATACAATTCAGTTATAATTTTTTCTGTAATGACATTTTTCACCACTATAATAGCCAAGAATTATGTAAAAAAAGATTGACTATTTTATACCTTATGGGTAATACAAATAAAGCTTTAAGTAAGTTGCTCATAGTTTGCTACTTTAATATTTTTGGCAATGGGACCTAAAAATGCCATTAACACAGAAAGGTGACACTTTGCTTTCCATAAAAACATTCTTAAAAAATTAAAAAATAATAAACAAATTAAAATATTGTTAGTATATTAAAATTTAAATGTATAGTAATGTGTGTTAGCGATCACTGTCGCTGGTTTGACACTCTGTCACCAACGCTCCTTTTGCTGGGCGAGCAATCGTCCGGAGAAAAGGAGCCGCCATCCCTCTCTCCAGGGACGGACTGACGACCCGTCCCCGGTAGCGAATTTGTCTAAAAACCATCTAATGATAGCAGCGTTGGGCCTTCATGGCCGGTTAAGCTCTCATAATGATGATGATAATAACAATTAGTTTGTCATTTGTTTGTAATATAACAAATAATTTTTTAAGTATCTTATTTTAATTAAAAAGTAATAATTGATTGTTGAATTATGTCTTATAAACATTTTTTTATAATTTAGGAAGTCATAAAGGAGTAAATGGAATGTTAACAAATGACAGTTTAAAGTCAAATCCTAATTTATCGACACCTCTAAATATTAATGTGGATAACAGAGTAATATTATATAAAAGTTTATAAAATTAGTGAACTGTATAATATATTTACGTAACTTAATTTTTATAGTTTGAGCATTATGAAGATTTAAAAATATTAACAATGCCTGGATTTGATAAAGTTGGTGCTTACCACACTGTCAACTCAACTGATAAAGAAGAGGAATCCACGTCTGATTGCAATAACCAATCTGATGTCACTGATAATGTCGAAGGTATATTTTATTAGTATTAATTTTATTACTCTTACTTTTGGTTCATACAACTCATTCTACTTCAAGCATACTGTTCCTAAGAATACTCCGATTTAAATTTTGAAAAAATGTTTAAATTATGCATAACGTTTTCAAGGAATCGATTGTGGCATAATTTGAAAATAATTTTTTATTAATTAATTATTTCAGTTAAAAAAAAGTTAAAATTTGTATTTTTTATGAAGAATTGAAATGTTTCTTCAATACTTAAATTGTAGTATTTTAGGTAAGTTCTGTTCGTAGTATAAACATATACAAAAATAGATTCTATATGCGATATAAAAGTTGAAAAAAAAATGAAGTATCAAAATATATCTCTCTTATGGTAATATGTACGTTTAAAAATTATAGCTTAACTATAAGTTTTAGTAAACATTTTCCTATACAATGCGCCTTAATAAAAGTGTAGAAGCCCCTTAAGCAATTGAAGTATTGTTGTAATATTTCCTATTCGTTATACTACTTTACTCATAGATACTAAACAAACAAATTATTAAATTGTTTAGTTCATTCTATTTTTAAAACCAGTTAATAAAAAAATAGTAAAATACATGGCGAAAATATAAATGAAAATGTAACATCTATTTTTCTCTGCTCTATTATAGAATGTTGAATCATAGAAATTTGTTTAGAATTATGGTTTTACATAACCACCAAGATTTAATTTCTGAACATAATTATTATTAGACAATACAATACATTATGATATTATTAAAATGTAACATTAAGTTATAGTTAAATATTTATTTCCTTCGCAGAAAACAAATACAATAGAGCATACGACTGAATACAATTTTGTAACGAGTAAAAAAAATCAAGTAACAAGTAAATAAATGGAGTAACAACTAGGTTACTATACTGGGTTCCAAAACAGAAAACACCAGTGCATGAACTAAAACCTGTTACTCTTGTACAGTATAAGTACAGTAACACATTTTAATTTCTGCACTGGTGTCTTCCATTTTGGAACCCAGTATAGGTTAAATTTCTGTAGTAAGATGCAAAAATGTCCACACAAATTTTGGTTACATATCCAGTGTTAACTAATAATTGTTATCTTATTGTAAAAAAAAATTATTTAAAGTAAGAAGTCTTTCTTTTAATATAGTGATGTTGTTTACAGAATGTAATTAAATAATTATAATAATTAAAACTAAATGGACATAATCAAGCTAAACAATTTATTGCGGGGAGTGATTACAAAATAATTATTTGATTATCAAGTTTAAACACTATTTATCCTGACGTAGCAGTATGATAAATTTAAATTTATCACAATAAAATATCATCACTGTAAATATTCTTATAAAATCACTAAGTAATTAAGTAATTTTTTTTTGTTACATACCTAAATGTATACCTATTTTATGGAGTTCTTTTATTCAAATTTCTTTTTATACTTTTATAATAATTAATCATCAATTGTAGCTAAAGAACACATTAAAAGCTAATGAATTACAAATGTAGGTTGTTTTTTTCAATCAATATTGTATATATCCTTGAAATTTTTAATATTTAACCATGTATGTTTAAATATGGCAATCATTTTGATTCAATGAATCATTTAAATATAGTTTATCACTGTTCGGGCTAGGCTCTAAAAATAGGAATTTGTTTAAAGATAGAACCGTAAAAGCCTTTATATAAAATCATATGTCTATTTTTATTTACCGTCAGCCAAATAGACTGTACACTATTGGACTTGGCGTTCACATGTGTCAATAATATGTTGAATGCATTTGTGCTGCTGAATGCCAACCAATGTGTCATAAAGTTTAAAATAAAAGTATCAATAAAAATAAGATGTGTTTGTTACTGAATAAGGAGTCTGCTTAAAACTTATTACCAAGACTAAAGATTTCTAATAAAGTACTGAAACTCTAATTATCAATAGCAATTATCAATTTCATTATTAAAGAAAAATAGTTTTATATATATGTTATCTTTTAGTTTTTACGAAATAGGTATGGAAATAATAAATATACGCTAGTAATTTACAAAATTGTATTAGTCTTATGTCATACAGTGATATTTCTTTAAACTACATAAATGGACTATACCAGAAACAATGAAATTATTTGGTCGGTTTCCAATCAAAATGTATGCCAGAAATAGATTCTTAAGGAAATGGGGTTTTTTGAAGCTTTATTTTAATCACGCTTATAATCGTTACAAGTTCACTGCTGATTTATAATATAAAAAACACATTAAAAAATTTGTTGACCTGACCAGGATATTATTGTTATCAAATAACATCACCTTGCCAATGATAAATCTGTATCATTTGTGCGATTAATATTCAATGTAAGTCCCAATTTATTTATTTAATACATTTTCAAATTCCAAACATTAAATTGTTTTAAAGTGCGTTTTACTAATTTGTTATTAAATTAAAAGATTGGTCAAAAGAATAATTATTTTTTTGTTGATATGAGAATGCAAGTAACTATTTTAGTAATAAATCACATAAGCATGAGTCACACGGTGAATGACCCAGAGCCTGGCCAACAAATCTGAAAGAATTATCCATTATATATTATGTTTATGTGCATGTATAAGTGTGTATATAATATACACACACATTTATACAGTTTACTATATAACATTCTCATAATAACCTTGATTTGGCTCAAAATATTATGTTCCTGAGAGAAATAGGCCCTGCGTAAATATACATATATTATAAGGTGTTGGAATTTTTTGATTTAATCAATGATTAATATCCTTATTTAATTAAAACAATTGCTTTACTATTTTTATTATATGTACTTCTAATCTTTTTGCATTAGTGTTTAGTACTATTCTGTTGTCCACCAATAATTCGTCCTAAAAAAAATATTATTTGTAATTATATAAAATATTATTTATTACAAATTATTTTATACATATATACTGCGTAGTAGGGTTGCAGAATACCCTTTCTTTTTCTTTTCTTATTATTGAAGAATCTCCAACTATCCCTCCCAGATTACCTTAAAAATCCACTAGGCGTCATCGTTTTTTTTTTTAGGGAAAACTTACCTTGGGTAGCCTTTAAATTAGAATGCTAAAATTAAGTTTAAATTCTAATTAAAATTAAACATTTTATGATGTTAAAAAAAAATTAACACAATTTCCGTTTTTATTAAACTGTGTTGTTTTTAATTTAGGTATAAATTATTATTAAAAATTTGTTTCTTTTTAATTCTTGCCAAAAAACTGTCGACTTAGTTTTTTTTAACTATTCTTAATAAAATATATGTTTTTATGGGATATAACTTCTAGTTTCTACCTTTCACTAAAAATACAATAAGTGTAATTTATGCAGAAAACTAAAACAAATCTTCTTCTATCAGTAATTAATAAATAAATCGAAATTGTTATGTTATTGAAAATACAGAAATTCCATTTAATTTATTGTTACGTTAAACTTAAAAATAAAAGTTTTTATATGAATCTATTGTTTTGGCTACCCTCCAGTAGGCACAATAGATGTCATATGTGTCCGGAGATTAAAGGCTAAGAAGGACGTTTAGCCTCAGCTGAACATCTTTATGTAAATATTTGGATTATTTCCGGTAAAAAATGTATATCTAGTAGGAGGAACTTAAAAAATCTGGATTTACAAAAAAAAATACATAGTACTATTGATTTTTTTAGCATTTTTGGTTTTTTTAATTTTTTGACGCATTTTATTAGCTTTTCATTTAGACGGAATGTTAAGAATATTTAAATGTTATTTACGTTGTAGAGATACAAGGTGGATGTGTAGAGTGACTAAAATGTAAAAAATAATTAGTCTATATTGAATATCCAAGGAGAAACTTGGGTGTGGGGCATATCATATAGGAAATGAGAGCTGTAAGGGAGGTAATGTCGATGAATGTAAAAGGATAGACCTAAAGGAAGTAGCTGGACGTAGTTATTACTGTTACAGCTACTGGGATTGTTATTAGGACAGCGAATATGGGTGTAGAAGATTCAACAAGGTCATGTTGAGTGGAGTTGAGGACCTGAGAACCGACCCACGATCTCTATCCAAAATATCCATATAGTTAGGAAAAGAGTTAGTACTTAATACAAACACACCCTAATCATCTATTATATGTTAGCGCATGCATTGTAATTTTCTTTAAAAAAAATACTTAACCGTGTTGATGGTGGAGGTATAACTTGTGTGGGAAGGGATAGATACCGAGGATAAAGCTCTTAATAAAGAGCTTGATAAATATAGAATTCACACAAATAGCTATATGGCGGAACACAAAGATGTGTACGACGCTTAAATGCCCGGTATATGCGTTAAATGGTCGCCTAGCATCGTAATGTAATTGGCACCTTTACAATAAACGATAAATCAGGGAAATGTGTAGAAATTTACGCTATCGTTATTTACAACTGTTTTCTGTTTTGTTTTATGTATACATCATAATGAAGACTTTTTAGTTTTGTCCATAAAACGCAAAACTATTACCAATACCTCTTAATGCACGTAGGGATATAATGTGTTTTTTTTATTGTCTAATGTTGATATTATTATATCAACATTTATTTTATGGTAACAGAAAACAGTTTTTATGTCATAATGCCATTTAAAATATCGAGGAAGTCGGTGGATCAAAGCGTGAAAAGTCTGATACAACTATAATAATACCCACAATCCAGTACCTACTAGTAGTAGAATAAATTCGGATTTCTTAATGTTCGAAAATCTAGATTTCGGATTATGAAAAATAATATTTTATTGTTGACATTTTATTCAAAAGATATATATTTTGGATATAAAAATCTGAAACATGGGTTTTCAGATTTTAATTCCAATTTATGTCTTATCATTAGTATATCTGTATTAGATCCCCGAGTACCTATTAAAAAAACAATTTTATATAAATGTGAAATCGATTTACTGTATGTTTTTCTAACAGGATCAGAACTTTAAAGCTACGTGTATTTTTTAAGATTCAGCCGAAAAGCCTGAAAACATTTTGACTACTTATAGAAATTTAGTTTTGATATTAAAAAGATCTAACCATCGGTATCTAATATATTTATTATAATCTAATAGCAATTTTAATGTTTGCTTTTTAATTTAAAACATTTATTATAATTATATCGAATGAAAACATTAAATAAGTGTATAAAATTCATAATCTGATCTACGAGTATGATCGAGTAATTAAAGTGAAAATTGTGCTACTTTTCGTCTTGATACCGGTCAGCACTAGATTTATCAAATCTTACATTGCTATAAATAGCACTGGAAATCAAAAATCTAACGATGTAATATTAAATTTTAACATGATGTAAATCAAAAACAACTTTATCTTTACTATAGAGAAATAAGGTATGTCACACAATTTTGTATAAAAAATATTGGCTTTTAATAATTACATATTATTACATTAAAAACTACTATTATTAGACATTTTATAATTTAACCTATTGAACTGAAACCTAAATTTGCGGTGGAGGACAGGCGGGGCTTTTCCTACTTTCTTCGGATTTTTACAATTAGTCGCTAATGTAAAAAATGGAATTTAGAGCAAAAAATAATTTTGCAACATAGAAAATATTCACAGCATCCTTGTTCATTTTATATATTTTTGTCATGTAAACATAGCTATGCAGAATGCATCTTACAACATTATGGCGGTGTTAAAGAAACAAAAAACCTATTATAAAATCGAAAGATGATGACATTTTGGTGGGAATTTCTTAATGTTTTTGATAATTATTCTATGATAATTATTTAGCTAAGAAGATATTTTTTACTTTTTAAAACAGCATTAGCTTTTATTCCAGTAGTATTTATAAAAAAAAGTTGTGGCATTCTGTCGAAACTGTCATGCCAATTCGATTTCATCATGGAGCAAATAAAACCCATTCTGCACTTTACGCTTAAAAGTTAGATATATAACGCCCTCTGAAGCCAACAGAAACATTTCAGATTTATATTTATTACGCCTTGGTTTTTGAGAATTTTATCAATTTAAAAATGTTAAACTACTTACTGCATTTTAGTAAATTTTTATTTGAAGTTATTCCAACGAATGATACAGTGTATGATCAATTGGTCTATACTAACTTGTAAACATCCGTTTTATTAAAAAAAAAAAAATTGTATTTAAAGAATATTTACAATCTATGCTACGAGGCATAATAAGCAAATAGTTACATTTATATAATATATACAGAAAAAATAAAACGGTGATATAATATGAGGAGGAGGCCATCGAGTGATAGAGCCCGACGTGATTTTTTCCTAATTATTTGTAACTAGATTAATTTGTTAATTGTTAGATAAATGGATCTCGACACCAATGTTTTCTGAGTCAGCGAGTTGGATTTCCGGGGAGTGGATTGGATGCGAGTTGTGTTATTGAAGGGTTTGAGTGAGTCTGTAATTTGGAATGAATTTGTTTGTAGTGTTTTGTGGCTAATTGGTTTATTGATTCAATTTTGAAGTCCTTTTGAAGTGTGTAATTGGATACATACCATAGGGCGGAAGAGATAATACGCATAGTGATGGATTAGAGGGCTTGTAAGGTACGAAGTTAGAATGGTTTTGCGCGTCCCCAATTTTGGATTGAATCTTAAACTACTTGTTTTAACTTTTAATTTTTTTTGAATATTCATAGAAACTTAATTAACAATAATACTAATATTTACGTTGTTTTTACTTCTAGTTATGGATGGATCATAACTATTTTTTTGTCAGACTGTGAGTGGTGACTATGTATGCAGCGTACAGGACACGAGATTAAAAAAACAAAATTACTAATTTATCAAATGTATTAATGTTTATAAAATGGTACCTTTGGTCTTGAGATTATGCTAATAACTGTATTCATCATTGTGAAATCGTCCTTGGATGATGCAATTCTGGATGAGTAGTTCACAATAATGTAGCAATTACCACGTGCAGCTTCCGGCCAATAAAATGACAGGTCACTTTTAACAATAAATATATCTCGGCAGAGCACCTTCTTGGGTTTTTACTATATCTTGTTTAAAACATTAATGCCCAATACAGCAATTATAATTCTTATAGCATAAGAATACATTTTTTCAACTCGTTTCCTCTGAACAGTTTTGCATCGTTAATATTGTCTGCCGGCGATTTCTCTATTATTTTAAAAGTTGGCTACTTGTATGGCTTCGTTTTAAGTAGTTTGACTGATAGTCACGAGGGCCTTGGTACTGCTCCTACCTCACTAGGCAGTTGGAAAAACGTGTTCACTACGCTTCGGCTCTAGATAGCTAGATTTAGCTGTTGCGTGTTGTGTGAATAGAAAAAAAAAAATGTTTTATGTCTCGTAAAACTGATTGTTGATAAACATGTAAATGAATTTTGTTAAGTATGAAAATACAAAACGACAATTTATAATTTGCGAAGGTGTGTGTGTTTAACCAAAATCGCATATTATTCGTCGTCAGTGGCTTGTCAAAATCGCGGTCCAGATGTCTGGAGTGATCTGGCTCACGTTGTGAAGGGTGTGAGTCATTAAGCTAGATTTAGAAACTAGTAACTACACGGTTGTGGAGAGAGAGACCGCTTCCCTAGCGTCATGTGTGTGTGTGTGTGTGTGTGTTATTTCCTTGCCCGATTCCTGACGACTAACTACTATGTGCGAGCTTAGCGAGTGCGTCACGAATGAACACTACAGTAAGTAGCCTAACTACTTGGCTCCGGTGTTTTTATTTAATAAATCGCCTTATGTTTTGATATTTTTTTTACTTTGAAATTCATGATGAAAACGATTACAAGTATGCTCATCACCACAGCGGGTTTGAATAAAATAACAATAGCAAAACCTCACGTTTGCATTTGAATATCGGATGTTAAAAACCACGCACTTTATTCCAGGCGCTTCCGGGACACATTCCGAGCTGGATAACCTGTACTTGATGCTGGACCATCAACTCCATCCGATCTTACCCGACACCACTTGTCCACAATCGATACAGATATTTGAGGAACACAAACAAGTATGAAATTTATGTGTATTTTTAGTTTTGCGCTATGCAATAGCTTAGATTCATTGGATGGTTTTCGACTATTAAATTAATTTCCTAGGTTATTTTAAACGATCTAGCAATTTAATATGTCTAAAGCAATGTTTTCAATTAGTTTTGTTTAACTGTATTTCTTATTGGTATTATTTAAAATGGTTAAGCAAAACCAATATTACATTGTTGTTGTTATTCATATGTTTTTTTATTTATTTTTACTTTTTGTAAAATAATACTAGACATTATTTAAGTTTCTACGTTTTAAATTATAAAAATTATAAAATGTATTTTTAAAATTAAAAATATTTAGTTTGACTTAAAAATAATAATTGTAGTTTTATTGTTAAAAATCGAATTGCATTTTAGCTGGTTTTATTTTTTTAAGTGATTTTTATCAAATAACTTTTAAAACTGTTTGTACATTATTACAATTTTTTACTAATATGAATGCTTTATTGTAATGTTTTTATTAGCTTGCCCAAGAATACCTAAAAGTACAAACAGAAATAGCGTACTTATCTAAACATATGGAACAATTAGCAGAGAGATTAAGTCAAGAAGAAATATTGAGTGATGAAGGAACGGAAGAAGATGACGAAGAGATAAAAAAACTTGAAAATGAAAAGGTAGGAATAGTTTACACTAACTTAATCATAAATCAATGTTTTTTTATTTTTAAGAAATCTAGTCCCAAGTAGTTATAACAACTTATATTTTTTTCTTCAGCCTAGTGTCATCAGGTTTTTATCAATATACAGGAACTAAAATCATTCTTACAAATTACAACAGTTATTAACATAGACATTTTGTCTGGCATGTGCTCTAAAGTAAATGGGCCAATATATAATAGGTTGACCAATAAACAAAAAAAAACGGTTCATCACATACATTTTCCCCAAAAATCAAAAAAAGGCAAAATAGCAAAAAAAAAAAAAATTCCGTTTTAAATGTTACATACACTTTACCCTTTACATAATAATATTGAGTAAAAGATTACTTACAAGGGTGGTATATTTTCTATTTTTATTAAGCGAATGCAGAGTATTTTTTCTGGAAAAGAAGATCCCGAAATTTCTTTTAAAATATATTTTTAATTTCATTATTTAATAAAGTTAGTAGGATTACAAATACAAAATATACATTTTACAAATAATTAATAATTAATAAAAAAAACTTTTTAAAATGTATTATTTTTTGGGATTATTATTATACATATGTACCATTAGTTTTAAGAGGACGTCACACACCCGTTATCTTCTACAAAAAACCCGTCTTGCGCGGATTAATTTTACAAAGGCTATAATCAAAACTAAGAAACCAAATTTTTACATAATATAGACAACAACATTGTCTGTGTTCCATCATCGCCCTTTTTTTACTATTTCAACCAGTTAATGAATAATTAATTAATTAAGAAAGGACTTTTTTGACTTTTTTAAAAATGATATAGCCGTTGGTTGTATTAGGTATATCGAAAAAATACGGATGATGGAACACAGATAATTTTGTCATAAATAATATGTATGAATTTCTTTCCTTAACTATATATGAAGCCTGAGAAAAATTAATCCGTGCAAAGCAGTTTTGATGGGGAAAAAATTGTAATGTATCCTATAGACATGACTGTGATAGTCTGAGAAAAAAAATGGCAATCAACAAAGTATCCTCATTACTGTATACATTATAGTTCAAACTCTAAATTAAGATTTTTCGAAAAATTGCCTATACTTTACTCCTTAGAAATGGCCGGTGTGGCATCCTCTTAACCATTTTTCTTGAACAACTTATGACTTAAATTGAACAGATTTAAAGTTAATGAATTTAAGGAACTTTTTCAAAGTGGTCCATTTAAACATTAATCTTTAAAACAAGTATTTAACAAAGTTCCAAACTTTTGAAAACAAAAGTTCTAAAATAACTGTTATTTAACTTAGTTCTAAAAGCAACAATTACTTGCAACAATCTTATTTATTTGAAATAAAAGATAATTCTTAAGTTCTATTCCTGGTTCAAAATAGTAAGTAAATGGAACTTGTTTTAATATTCAATTTATAAATAATGTACTCTGATAACCCATCGTTTAAGTAACATAATGCTGTGTGTGCTGCATGACCGTTCATTAAAGATTTAAAGTCTGTAGACATTCATAACCATTATTGATATATACATGTATTTTGCAACCTAGAATAATTATTTATTTTATTAAAATATCGTAGTTGTTTGTACTAAAAGTGCAACTTCTACAAAGTGTTTTGTGTAGACAATAATAAAAAAATTATAATATTTAATGTTTTATTTGTATTTAGGAACACTTAACTCAAATGCACACGAACCTAAAAAAACAATTAGAAATGATAAAACAAAGAGACAATAGCAAACTTAATGAGAAGGATCCATCTACTTCTTAATAATCAGACAATAATTTTACAGTAACTACGTATATAGTAGAAAATGTATATTTTTACATCACTGTGTTTTATTGTAGGCATTGAAATATTTTATTTTCGTTAAATGTTTAATTATTGAACTAATAACTTGACAACAATACTGTGAATTATTTTAATATATTATATATACTTTTTTTTATGGGAAAATGTATTTTAAGGGTTAATTATAATTAAAATATGTAAGAAATTGTTCATCCCTACTCTTATACAATACATTTTAGTTAAAATAAATTAATATTATTTTAACGGTGTAAAGTATTGACTAATTATATTCTAGTCAAACTAAATTGTATCATTCAAGTTTTTAAAATGTATTTGTTTTTGTTTGTTTGTTAGTATTGTTTTTAAATATTATTTATGTATACTCATTAGGAAATATGTTTATTTATAAGTGAATTAAATTTATACTTTGTAGCATTAAGCATGCATACAAATTGTAGGTAATAATATACCAACCGAATTTATTTGAAAACATATTGTTAAAAAATGAAATTATTTTAGTATGCTGTGTAACAATATGTTGATATTGACTAGTATTTTACACGTTTTTTCTAAGAAGCATTATTATTGTATTAAATATGGTATATCTACAAATATGTATACTATGTAGTACACATTTTTGTTATATTATTGAAACACAAATAAATGATAATATGTTATTAATTTGCGAGTAATGAGCACCTTTGACATTTTTAGCAATATGATGGATTATCGTATACTAAAACCAATCGAAGGTCATACAATTATCTTAAGAATTTTAATATCCTATTTTTATGAATTTAGATTATGCGATTATTAAAACTCAAAATGTAGATAGTAATCCCTATACCTATTATATTTTAGGTATGATTACTAATATAATATTAGTTATTATTTATTTTGGTTCATTTTTTTATGTATTTAAAGAAATCTGAAATACACATCACGATGATCACGTTGGTATGTAAAGTATAAAAAGTATTGTTGTCGATGTTTTATGCTTCATTAGTTTACCAGTGGATACATTATAGTAGATAAAGATAACTCATATTAAGTACCTATATAGCCAATACAATTATTAGGTTTGTTCGTGTTAACAAAAAGTGTACACCTTTTTGCAACAAATGTACACCAAAAAGTTTGTCTTAAAATAGTGTAGTTGTACAAACTGTTCGTTCTAAAAAATGTTAATTTGGTTATACACTTTCCACATCGGTGGAAAATGGAAATGGAGGTGTAATAATAATAATTATACATCACAGTTTAACGACAGATTAGATAAAACAAATCTGAAAGTTTATCTAATCTGTGGTGTCATCTAGTAACCACCAGCAAAACTGCCCGGCTGAAAAGCTAAGAACATATATTAGCTTTGTTTTCAAAAAAAGTGTACACTAATTAGTAATTAATTTAGTGTCTGGGTCAAGAAGTGTAAGAGGTTTGATCAGATGTGGTATTTCAAAACAAACACTTTTTGTATAGATTGATCAACTGATAAGTTATTTTTATTGATAGTACAATTGATTATAAAAACTAGTTGATAAGAAATATGATAACGACCAACACCGAAAAATAGGTATGACACCTACGGTGTCCACTGTCCACTCAACGGTGGATGTGAAAAATGTTTGCACTTTTCACTGATACAACACTTTTTTAAAACAATCATCGTGTAAGACTACACTATTTCAAAACGAACGCTTTGGTGTATACTTGTTGTGAAAAAGTGTACACTTTTTGTCAAAACGAATAAACCTCTTGTTAGTTATGATATATCATGCGTGTAGCTTGCTCATGAAGCCAAAACCTAACGTTAGGTATATTTTAATTCAACTGTGCTAGTAAAATAATACACTATAGTGACAAATTTCTCTTTTATTGTCTTCTTCCCAAAAATACAGGGGTACTTCTAATATTTATAATTTTATTGTATTGTTATAGTACTTTGTAAATATTATTTATTTCATTCGTTAAGTAGAACAAAATTAATATGTTACTTTTTTTGTGTTTTATCTTTAAACTGCCTGACGTATGCTTTTGCTATCGGTGATATTCATTAAAGATTTAAAACGTAGCTTTTAATTTAAAAGCAACAGGCTACGACGCAATTCTGAGTCACAACAAAAGCCACGGGTGGCGCGAAAATTCTGTTTTTTTTTATCAATACATACCCATCCTTTTTATCAATATCTACCCAGCCTGAACATTTTTATCAACATAGCTATGTAGTATGTATCCTTGTTCTTATCTTTGTTCGCATGATTGTTATTTTTGTGTGCTATTGAATATTTGCTATTCAAAAACTAGCGTCAAGCTATAAATTTCACGAAAAATAGACAGACTATGACTAATGTATCAATGGATATATGACCATAGGCGTGACACAACAAATCATTCGACGAACTATACAAAGGCCATAGCTGTTGCTGACAACGAAAACTAATAGCATTACCAATGCTGGTTGATAGTGTCGGTATTATATGTGTGGTCAGTGGTATTAACGCTAGTACATTTATTTGTACTTAAAAGTTTTTAAAAAAAATTTTGACGCATTTTAATATGTAAAACATCTACCGATGTACTAAGAGGTTAGTCTTAATATTTATAAATATTCGAGTGTTATCGTGTTATAATATTTACATTGAATTTCGTCATATTTAGTAGTGGTGTCATTGTACTTAACTTTAGAGGTGCCCGAATACATTCACAGTTGATAGCCAATATGGATCAAGAAGTCACAGATTCTGAGACTCTTCAAAACATCTTATTGTAAGTAAACTTTAATTAAACCATACAATTATTTTATACGTGATTATAAGTAAAACATTTTAATAATAAAGTTTTATATTAATATTATTTTAAGTAAAACCTCTCTTGACTGGCTTAATATCACCAGTGGCAAAATAATTCTGTCTTGGTGTATTGGCTTTAGACCGTGATAGCGCTATGCCACTCAAGTTTGTAATTGGTCAAAGATTATTCTTGGTAACTACCATAAGTCTAGTCAACAAACTAATAATGGTTTGGGTAATGCATAATTGACTTACACCAGTGTCTTTGCCAATGAGTAAAATCTCGCAGCTTCCGGGAGTAGACCGTGACCTTATTTGAAAACCAAGTGATTTTAGCCACTAGACTATAGCTTGTCCTTATTATTTTTTTGTCAACTCAAGTTAACTTGAACCACTGTACTGAGTAATTATTAAAAATGTATAAATTTAACATACAGGCTCATTTATTAGTGCTGCCTTATCATGACGTCATCTCTTCTATGCATTTATTTCAAGTTCTATATTTTGTCCTTATTATTATTTCAGCTGTCGAGATTAAAAGTGGTGTAAGTCATGAAAATTTATAGTTGAGAAACAAAATGTTAAAGTAGAATTGCTGTATACGATTTTACAAGAACGTAAAGGATCCTTTGCCATCTAGTGGAAAACAAGCAAAACAGGAATCTCAGCTTTACTTTCATAGGCAATTGAAACTAGAATTATCGCCTGCTGGTGTTACTGCAGATTGTGTCAGTGAATACGTGACTTATACCACTTTTGCTCTTGACGGCTCATTTGTTGATTTTATTTTTTTACATTTAATCATTATTCCCAGACTTCTCTATGTGTCTACTGCTTAGAGTGACATTAATAATTATTGTGAAGGTAATAAAAAGCATAAAAACTATAAGTTAAAAATTACTGTTTGTGTTAGAAATATTTAATCACTGTAGATTGGTAGGTATATCAACATTAAAATACATTTTAATCTAGAGATTTAAATAAAATTAATTACTTTTCATATCATTATAATAACCAATAGGCCGTAGCCAGGATATTTTTTTTTTTAGGGAAAAAAAAGTAGTTGTATAGGTCAAAGGGTTAGTATAAATTGTACAACAGTTGATAATTTGTGTGCCAACCTACATTTATTATTGTTGTAAAAATGTTTGGAGAGGAGAACTAAAGCACAAGCTTCCCGATACGGAAATGTCCATAAGTATTACTAGTCATATACCATAATTTATTTTTATCGTTGCAAGTTTGGTTTAATAATATAGCCTATATCACATTTTTTTTCATTAAATAATTTAGTATAGGGTGTAAGAAGGAATGTTCACAGGGAAAGATATTAGGGCATACTTGAAATTTCTATGACTACGGAATGTATTGATTTTTATTTATAGCTATGTATTTGAGGATATTATGGTCTTTTCGAGGAAAATATTTCTACTATCATTTCTTAAATGTATAATGAAGTAATAATAAAGTATATTGTTACTCTAATATTTGTTTGTTTAATGTTATTTAAGTTGATTATTAAGAAAAATACTTATTTTATTAAATTTTAAGTAATTTCTTTTTTTACTACCCTCAAATTTTTTTCTTATTGCATTTTCATTTTTTTACTGGACCATTTATACACAACAGTTACTATTAACAACTTTAGCTTCGATACAAATTTAAAAAGGTATTGTTTTTTTAATTTTTGTGTCTGGATCCACAATATTTCTTAAAGGGCAAAACTGTACACATTTTTAAACATAAAATAACCACACTACAACTTTTTTAAAAGTATTCGCTAGTTATAACTACTTTCAAAACTTTTGTTGGTCCTTTTTGTTTTTTTTTAATATGTTTTTTTGTTAGTTTTTTTACAATTTTGTGAATTTGCCAGTCAAAATTGTCGTGTGGGACCGGCTTTGGATGTATGATGATGATTTTAAATTATGTTTTTCAGTTTACTCAATGAAACTCATTATAAACCAAGAGAATTTTACAACATGATGATTTCCAATAAGACAATAGCTAACTTGCTTGATTCTGATGATGACTTGATGAACAATATGTACAATGCTCTTTTTCAATGTTTTGGTATCATCATTACAGGGTAATTTAAATATAAATATATATTACAAACACAATAACTTAATGTTGTATTTTTTATTTCAGGTATTTATCAGGTCGATTAGGCCTTGTTAGCCATGCTGCTGGAATTGGTTTGAACCGGTTTGTTGGAACATTTGCTTTACCATCACTGATTTTTGTTAATATGGCTGTGTTAGACTTGTCATCTGTAAACTTGGTGTTTCTTGGATCACTTCTGGTTTCAAAAACATTTGTCTTTGTATCTGTTGCTTTAATTACAGTCTTAGTTACAAGACCACCAGACATAGCTAGAGCAGCTTTGTTTGCAATATTTTGCACACAAAGCAATGACTTCGCAATTGGCGCCCCGATATGTATGTAACACAAATTACTAACTAAGAAAAACTGGTTTAAAAAATATTTATATTTATTAATTATTGTACTAATATTTCAGTTGAAGCCCTTTACAGACATAAACACAGTGAATTTGTGAACTATTTGTATCTAGTAGCCCCCATTAATTTGATTATTCTTAATCCATTTGGTTTTGCCATGATGGAGTTAGGACAAGAATATGATCGCCATGAAACAACTAGACGGTCAGCTTTGATGGGTAGAATTTCAAGAAACATCATTTGCAATCCAGTTGTGTTTATGACAGCTCTTGGAGTAATAGCTAATTTAGTTTTTAACCATAGTCCACCAAAAATTATTACAACATTTCTTGGGGTTTGTAACAATATATATAATATGTAATAAATGTATTCCCTAATTAAATGTTTATTTTTAAAAAAAAAATTTAGACGTTTGGAAATGCTTTTACAGCAACAGCATTATTTTTACTTGGTTTGAAAATGGTTGGAAATGTCAACAAACTTAGAGGAGAAGCTTTGATCTTACCATTACTTCTTATTGCTGCTAAGTTGTAAATATCGATAATTTCAAACATAATCATACTTAATAACTAAGTGTAACAATTTAAATAACATATTTAAATACATTATATTGCTTTTTCTTCTATTAAGTAATTTTAAGAAAAAGTTAAACTTAAAGTGTTTGTTTCTTTTCAGGTTAGTATTACCATTAGTAATAAGAGAAATAACAAGTATATTTTTGGGTAATTTTGGCACAATTGCCCCTAATGATAAACTGGAATTCACAATGTTTGGATTTTTGTATGGAATGATTCCTTCTGCTCCAGCAGTTTTTGTTTACGCGTCTGCCTACAATTTAGAAATGGATTTGGTTTGTACAAAACATTGGTTTCACTAACTAAATGCAGCAATAATCAAATATTATGTCATAATTGTTTTTCCAGATTGCGAGTTCAATGGTTTTATGTGTTTTTTTCTCTGCTCCGATCATGTTTTTAACCGCCAAGATAATATCTGTAGCTAAATTAGATCCAACTAATAATATTACTGCTCTAATAAACTATCAATTCAATGTCAGTGTAGTGGCTATTCCTGCATCTGTAAGTTATCTCGTTTGTAGTTTAAAAAAAATATATATTTTTTGTGTATACACTAAGTATGAAACGGTCAATATTTCATAAGATTCAATGACACATTAAAAATAAAACTATATAATAGTTTTGGCATCTATTATCTATGAATGATATTAAACATTTTTTTTTACACAATAATGCCTTTAACTGAGGTCTACTTTTGATTTTAAATAGAACCCCTAATTATTATTTAATATTTGTTTTTCAATAAAAAAAAAAATATTTTGTCTTGAATACATTTTATGTCCATTCAATACTTAAGAGTTACAGCGTTTTAATGATTATGGTCGTTGGACAAATATTGACTGCATTTATGAGTTGCTAATAATTTACCACCCGCTACTGGCTATTGTATGCATTAATCTATATCTGTATCAACAATTAATTGTTTCACTGTGATGAACAACTTTTCTAATAATAAACTATAAGTTATTAAGTTATTGTAGTTGCATCCAGTCTACATAACTGGTTTATAATAATTTAAACAACCACTAACACCACTGAATACCATGTAAACTGTAACACATTCATTTGGAAAAATCTCTCCTAAAAACAAAATATAAATGGTTGTAACTTTTATAATACTTGACTGATAAGACATATTTTTTTTAATTTACTTAATTAATTAATTAAAAATTGTTTGTTGCTCTTGAAAATCAGAAGTAAATATTAGTTTAAGGCAAACTGTAAAAAAAAAAATATATATGCTTACCCCAAACTATTACATAGTTATATTTTTAATATATGACTGATGTACTATTATTATATAGAATATTAACTTGTTCATAGTTACTGAATCACCCTATATATATATATATATATACATGTTTATTTATATAACTTTTGTTTTAGCTGTGGGTCATACTAGTCATGTTGAAAAAGTTAAAAAGTTTTCCTTTTAAAGTGATTTTTTGTTTGGTTGTATCTCAGGTTAGTGTTAAATTTCCTTTTTTATAATAATAATATTAATAATATATTTATATATATATATATTGCTATTATAATAATATGATTTTGTTACAAAAATAATATTATTGATGTTAAGTTTAAATTTGAATTCATTTTGTTTTTAGGTAGTGTCATGCACTGGAGTTTTACTAGAGTATTTATCTGAAACTCCCCAATCGCATCCTTTAACTTACATACAACTTATGCTAAGTATAGCTGGTGATATGAGTTGTTACATTTGGACAGCATGTTTAGCCTTTACATTGCTTATAATGCACAAGCCGTTCACTAATGATTTTCAGAACAAAATTCTTTATTTTTACATGATATTATCTTGGGGGTAACTATTATTATTGTTTTTTTATAATACAGTTAATTTTTTAACTAATACCTTCTGTCTTAAGTGTTCCAATATTATTAGTGACCATTTTGATGTTAACTTGCCAACCGCCAAAATTCATCAAATCTGATTTCGATCAAAATTATGTGTATGGTGTACCAGAAGCAGCAATGCTAACATCAGTTCTTCTTATGTCCATTATCTGTATGCACTTTTGTATTTACTGAAAAATGTCTGTTTTTTTTCTTTTCTTTCAATATTTTTTGTATTTGTTTTAGGTATAGTTGTTTGTTTAGTATTATACCAACGACGGAAGTATAGAAATCATGCTGTTTATTCTGAAACAATAAATGAAATTACACCAAGTACATCAAAACAAAAGTGAGTTTTAATATTTGCTTATTATATGGAACTGTATTAATTTCATAAACATAAATTAGCTCGGAGTCACATAGCATTGAAACAGAAGATTTAAAAGAAGGTCTTCTGTATAATAAACGTCAAACTTATGCAACAATTGAAGATATTGAACACATCCAACACTTTTTGTTACTTGTGGCTCAAGCAGTTTCTATGTTTGTTGTAAGTAAAATAATTTTTTTTAAAAAATGTATTGAAATAATTTCTCACAATCGACATCAATCATATTCGTTAATAACGAAATAACTATTGTATATTTTTAATTATCCAATAAGCAAAACATTAAGTTTTAAAAATATATTATTTTAAACAAGCCACAGAAAACGATTAGTAAATTTTGGGAATTTAAGTTGCAATATCGAGGTCAAGAAAAAATGCATAAATGTATCCCAATAGTGAAGTACTTGGGGAGAAGAGATGAAATAACTATAAGTAAAAAAAAATCATATTTTACAGAAATAATAATACAAAAAATTACTATAATTTTGTGAACAAAGAAATTAGACTTAAGCCTGTTTTGTACCTAACACACGTGTTATGCATGTACATCATACGATTAAATGAGCATACACATGTTTTTTTTTATATCATGTATAATAAATGTGTGTACTATATGCGCAGGTGTGAAACGGGCATTACATATTTATCTTTTGCTTTGTATCATGGATACTCTTATTAAGGTTATGGACATCTTGATTAGAGATACAAACAACTAATTTTTAACATAACGGGATTGCATTGCTTCACACTTTAGGGCGTAAGGATTGATAATTTAAAACCTGAAAATTACTTTGTGTTTCTTTTAAATCTGCATTTTGCCATTACATTCTACAATATGTTAATATACAATACTTGCATATTAGTTTTAAAGAATTTTAGGTTTAAATTGTTTAGCATGATAATTAAATTCTAATTTATTATTATTCCTATTTTAGACATTTTCTGTGGCGATTTGGAGAATATTTGGCGATACAAATGGATTATACCTTGAATTGGCTTATTGTGAGACATCATTATTAAAAGGGCAATCAATTTTCACATTATTAATATATGGTCTTAACTACCAAATGATCAATAGGCCTGTTGTCAGAGCGTGAGTTTCCTTCCTATTAATTATTATGTATAATAAATTAATATACCTATTTTAATAATTTAATAGGGCCTACTCTCGATCTAAAATGTCATACCCTATAATATAAAATAAAAAATATATATATTTGAATTTTATTAACATAATGAATGATGCATTTTTTTTCCTAGTTGGAACAAATTCTGGTGGGGTGGATCTCCTATAGAGTTACCATTATGGGAAGAACTACCATATGATACGAGGAAAATATGTGATAATTTTGTGTGTAAGCATAGAGAAAAATGTTTAGCAGAGATTACTCACCTTACTAGGTAATAATTATTTTCAGGTTTAATTTAGTAGAATATAATAAATTATATAAAATGTATTAATATCATGACTTGTTAAAATTTTCACAGGTGGAAGTTATGGAAGTATAAGAAAACTTTTACAGGTTCTGAACTTATAACGTGGTTAGTAGAAAACAACATTTGTCAAGATAGAGATGATGCATTAACTTATGCTATTAAGCTTTGGAATGGTCAAATTTTAAGGCATTTAAATTGTTCAGAAAGTTTTCAAGATTCAAGTGATATTTTATATACATTTAATCGTCGTTAATATTATTTAAACATATTCCTAGCAGCTTTATCCTAATTATACTTAAATATTTTCATCGTGATAAATAATCTTTAAGAGTGAGAAAATTGTCATGTTAATTTTATTGGTGTATTTTAATCCAAAAACTAATGATAAATAATTTCTAATTTGTTATTTATTTTATTATAAACAGTTTTTGTTATATGTTGTACATTTGATTTGTTATCAGTTATTTATGATCCTAGTCAACATTATTGTTTAAAAACCGATTTATCAATTGTACCTAATGAATGTACTGTTTTTTTTTTGGTTTTATATTATTGACGACTGGTCTTTTAGCAAACTCCTATTTTAAATTACTCCATTAATGAAAGTCTATTTTTGTTATTACAAATTTTAAATAAACCATCTACGCAATTAAATGGAAAAATAAAAATAGAATTTTTAGAAATTGTTATTTGAATGGATTGAAAACGTTTCAGGATAAATTTTACGCACGAAACATTAATACTGTTACAAAAACCACAACTTAACTTTAAAATATTTTTTATTTACTTTTTATTTTTACAAGTTCAAAATCAGTTAAGCTATCTGACCATCATTCTGTCAATGTTTCTCATAGTTATAACTTATAACAAATATTGTAAAATTTCCTTGAAAACATTTTCAATCCTTGGTTCAAATTTTTGTTAATTTATTAACATTATACCTACTTATATGATCCATTATTGTGTAAATTACCAAACTAGTTATTGATTAAGAGGACCGGTTTCTAAATCTTTAAAAATGCCTCTCAAAAATTTGATTTGTATACTTTACATCCCCCCCCCCAATAAATCTTACAAATAGGGTTAAATGCGAGTTAATACATTTTTAAAAAGATGATAAGTATGGAAGTTAGAACCTGTTACATAGGATTAGGTAAACCGTAAAGAATCAAGATAAAATAAAAATGTTAAATATTTTATAAACATTATTATAATCTATACATACAGGTTTACAAAATTACTATAATATAGGAATAACATTTTTTTCCGGAATAAATCGTTTATATAACACACCACGCATCAACAATAATACATACTGTCGGCTTTGAAAGCCTGTTTTGCAACATAATTGGTCACGATTAATGATCTATTATATTTTTCGTAGTAAATATTAATAATTTGGATTGATTTTAGTAATTTTTTTGGTGCTTAGCTCCTCCACCCCTCTTGTATAATTACGCTTCTGTATTTTGCGTATTGAAATATACAAACGTCAAACACCGTGCTTTTTATGACGTTTAATGAGATAACATCGTATTTGATTTTGGCTATAACCTATAATGGTGATTTACGAGGCCGGACTTCTATATCGTTTAATGCATGTAGGAGAGCGGATGTCGGAAAACGGGCAACGGATCAAATTAAAATGTATTATTTAAGTGGGCTGGCAGCAGGTAGGCATCAGCAGCTAACATCTTATTACAGTTGAGTCACGACTAAATGAGTGCGTTAGGCGGTCAGCAGTAGTGGCGACACTGCGTGTGAGTTGGCAGCTCGTACGGGTGGAGGAAAAAACGAAGAAAACAAAAATAATCATCAGGCCATCGTCCCCCTCCACCCTTGTACGCCGCCGACGAACGACCTGTCATTTCATTTGTGTTGTGATTTCCGTTCGGACCGCTGCAGTACACCGCTCGCGCGCTCCGTGTTATAACTCTTGTATTTACATGTTACCCTGAGAGACAATCGGTTAATTTTCGTTCGTCGACGTTTTACGTTCGTATTATGGACGATAAAACGTCCCTGAAGGAACTAGATCAATGGATTGAGCAGCTGAACGAGTGCAAACAGTTGACCGAGAGCCAAGTGAAGTTCCTGTGTGACAAGGTAAACTATTGCGTAGACGCGTAACGACGGGCCCAACGGGTTCGCGCGCGCGGTTCGGCCATATTGTTTACCGACCGTAGTTTTCAATAGGCCGGTCGTTTGACTTTTCTCCGTCGTTTGCGTTACCCACGCTCCGGATCTCCTAACCGATATTCTGTGATGCCGCCGTTGTATGTGGTGGCGACGCCGCGTCCCTTGACCCATCCGCCGACACCACTACCACCACGTGACCCCTTCCCCCGGGCCCTCCCATTTTTCTCAATTTTCGGCGGTACACCATCTAAGCCCGGTAGCCCTTGGATGTGTCTGGCTTTTTGATGTTCGGTCGGTGAATTCCGATTTCACTAATCGTTTGCATGTTTTGATTTGTGCGAAACTGTCATTTATCCATACAAGGTGATCCGACGTCATCATTCGCCTTTTGACACTTTCCGGGCTTGTTAACTAATTTTTTGTTGATAACGCGATTAACCGTAAAAAGGGAATTGATTAGGCATTGTAACTTAAAGTTATTACAGCTATTGACAAATTATTAAGCCGTTCTAACCGTATTGTTCTATTGAACAATAATGTGTAATATTGGTAAACGATTACGAAATTAAAATGCGTGAAAGCGTTTAATTTTTGTGAAAAAAATTGGGTTTTTGACAAAAATTAATGATCATGAATAGTCATGATCTATGTTTTACCTAAAAATTGAAAGAAACTTAATAACTAAATAAATTTCGAATTGCAAGAAGCTTTATAAACAAGTTCTTAGACGTTAGTTAGTAGTTTTGGTTAGTGCAGTCTATTTACCTAAATATTATTTACATATTAGAATTTTGTACAATCTGTTATTTTGGCAAATTTCAGAATAAGTGTTGTTACTAAGTAGTTAAACTCAAGTGTTCAACTAATATTGATAAATTTAAAATAGGCACTATTTTTATTAAAAGAAATTTAATTCACTACACGCCCAGTTATAGGTATTTGATATCATTTTAGTTCCATTTTTTCTTTTTTCTTTTTAAATGCAAGGTTTATGGTACCTATTAATTTTATGTTTAATAAGAAATCTCCTTATCAAAAACAATGCTGATATTCAAAATTTGATTATATTGATATAATATGAAGGCATTCAATTGCTTCTATCATTGTATTGTGTTAAAACAATACCCTAGTTTCTGTTAAACTGAAATTCACTCCATAAACTGTAATTAAATGTTTAAAAAATTAATTATTCGTAAATAATTAATCAAGTTTAATAGTGTAATTAACAGTATTAATTATTATTACTAATGAATGGTTAATGCATTTTTATGTTTTGTGTAAGAAAAAAATTCATTGAAATTATTATTTAAAAAAACAAACTAGTGTATATATTTTAAATTTGTTGGTGAGAAGTGAATTTAAATGTAAGCAAATTATTTAATTCATAAGTAGTAATAACTTTTCAACTTAAAGAAAAGTATAACACTAATTGTAATTGTTGTATTTTAAGATCAGTTTAGTAGCTTCAAATAACAATATTTAATCCCTTGTCTAAACAACATTTAGCCTTTATATGCAAAAATGTGGGTAAAAATGGTACTGCTTGATATGCACTTAAAAGGTTCATCAATCTAAATACTTTCTAAAATTTAACCTCAATTTTTATTATTTTGTGCTTTGATTTCCAGCATTTAAATGTATTATTTGTATAAAATAGAAATGTATATCAACAACCTAAATAAGAAAGGTCCTATAATTTAGGGTATTAATTTCCACGTTAATTCCGTAGTGTACTTTTATCATACATTATTTATAAAAATGTGCGCTATTTTGAATAGTTCTATAAACAAAAAACTACCTCTAGAGAGATGTCTTTACCATGGTTGCTTTTGTTAAAGTAAAATATAGAGCTTGTCTGTCATTATTTTGAAATTCCTATATAATTGTTTATATCTTAACTTCTTTACCTCAACATTTTTTTTAAAGAATTTAAAAAAAATTAATTAAAATTTCCATCAACGATAAGGTATAAAAATATACCCAGCCTCTAGATGGCCTAATAGAGATAATAAAATTGAAAAGATAAAAATGGGCAATTTATCTTATTACAGAAGTTATCACCCATATGTGTCATTCATTGCAAAAGTGAATTGTCTCCTTGTAATTGAATTTTTATAAAACAATCTTTTTATAAATTAATGTGTAGGAAAAACGATACATGTATTCATTCAGTGTTTTCCATTTTTTATTTATTTTGCATTTATTAGAGTTGTTTCTCTTTTGTTATGAAAGATGACCAAATGTGACTTCATTAAGCAAAAATATGTATAATTTAAAAGTTTGGAGTTTACAACCCATATATCATAATTTTGATTTATTCCCTTCTGTAGAATACTATAAAAGGTTGTTTTCTTCTATTCTATTGCTGCCTAAACTGCCACTGAATGAGAAAAATATTTTGAAATATTTTAAAATGACAAGGGCTTACTAGTTTATGTATTTACATGTGAATAACCTTGATAAAATAAAATCTTTTTTCTTCCCCGTGAACTTAAGACGAGATGATATCAAAAATTTGACATTCATCAATTTATTATTTAAACATCTGTTAAGTTATTTTTGAAATTTAAAATTTTTAATAAATATTGGTTTAATTTTATTTAAACAACACGCATTGGATAAAGTTACACAATTATAATTATACCTTTCCTTACTTAAGTATACCTAGTTTACCTACCCTAAAATCGTTGCCTTTTAAATGTTCTCTTTGCGTGCTTTATTTCATAGAAATATATTACATTTGTTCCGTTGTTAGGTAATTAGATTATATAATTTCCATTAAGTCTGAATACATTTCGAGTAAAAACACATAATTATAAAAAAAAACCTATCTAACCTAAATTTTTCCTTAATTAGTTTTTCTCACAAATATTTTAAACTTTTTTCTTTTAAAAGAGTAGAACAATTTTGCATGTGCTACTTGGTATGTCTTCTTAGAGGGAGGTACATTAATTCTAATGAGAGTATTTTAATTATTAGAAAGTACTTAGTTGAGTTTGAAGGTTATTATTCAATGTTTGTAGGGTAGTGGCTTTTTTATACCTACGGCTATTCAATTTATCATTGGTTCTTAAGTAAAAAAAAAATAATTTGAACACTTTGATTATCGATAGTAAGAAATATATTAGGTATTACTAGTAAGCAAATAATTTTCTCTCATCTTCATCCTTCAGAATCTATTGATGTATTAACATTTTTGTTTAAAGTATAATAAATTACCCTAGGAAAAGTATAATAAAAAAAAGTTTAGTTTAATTATGTGGGTTGATTCACCCCTTATAAAAATAGATGTTGATGTTTATGAATTGAATATGAATAGTTTTGAATACCATCCAAGAGGAATCATTATAAATAGATGTCTAAAATAATATTCATACTGCATACGTCACTTAACACTGCCATGTGTTTTGTTTTTGTATTTGCTGTTATTCTTATTCCTTATCTTTGGTTAATTAATTACTTCATTACAACTAATGTAAAGTATTCAATTACAGGCAAAAGAAATATTGACAAAAGAGTCCAATGTACAAGAAGTAAAATGTCCGGTCACAGTATGTGGAGATGTACATGGACAGTTCCACGACTTAATGGAACTATTCCGGATAGGTGGAAAATCTCCAGACACAAATTACCTGTTCATGGGTGATTATGTCGATCGTGGCTATTATTCTGTTGAAACCGTTACATTATTGGTTGCATTAAAGGTATATATTTAAAAATATATTTTAACTAAAGTTGTTTGTTTTATTTCATTTCAATTTTCTAGGTACGATATCGAGAAAGAATAACAATTTTACGAGGTAATCATGAGAGCCGACAAATTACTCAAGTGTATGGATTCTACGACGAGTGCTTGCGAAAATATGGCAATGCAAACGTGTGGAAATTCTTCACTGACCTGTTTGATTATCTCCCATTGACCGCTCTTGTTGATGAACAGATATTCTGTCTACATGGCGGGTTGTCACCTTCCATTGACACCTTAGATCATATTAGAGCATTAGATCGTATGCAAGAAGTCCCACATGAGGTAATAAAAAAGTTAATTGTTATGTAACATAATTTACCATGTAACAAATTACATTTATTGAATTTTGGTTCATTATTTATTTTTAGGGCCCTATGTGTGATTTATTATGGTCAGACCCCGACGATCGAATCGGTTGGGGTATATCACCTAGAGGGGCCGGGTATACCTTTGGTCAAGACATTTCAGAAACATTCAATCATTCAAATGGTTTAACACTTGTTTCCAGAGCTCATCAACTTGTAATGGAAGGTTACAACTGGTGAGACATTTTTAATTGGTTATTTATGTTTTAACATATTTTATAATACTACATTTAATTTCATTTTCTACAACTAGGTGTCACGATCGCAACGTAGTCACTATATTTTCAGCACCTAATTATTGTTATCGGTGTGGCAACCAAGCTGCTATAATGGAACTAGATGATGGCTTAAAATACTCCTTGTATGTATTAGATTGTTAATTTCAAATGTATTCTTTTTAAAATTCAATTTTTTATGTATATATATATATTTTTTTTTTTTTTTACATTTTTAGTTTGCAATTCGATCCAGCACCGAGACGCGGTGAACCACATGTCACCCGTAGGACACCAGATTATTTCTTATAAGTTAACAACACCAATCGTAATGGGTATTAACCCATTTTCGGTATGATTAAATAATACATATTTATATAATTATCCATAATAATATAAATATACATTATCTAAATATATATATATATATATGTTTATGGCCAAGTCTTATCTAATTAATACAATTTTAATGATAATGAAAAAAAAAATGTAGAGCAAAAGTGGAACTGTGTGTGTTTTGTTCTTTTTTTTTTACTACTGGCATTTTTATTATTTTTATTTATACTTTCAACCAAATGGACAGGATATTTAGAAAATATATTTGAAAAAAAAATAGAGAAAAATAATTATTTCAGTAATAAATTATATAATTGTTTTTTTATGCTATTTTGCATTTTTGACATTATTTAAGAAAATCTATTATCTGTATTCCTAACAAATTATCTTCTAAAATAATTTAAAATACTTATATTCTAATCTAATATCAAAAGAAAAAAATTATATGTACATGTACGTATACGTGTAGTTTTTAATATGATTTTAATCATCTATCCTATTTAATAATATTAGAAAAACCGAAAATAAATAGAAAAAGGTCCATTTTAAATCATTGAAATACATTTTCAAATGTGTAACTGTATTCTTGCACATAGATTAGCTATTGTGTTGTACATTTTTTTAACTATATATAACACATTGTGTAAGTGTAGATTTAAAAAAAATATGAGTTGTTAAGTAAGCCAGGTTTTATCTGTTATATATATATACATATTATTTTATATTATTATTATTTTTATTTTGTCTATGTAAGCAATAAATTCGGATTTAACACTGGATTATAATTGTGACATACTCCTTTAACTAAATCAAATCTTTTATATATTATAAATATATAAATGTTGTTTTTAATTTATTAATTTTTTTTAATTAACCTATTTAATTTGTTATAACCATTGCTAAATCCGAAATAAGTTGGCATATTGATACAGCTTTAAATTGGTTGTCAGTATTTTTTTTATTTTGACTTAATATGTTCCCTGTCATAAAAATAATTTACTTGTTCACCACGTCTTCAATTTGTATATTTAAAAATTCTTAAATTAAACAAAATTAATTTTATTTAGGATTTTTGTTTCTTTTTGTTATACTTAAAACAAATAATGAAACATGAAAAAAAGTAAAGAGCTCTTTTGTAGTTTTTACTTTTAAGACAACCTCAATCAAATATTGAGCATTTCTATTGGTAATTATAATTTACACACCGTTGTAAAACTAAAAAAATGTATCTGATTTCAATGAGGAGACCAAGTACCTTACTAAAATTTAAACATGTAAAAATAAGGATAATTAATATAATATTAAATAAGTAACCTTTATATAATTCTTTATAAATATGTATATGCTTAAATACTAGAGTAATATTTTAACATAATTGTCTTGCAAAATATTAAAGCAAGGTAGCAGATTTATGAAAATATGATATTATTAAAATACAACACAATTCAGACTGTGTTTTATTTTATCAATACTAAGTTCTTGAATTAAATAAAAGTTTCAAAAATAGTCAAACATATTTTATATTAAAAACATGACTGTTCATAAATGCATTATGAATTTTAGATTTAAAACTAGAACTAGATTTAATTTTTTATTAATACTGAAAAGTGGTTTTGCATCGAACAATTAATTGGATTTCTACAACTGTTCTATTCTCAGAAATAGGAATTGGTAAGTACCAAACTTCCTAAAGATAAAACCAAAATAAAAGGTTTACACTATTAGTACATCTTGTGTTACTACTACTTGAATAGATTGACTGTTCTGCCAGTATTTTGCTGCCACGCCATACATTTGTCAGCAACAAGATGCTACAGTATTAATAGTTAATTATTTATTTTTGTTATTATTATTGATCATTATATTATTATAAATTATGAAATATCAATGTTGTATTGAACAACAATTTATTTTTCTTGAGTATTAAAGCATTAAGTTATCTTAAACTAATAACTAATCGCTCTACACCTGCCGTCTTCGAAAGCCGACTCGAGCCCCAGATGAAAAAATAGCTTGACTTAAAAACTAAACTAACCTAGCCTACTGCTCTGGAAGCGTCAGCGACCTGACCTATCCTCGCGTCGCCGACAAATGTATGGTGTGGCCATAGCCGCCTATTATACACACAGAAATATGCAGTTTTCAATTATCTAGAACTAGACGAGTCCTGCAAATTTGACTTCAGATTCGGAATTGGCGTAAAAAATACTACAAGATGGTAAACAAAAAAAAAACGGTGCCCCGTGGTTGAAATATATAGGTTATTGCACATCGTCTCGATGTCTTCAGAAATAAAATGACAGCATTACGGGATATCAATTTTACTTTATTTAAATGGACAAATGTACTGCTGATTGATTACATATGAAGTATCATCCACAGTATGACTATTCATCAATTGCTGAATGCTGCGACCGGCGTAGTCCGTCATCGCCCGCTTTGTTCAACTAAGTACATACAAATTGAGCCAAATTTACCCTCAATTAATTTTTAGTTTTGTTATTGAATGTAGTTACCATAGTATTAATTGTGTAGTGTCAGCTATAAGTTGTACAAAATGGTAAAAAGGATTTCACCCCATAAAACTACAATATTGCCCCACCACTGATAATTAGGTGGAGTTTAAAAAGCGTATAAAACCGTTACCGAAAATTTTAATTATTTATCATGTATAGCTTTATGTAGTATATATATAAACTAAATGAATGAACGGAATTGAATACGTGTATTGTGAGTCGTAGTAATTTTTGAATTTCGCGGGCGTATGTCGGATGCGGCATTTAAAAAACAGTGTTACCTTCAAAGGAATGTTTTTTTTATTATCTTGGAATTTTTATTATTATATAAAATAACTTAGGATTTAACATATATAAGTTATAATAACTCACTGAAACTTATCACTAATTATTGAAAACTTTTAAAACATTTGGTTATAAATTATAATAATACAGTCCATGAAACAAATATTTCTAAAAGCTAATTGAACATAATTTATATTTTTAATAATGAGCTTATTTGAAGTAACCACGGTTGTGGTTGCAACCGATCGTAGCCAACAACTAACCCCACTTTAGTTGGTCGGCGTTTGTAGACCACGATATTCACACATCACTCGTGTCCAATTCTTTTTACCTCTGTCGTGCATGCACATATGAGCATTAGGTGTTCGTAATATTTTGGTTATTTCGTTCGGACATTACATTAGAAAATGGCCGAAACTATGCAATTGCGAGGTACCCTTCGTGGTCACAACGGATGGGTTACGCAGATCGCCACCAATCCGATTCACACTGACATGATATTGTCTTGTTCACGAGGTAAAGTATTCGACCGCCTTGATTAGCTTAGGCCAATTTATTTTATAAGTATTTTATGTTTGGTCAATCGACCAACTTCCACCATCGTGGTTTTTGATTTATTCGGTTAATGGTACGTTCATACTTTTATGTAGACAAAACATTGATTGTTTGGGACTTGACACGTGACGAACTGAACTACGGCATTCCCAAGAAGCGTTTGTATGGTCATTCTCATTTCGTCAGCGACGTTGTACTCTCTTCCGATGGAAACTACGCTCTTTCGGGTTCGTGGGACAAGACTCTACGTCTATGGGATTTAGCTGCAGGGCGCACGACTCGTCGATTCGAAGATCACACCAAGGTTCAATATATCTCAAGCTTTTTTTTTTCTTTTTTTTTTTTATTATGTCTAGAAGCTTTACAACTTGGTAAGTACTTAACAAGTATTCAGGTTGGTATACGCTTCTCGGATAATAGGTACACAAATTAACGATATATGATATTTTGAATATTGCCGTAATATAGATATATTTGTGTATAGGATGTCTTGAGTGTCGCTTTCTCAGCTGATAACCGTCAAATTGTTTCTGGAAGTCGGGACAAAACCATTAAGTTGTGGAACACGTTGGCTGAATGTAAATACACAATTCAGGTGAATAAAATATTGAACTATAGCTGTCAGTTAAACAAAATTTAAAAAGTAGTGTATTAACCTACCCTCAATATATTTTATGTGTTAGGATGATGGTCACAGTGATTGGGTTTCATGTGTACGTTTCTCTCCCAATATCCATAACCCTATTATTGTCAGTGCTGGTTGGGACAAAGTAGTCAAAGTATGGAATTTGACTAACTGCCGCATTAAGACTAACCATTATGGACACACAGGTTACCTTAACACAGTCACTGTATCTCCAGACGGTTCATTGTGTGCTTCAGGAGGAAAAGTAATAAGTAGAACTGTGTTTTAATTAGGGTATAATTTATATCAATATAATATTTTTTATAGGACTGCAAGGCTATGCTGTGGGATTTGAACGATGGCAAACACTTGCATACGCTTGACCACAATGATATTATCGAAGCTCTATGCTTTAGCCCGAATCGTTATTGGCTATGTGCTGCATTTGGACCATCAATAAAGATTTGGGTAATAAAATAATTTTTTGTTACAAAGTTTGTCTTTATTTAACATTTTTAATTTTTCGTTAGGATTTGGAAAGCAAAGAAATGGTTGAAGAACTGCGGCCTGAAGTTGTATCACAATCACAAAACAGCAATACTGAACCACCTAAATGCCTTTCACTTGCATGGTCGACTGATGGACAGACTTTGTTTGCTGGATATTCAGATAACAATATCAGAGTTTGGCAAGTGTCTGTTAGTGCACGTTAATGTCTCATTTAACATTGATGTAATATATTAACAATTTATATTACATTTTTTTTGTTTGATGATCTTGTTTTCCTTTTTTATTTTTAATCCTAGTTTTTAAATGATATTTGGTAATATTATCATGCTGTGTTCAAATGGTGTAGTTAATAATTGTATGAAAAAGGTATACTCTACTTTAAATCTATGAGTGTATATTTAATCATAATTTTTTAATATTTGATGCTCTTTTAACCTGTTTTTAGTCTCTCTTTTTTGTATATGTCGATAGTCGTGTGGTCAGAGATTCTCTTGCTCTCTTTTATATGCAACTTTATCTTTATCAATTACTTAAAGATGTAAACTATAAACGCATTATCACTTACAAGAATATTTTATGGATAAGTGTATATACATGTAAAATCCCTTAAAAAAAAAAAACTGGGAAAAAATAACTTGCTTAGTTGTGAAAAAAGGAACTTCTCTCATCTTATGCACACAAACTGCTGATTACGGTCAGTTAAACAATAAATTATTTTCTCCATGTTAATAGTTCTTAAGACTAAAGTTGTTGATAAGGTATATTTATGAAACAAGACGATAAACAAACATAAAAGCCAGTAGTGACCAACATTATCTTATGGTAAGAAAATCTCTAACCATGCACCAAAAATGGATTCAACAATCCATTTCAAAAGACTTCAAGTGAATTTTTAAAATGAAAATGATTGATACTTAAAAAAAAACTCTAAAAGCAAATACTTAAAAAAAAATTGTATTACTTTAAGTTTTGACTTAAGTAAAGAATTATTTCAAGATTAAATATCTAGAATTCATCTGTGATGTAAAATGCGAAAAAGGAAGTTGTTCCATTTTCGATTACAATACATGTGTACTCCCATACCGATATTCGAAAAAAAAATGTCTAAGAGAACAAAACTATAAATTAATTTGGGCGATTTAAACATTAAATAGAAAAATTGATTTAAGTCATTGGAAAAAGGGGATTTTTAACAAAACTGTGTAATTAATTATCCGCAATCATATTTATCGACTATAAATGCGTTATTTTTTAATTCCCAAACCGCGAAAAAACAATTAAAAAAATATATGCACTAGGTCCGATCGTTGTTCTTTGTAAGCCGTGAATTGGTGACAATGCCATAGCGAAGATGAAAACCCAAATGAAGAAGCAAAGGGTGTAAGTGGACGTTTAGATTGTAAAAATATTATTTATAATAATATAATATATCGCCTAAAGGTATAAAATAAAAGTTCTTATAACTTATAACATACTCTCACGGGTTTTATCAAACGCCCCAATTTAGTAAGAAAATACATCAGTTATCAAGGGCGGACAAGATTCAGTATCTTAGGTTTCAAAATACAAACAAATAATTTAAATAGGTTATTTTGTATATTGTTTCGAAAAGTTACTGTACCTCGTCCATCTCTACCGCAGTGATACCTACAATTTCTTTTATCATTACATGGCTTATGGCCAATGAAAAAAAAGTAATAACAACCTTTTCAAGTTAGTATTACTAAATAAATAATATATTTGAATTCTGACAAAAAATTTAGTAGTTGGTTTAATTTTTTTAATTATCAAAGTTTGTCAAAATTGAAAAAAAATGACGTAGTTCAGGTCATAAATTCCACATACATTTTTAACATTCCCTCAATTATTCAATAACTATCCCATTTCTACTCTCTAAGTAAAGGGAAGCCAAAAAAATAGGTGTCATACAAGTATGTGTTAATGAATCAAATTTGTATTACAATATTATGTATATAATAATGTATTAGTACTCAATGTTAATATTATGTTAGTATATTATGAATTATTTAGATGAATACGTTATTACTTATTATATTATAATTTAAGCTTTTACAATTCGTCTTTAATAAAATTACACTTTATTGGTCGATTGTTAAATGGTTGTAAATCTCTATCGTTGCCATTTATTAAGGCATGATTTTCGCTTGAACGCAATTGTCGAAAAGCTGCCAGCTGTTGAATGCAAAATGGGTTACATATTATTTTTTGATTCAGAATTATTCAATTTGAAACATTTATGTTATGATATAATTACTTGTCGTTTGGATATTTTGAATGTGTTGATAAAAGCCATCCATATTACACATTCGCTGAAAGGTGTCGTAGTTAATGAACCTGGATATGTAAAATATTCTTGTAGATATGCTGTTTTTTCTAAAAATTGAAATTCTTCTCCTATTTTTCTTATTATTGATGAATAAGGTTCAATAAGTAATTGTAAGTCACTGATGAAGTTTTCCATTTCAGGATCATCTTCTTCGGATAACTTATAATAATAACGGTTTCATAAAAACAAAATTGACAGTTGATTAAATTATTGGTATAACACAAGTCATAATAATATAATTAAATATTTAAATAAGCCCTTAACCACAAAATAATTCTCTAAAGTTTAACGTATTTCGGCAGCGATGTAACATCATCAGCGCATACAACAGACTGACTGTTTATTTAATTATTTTATAATATATAACCACAAATGTTGCTTAGGTTTTTTTCTAGATTAACAATATAATAATTTCATTTTGAGATTTTCGGATATATTAATAGCGATAGTTTTCTTCTAAAGTTTCAAACCCATTGCAGGGTTCATTTTTAGAGAGGCGATTGTAAATTGCGCCGAAATAATTAGGTCAATAGTTAGTTTTGCAGGATTTTTTTTATCTTACCCATAAGGTAAAGATTTTACCAGAGATGTAAAATATATTTCTTTATCTTTTTGATATAACAATTGAAGTCAGCATCTTGCATTGTTCATATATATGTATTTTTAAATTTACTTTATACGTCACTAAACTCTAAATTTTGCGCTAAGCTTGCTGTTAAGCACTTATGTAGTATTTTTGAGGTTCGTTTAGGGCTAATTTTTTGTCACTCTTTTTTTATTTGAATCAGCCATATTACTATGTGAGTACTACTAAAGCTAAACTGAAAGTTTGCCGTGCGTAGTTTACTACACTAAAAGTCGTAAAGATATTAAAGTAATATTCCCAGCACTATTTATTACCCCATACAATCATATGATAACATTGTCGGTGCAGTTTACCCCACCATATTTCAGTTAGACAAAATCGATTGCCGCAATTCATCGTTAACCCTTCAGTGACATGTTAATTCTGCGTATTAGCTGTGGATACATGCAATTTGTAAGTATGTCGAAATTGAAGATAGACCTCGTAAAAGATTCGAAACTTCGAAAAAAAAAACAACTATGCACACAGATAAATCCAACAAATCTCAAAATAATTTATCAATCCACGATTGAGCTTCGACCGATTCATAATACAATAGTGTAACATTATTAATGTTACATATCAATTAAAAAGTTATTTAATCTTTGCTTCATTACATATAAAAGTGAAAATATGGCGAGATGAAGGAGAGAGTACTATTTATGAAGTATTGTTAATTATACATCGGTTGATAATGTAATAATATATCAATACATTTATTATAATAACTAATGGAATGAACTATAGGTATTGGCATGGTCTTGTTTCAAGGAAACATCATAGTATTTCTTCGAGTTGTCAATAATGATGAATTAAATTAAATTTAATAAATTGTTCAGTTCATAAAATTTAATGAATAATTCGTTGATTAGGTCGGCCAAATAACCATTATTCGATAATTTATGAATAAATATCAGGTAAAACCAACAAATTAATTACTTTCATTATTCAACTTTCTAAATAAAATTTCGTAAATTGAAGAATACATAACTCGAGTTATTCATTATTTTGAATCATTCATATTTTTAATAAAAAAGCGCAATTTTTCTAATTTTTTAATTGAATTATTCAAGATTTAAGTATTCTAAAAATCTTACACCCCTAATACTTATGTATTAAAAAAAATAAATTATTTTTAATGAAACTCTTATAATTACATACGTCTTTATTTTTAAAACTGAGTACGCTATTTTTTAATTTGATTAAATGAAAATCTACTAAAGTGCATCCTTACATAAACCTTGTACAAGTCCTTTTTTATTACTGGTATTACCTCTACCAATATCACTTAAGTCTTTATTTCGCTTGTCTATTTTAAAAACATATCGTCGCACTTTACTTATTAATTAACTTGTTTTAGTTGGTTGCATTGGTACCTACTAATAATTGTAATTGGACACTAGGTCCAGATCATGTAAACTTAAATGTTAAAATAATAAATAAGTATTTGAACCTCTCCAAAGTAGCTAAGCACGCAGTATCCATCAATATAATTCATAGCTTCTTCGGCATTATTGTATTTTGAATTAAAGTGTACAAAATGGATTTCCATAGCATAACTGAAATAAAATAATTAAACTATATAAACAAACACAAGCATTTAATTGTTGTAATTAACCTCGTGTTGAGACTATTCTAAGTGTATTATATTGATATCCTTGATAGGTATCTTTTAAAATGAATTAGTACCTATTAATTTACTATTTGTATCCACAATTTTCCATGGAATAATTTGCTAAATATTATTTATTTAAAACTTCTAAAAAAAATTGGCAACTCTTATTTTTTTATTTTTTTTTAATCGCCAAAAACAAAATTTAAAAACATTTTTTTTACTTTGATTTAATTTTTAAAGTGAATGATAAAGTTTTTTTGAAAAATTAGTTTTTCTACGCTCTAGACTAGTTTATTTCACACTAAAATCAGATTTGAAAAATAAATATGATATTTATAAAACAACTATAAACAAAAAAAAACAAAACCGGATTATGAAAAATTGTAAATAATGATTTCTCAGAATCACGAAATAGTAGTTTATAATAATATTACTTGTTTTTTTTTTTTGACGACTTAATCGACTTTTTTGACTTATCGATTGATGGTCGGGAAAGGGGGCTCATTGTGTTTGCATACATATCACAGGAATACATGTTTAGCCAGTATTTTTAGTATATTAATTTTCACTACAAACAAGATGTGTGCAAAAACTCGATTAAGTTTTAATCAAATTCCCTATAGTCCAAAACAACTAACTAGAAATGTATTTACCACATATAAAGATATGCTTTGCTATTTTTTGTTTCTCCAATGATAGAGTAACAAACATTTTTTTTTCATAATCCAGGTTTTTTTTTGTTTATAGTTGTTTTATATATTCATAAATTTTTTTTTCAAGTCTGATTTTTATGTGAAATAAACTAGGTTAGAGCGTAAAAAACGAATTTTTCAAAAAAACTTTATTATTCACTTTAAAAATTAAATCAATGTTAAAAAAAAATTGTTTTTGCATGTTTTTAAATTTTCTTTTTGGCGATTAAAAAAAAATGAAAAAAATAAAACTGTACACGTATAATATGCAGAATATAGTTCATCTAAACATAGCTACGCATATTATTGACTAAATAATAATCCTAGAATTTTTTTTTCATACTTATAATAGTGAGAACTTTATCTAGGTTCTCTCGTCGCTTTTTTTTTTTAAATTATTAACCCAACATTCATAATTTATATTTTAGTTTTGACATTTTTTTTACTTTTTTAAGTGCTTGTATTTAAAGTAAAATTTAAGTTTTCTAAAAAACACTGACGAGAGAACCTAGTTAAAGTTCTCCTCTTTTTCATGGTATCAACATTTGTTTCTATGAACATTTCATTTTGACCTACACGCTTTTCCTTAAATGCGTTTTTACGATTATTTTTAAAGGGTATGACATCCTCTAACCTCTTAACTTAAAACATTCTATTAAAAATGTATTTTTTACATATGATTAGAATCGTTAATCATGAAATAAAGTTTAAAGGTATTAACATTTGAAAATCGCTCAAGTTAAAGTTTATAAATTAAATTGTTCTTTAAATTTCGAAACCTGTACTTTTTTGCTTTGCTTAGTTTCCTATAAAATTGCGTCTCTTGAAATATCACGATTTTGTACAATAAAAGCTATTTAAATTTTAAGAACTGCAAACTAATATTTACCGGTTTGAAAACATTATCTGCATATCTTGTTCTATCGAATGACTTATATTTAGATCCTTATCAAAAGTTCAATAAAAAAAAAATACTCGTGTCTACATATAATATATTATAAGTGCAACAAAAACGCAAATAAGTGAAAATATGTGCAACCTACTAACTATTTATTTGTTTGGCAACACATACTTATAAATTTTATTTTGTAAGTATTGATGTTTAATTTTTCTAGCGAAATGTAATACCAAATCGTGCGTAACATATATTTTTAATAGTTTTATAACAATAAAAATGATTAAGTACCTTTTTCCATCGAGGGTATGTTCACTTCCGTGAGTATCATTTGCCCAATGAATATGCATTTGGTCAAATTCGTAGAAGTTGTCAAATAGTGGCCCACCTGTAATGCCAAGTACCAAAAATTCTTTTTCTCCATCGGTCAATTCAACGTGAACTAAACAAAAATGCGTACATGTAGCTTTATCTATTTTATATAACTTAAAAACTAAAAAAGCATATAATAATTACCAGTGTGGCCATTATTTGTTATATTAACATAAAGTGATTCCACGCCCCAGTAGTTAACGTGTTGGAACTCTGGAAGTGGGATAAAAGTTGCATTTTCAGTCTGTATATCTACTGGTGATTGAATTTTATGACCAGGACGCCATTGTATTTTAGGCCAAACGAATTTTAGGAATTCGTCTTCGAAAGTGTCAGGAATTGTTGTCGGTGGTATTTGTTTATCTTAATTGTAAATAACATATTATAATAATTTTTTACACCGTTACTAAATTATTAATATTAGATTATTATTATATAGAATATTTTATGTACTTACCAGAGGAATTCGCAAAAACGACTAAACAAAATATAATATAACTGGAGTAAACGAACAGAACATTCGGGTAAGTCATTTTAACGATTGGCAATAATGTTGTAAAAATCTTCGAACTAAAATGAATAGCAAAAACTAAATTGCGTGTATTTTAAATGAACAAACGCATGCGTATTTTTATAACATTGTATGTGTAATAATTTATACTGTTTAACCTTGTCAGAATTAAATTCTAATTTATGATTTTCGTTATTTATACAAATATAGGTAACCTGCTCATAACTTGCGATGTACAAGATGATTCACTTTGTAAAAATAATGACTATAGTTAATTTTGATCACGTGTAATTAATATCATAATTCATTTTTAAACGTTTAGTAATTCAAGCCTCAAGGAGGGAGGAACCATTAGGTTGTTATTATAGTACCTTAGTACAAATAGTTATTCTCTATCAAACCATAAATGTATGAATATGTCATGAATGTATGTTTTAAAAATGCAAATTACATTTTAAAATTCAAAACAGCAAAAACCTGTAGGTTTAAAAGATTGTGTTATTAGGAAAACAATAATAACAAGCTCTATAAAATAAAACAATAATTTATGAAGATGATTAAATTTATTCTAAATTATCTTATTATTATTTTTTAAATATTTAAATCACTCTGTATATGGTTTTAATCAAGGCGATTATAGATTTGTTTTTTTAATAATTACTGCTAATTATGTACATAAAACGTTTAATATGTATTCAGTTGCAACTGTTTAACAACTAAGTGAAAACCATAAAACTCTTTGTTAATTAATTTATAATTTAAATAGCCAAATTATTTGGGGGGAAGGGGTTTAAAGCTTTCCTCGTCATTGTGGTGATGGTAAAAAATAAATAAACTACTCAAATGTTGGTAATTTCGGTTGCTGAATTTCTGAGAGGTCTTAAAGAGAGATTTAGGTCCTTTGATTTAAAACTACTAGCAATACAGTTGGAATGTCTATCTAACCATAAACGTGTACACCATAAAAGGCACATAAGTATTATAAATAAGGAAAATTATACCATCAGTTAAAATATCACCTTATAGTTGACACTGTAGGAGGCACGAAAACAAGGTACCTAAGTATATACTTTGTTGTGCACATATTGTGCAGCATGCTGATGTATGTTTTACGCAAATTACATATTTATTCAGAAGTTAAAAAAATTAAGTACCTATCTACTACCTACTATACGATTGTTATACATAAAAACAGAGGTGGAGGGATAAAATACCAGAAATGCAAACATTCGATTTACAATATGATTATTGATTATGCAGGAAGTGGTATACGCGACAAACAGAAAAAAACTATTGAAATACTGCGATAAGGATCACAAAAAGTAAGTTAAAATATTAAACCCAGAATCAACCCAGCTATAGAAGTATAAAACATGCATTTAAGAAATGTCCAAATAACTACAACAGAGTAAACATTTGCCACTGTTACATGAACAGTGGCGGATTTAATGGTCTTCCGAAGAGTAGATGATGAATTTTCAAACACTTATACTTATTATCAACTAGTGTGAAATAGTTATTTCAAATTTATACAGTATACTCCTTTATTCAAATCTATAAATTAGCTGATTCGGAGCTGAAAAGGTATTGTTTTTACAATGATGTGTTTTTATTTTTTTTTATTTTTTGTGTCTGGGCCCATGATATCTCGTAAACCGCTGAACCGATTTCTTCGTGTAGCAACTCTATAGATCAGAAATCATACCTGAAAGGTACTTTAGCTGGCCAAACATTTTTAAAAGTCACCCCTTCCCCATCAAAATTGAGAAAAACACCCAAAAAATGTATAAATTTTTCAACTTAAAATTACGATGCTCTATAACTTTTTTAAAAATAGTCGAAAAAGTTCCAAATTTATATAAATTGTTCTTCAAGTATAGTACTATCGATAAACATTAACAAAACAAAAAAATATCATAAACCCTTTTCCCTAGAAGGAATAGATTTTTTTTCTTTATTTCACTTTTTCAAGCAAATTTTTAGAGATTTAGATCTGAAAATTAGACCGAAGGTAGATCTAAAATTTAACTATAACATATAAAATTTTCTCAAAAATCTGTGGTCAAATTTTTTTTTTTTATTAAGGAAAAACCCCAAAAATAGGGTAAGTTTACACTTTAGCCGTAGTCAGTTTCCAGGTTGCTATGTGTGTGTGAATGAACAGTCAACAGGTAATGAAAAAATTTCCATTATATTGTTAATTACGATGTATGGGTAACTATGACAGTACATTTTTTTAGACAGACGATCAACCCTTATCGTATCCACCCTGCACAGGACTAAATATTGAATGTTAAGTACATTATTGCTGGTCCCACGATATCTTCTAATACACTATAACTGGTTTGAACATACTATCCACAGATTCGCATCGAACCGTTTATTTAAAAGTGATTTTATCATTTTCAGTTATAATAAAATCTGTAGACCTGTGACATCTCCATCCCCACTATGCCCCGGCCCCACTGTACTCGCTTTTTATTTATTTATATATTTATATCATAGATTAAATATTATACTACTTTATGGTTATATTAACTGACTAAGTTGTTATTTAGCGGTCGGGTCTACATAATTAGTAATTACATGATTAATATGGCTTTTCGAAATTTGTAGCTGGTGGTCCTTGCTCTAGAGTCTTGGAGACCACAATGATAATTCAAATTTGTATTTAACGAAATCGGTTCAGTGGTTTAAAAATACGAGGAACAAAATATGTTAAAACCACGCGAATAGATACAATCAGTACAGGTGTACTCTGTTTGCTCTTCACACTAAAATGTAAATGCTCACTTGATAAATGATAATTTAAACCCAAATATTAGTTATACATTTTAATTTAAGTATTATGTAGGTTTTCGTTTGAAAAACGAAAAATAAAATAAAAGTATAATATAACAAAATTCAATTCAATTCAACACCAGTTCATAACATTTTAAACTACTGTATGAATGTAAAATAATAATATAGTTTTATTAAAACACAGGTCAATAAAATTTTACAGTTATTCAAAATATTTCGCTTATGCTAATATCCATAAACAATTGGTCTGCCATTAAATGATTGTAGTGGTCTATCATTTTCGTTAATTAAAACCCCATGGTGACTTGAATGTAAATGTCTGAACTCTTTCAACTTTAATAATACATAAAAGATATAAAATTAGATTAAATAATAATCTATCAAATATTAATTAACACATTATTTATATATATATATGTATACCTGTGATCTTGATATTTTAATTGGTTTCGTAAAAATAATCCAAATTACACATTCCGAAAAAGGTTCTGTCGTTAAAGATCCATGATACGCATAGTAATGTTGCTTTAAAGCAGTTCTTTTTATAAAAGAAAATTCCTCTTTGAATGGTCGAAGAATTGACGAACCAGGTTGTGTTAGATATTTTAGATCAGCAATAAAATTAGCCATTTCTTCATTATCGTGTGTAGATATCTAAAAAATATGTACAAAAAAAAAAACTGTTAATTTTATAGGAATAAAATAGTCAATATCATTCTATTTGGATTGTATGTCATATACATAATATTTTTAAATATCATTGAATATTTTAGATCCATAAAAATTAGAATTACATATTTATCATGAATACGTAATCTACCTATATATTAACAGCCTCACGATGTTTTGTAGGACGTAGGTATAATGTACTTACAAGTTTCTGTATGAAATGGTTAAAAAATAGAGAGGCACCCTGTGTATATATACAGGTCATTGATTTAACGTAAGAAATAATAATGATTTTATAGTTCTTCTTTTGAAAACATACTATGTACTTATGTTATTGTACAACATTATTCTATTAGCAAGTATTTACTTATCTAGGATTTTACAGATCACTATCATTTTTTGAAACTTAAATTTGAACGTATAAGTTGAAAATGTTGACTAGCCTATAATCAGTTTAGATTACATTTTTATAAAGTTCATAGAAATTTAATTTTAGGTTAGAGTGGGAATGCGGTCGAATAGTGAGCGAGATAAAAATAATCACTCATTCCATTAATATACGGTGCTCAAGAAAAACGTGCGAAGTCTAAAAAATGTTCGGGATTTAAAATTAAAAAATTAAAAATTGTATACTGTACAACGTAAAAATTAAAACTCACAAACGTATAGCGACTGATTAAATTGTTGTATGACTTGGGTCGTTTAACCCAAAAAATTGTATGGTTTTTACTTTTTCTGAATCTAGGTATTATCTTAGCGTGAAATAAACTTATTTTCGCAAATGATTGACATCACGTTTTTCCCGAAACACCGAGTTATATTATACACACACGCACATACATTTTTATATACATTGATTAGTTATATTTAAGTGATCTATATTGCCGTCAAGCATGTTAAAACTTAAATGCATACAAATATAAATACATTTTCAGTTTTCAATTACCTGTCCGAAAAATGCGATAACACAAACACCATCACTATAATTTACTGCGTTTTGAAAAGTTCCATACGCTGTGTTAAAATGAACCATATGAATTTCCATTGCATACCTAAAGTAAACAAAAAATCTATTGTAATTATATTTTTTAATTCTAAAATGTCATAATAATTCGATGTATGTATGACGTATGTTAATAAACGATTAAAATGTAAATGACGAAATAAGTAATACAATTAAATTAAATTTTGTATTAACAAAAAAAAAAAAAATGAAAATGAAAACTTCTGATGCCTGAAAAGAGGGTTTCCTCTTATGATTGGTTTCAATCATACATCATGTAATTAAAAATACCAAACATGAAACATACCTATAGTTAAAGCCGAAACGGTAATAACTAATAAGTTAGTCAATTAAAATTCGTACACAAATAAAATTAAAAACTAGCTGATGACATATTTTTTGCAATTTCATACCTATCACTTTTAAGTAATAAACAAAAAAAACTTTTAGAAAAACAATGTTAAAATGTATATAATGCATCTATACTAAATGTTTTTAGTGGTATACTATAGTTTGTATAATATCTATACTAATATTACTATCTATAACATTTAACAAAATGGATAAATACATGTATTGAATTTATTTCAAATAAATCAGGGCTTTGAACATCAAATAATAACTTAAGCATAGGGTTTTCGAGTATTAAAAACTGGTTTTGGGTACTGAATACTGCTTTTAAATTGTTTAACGATTTCGGCTAAAAGCATAATGTAATTTGGATATGGGGTTTCTAACAAATTTATTTTTTAATATTTAAACTTTTCAAATTGAAAAAAAAAACTAAACATTTTTTAATTTAATTTCTAAATAATAATAAAATTGTTTGCTTTTCTCTTATAATTTGTATTTTTTTTTTTAAATTATGTTTAGAGTCAAAAATATTTGTAGGTTTTTTTTTAGTCTAGAAAACCTGCACTTAACACTATTATTAACCAACCGATTCCTAAACGGTTTTTGGGTTTTGTTATTAGACGTTCGAGAAAACCGGTAATGGACATTTTTTTTCGTTTCGGATAGAATTGGTTTTGTGTTTTTACGGTGTCTGATATCAGGTAGATTCGAGCTCATACTTCAAAGCTCGGAAACAAGTTAAATTTTTGTACGATATTTTGTTATTTGATTGTTAAATAATCGAACACTTTCTGTGTACTAACCGAAAGTGTTCAATACTTAACCGTCACAATTTGCCGCAACAAATCTATAATTTTGACACTTACTGAAATCCGTTGACCTTATGTTCGCTACCTAAATCGTATTTGCCCCAATGAAAGTGCATTTGAACGAATTCGTATTTGTCGTCAAAGAGCGGTCCTCCAGTAACAAACGGTATTGCTTCAGATGTTTTTGACAGTGTAACACAAACTAATGGTATGTAATATAGATATATATTGTACACATTATGTAATGACATTTTTTCCCTGACAGTTCTTACCTGTATGACCGTTGTTTGTTATGTTCATTACGGAGTTATCGAAAGTAAAATATCCGAAATAACGCAAAAATGGTAGAAATCGTCGTTGTGCATTTTGCGTAGATATGTCGACCGGAGACTGTTCGGCATAACCGCGTTCTTTCACGACGTAAGGCCAGTCGTCCAGTTCTGTGTGTGTGTGTTTGGTAAAATACAACACCGATAACAAATAATTACATTATATTATAATATATATTAATATTGTAGACATATTATATTATATTATTCTACCACAATACTATTCCCGAATGGCGGACCAAAAGTCTGGCGAAAAAAAGTCCGAGGACAAAAAGTGCGATTTAAAAAAAGTTGGACAAAAGGGGTCCGGATGGCATTTTGAAAGTCGGACAAAAAGTCCGAATGTATTTTCACCACAAAAAAAAACCGATATTTTATTATCTATAGAAAAACTGTTTACCTATTATTGAACTGTTATCTATTTTATAAATGCATGTAGGTATTACCTATACATATTTTTTAGTAGATACGTATTGCAAAGTGTATAGGTGTAAAATGGAAGTTATTGTTTTAAAGGAAGGAAAAAAATTGTACACAATTATTCGTATACCAAACAACACCTACTAGTACATTCCATTCGATGGAAATGTTCACAAAAAAGTTTTAAAAAAATGCCCAGCGGTTTTAGTGACATCCATCGGTAAGTTTGTCCGACTTTCAAAATGTCATCCAGACCTTTTGTCCAACTTTTTTTAAATCGGACTTTTTTACCGTTTGCCACTATTCCCGCAGATTAATTGTGAACCATTCAATCAGCAATTTTAATTTTAGTTATTAACCATGCATAATTAAGTCATTTCAGGTTTAGGTGGAAATTGGTTTTGTCGCTATTTAATGTCTTAAGCTGTTTTAATGTTCATGATACGTCAACACAAATACAAACAAAACTATTGTCACATGAAATACTAAAGAAGTTGCGGCAATGTCACGTGTTTATAGAGTAATACATTATTATGAAATTTGTATAATAATAAATTTATTTTACTAAGCTTTTTTTAAATTAGAAATTTAATGTTTAAATATAGTTAAAACTTAAATAGTTATTTTTGTAGTCTGGAGGGCTATACTAACATAGACGTATTATGTTCGAAAAACAATGGTGATTTTACTTACCACTACTGGTCGGTTGCAATGCTGCAGGAGCAACCAATGTTAACCACAGCGCAAATGTTTTCAAAATCATTGGATGACTGTAACAAAATATAATAAAGGAAAAGAAAATATAATGAGCTGCTTGGCACGGCTGATTAATCCTATGTAAATTGTAATTATGATAATGGTTTTATTCCTATCCACAATAAAGAAACTATATTTAGTGGGGTCAAGTGGGGTATTTGTAGTTGAACGGGGTACAATATTTTGTAACTAAACAGACAACAATACTAGTTTGTATTACATATTTGATATTTTTAATCTTAAACCTACTTAATGAAAAAGTGTAAAAAGGTAATATACATAATATTGTGAAATTTCAATTTTTTAAGTTTTAATTTCTTGCAATTCAGACCTACTGGAATTGTAAGTTGTATTTACGTAATTTCTGTAACTCACAACCCACTATTAACTATAGGTATACAAATATAAAATCTTCTTCTTTATTTTATTTACAAATTTTATGAAAAATCACAATTATAAATCAATAATATTATCGAAACAATTTTTATCTTTAACAAATATTTGTATTTAAAAATATCTTGACATAATGATAATCACTAATCTAGAAAAAATTAAGCAACACTTATGCTTATATATAGTAAAGAAATAAAATAATGAATTATTTAATCTCTAGTTAATTTTTTTTTTTTGTTAGTAGGTATTTATGCTTATTGTTCTCAACAGTTTTACTTTTTCCTTAAGATTTTCAATATTAAGGCTGGCAAAATTTGACATAATGAGATCGATTACTATAAATGCGTTTTTTTTAATCAATTTTATCAGAAATGTTGAAATAGTGTTTTTGATATTAAAAACCTAATTAAACTGTTAACACTTTCTATGCATGGATTGTAATTTTAAAAATGTATTTAAAATCCAAATAATCAGGTATGGGGTAATATAGCATAACATGTAATTAATACTACTTACGTGTATTTTTGTTTTTAGTATTTAAAAAAAAGATAAACGAGGACAAGCCCGAAATAACGAGCATTCCACAGTCACCAACACATTTTATTTTGCACAACTGAACAATCACTGTACTTATCCAGTTTATTTAACCATCGGTCTATTTGTGTATGTCCGGTGAGACAGATTGACCATGTTAGTAGAAGGGTATTTTAATTGGCTAGCTTTGATTTATTGCGACATAAAGGGACATTAATTTATACGGTAAATTGAATAATTCAAATTGTTGCAATATGCGTTACAAGTTATAACGCAGTTCTTTATTTATTCAAATTGAACATTTTAATATTTCTGTTGAATATAGTACATCAATAGGTAAAAAATATATAATTTCATGCACTTTAGTGAATTTAAACATTCGAGAGTTGATTTCTTCAAAACTTTGGTACACGTCGAATTTAAAGAATCTGTTTGTAATATTAATGTATTATCGTAATTGGTATACTTTATATAAATACATATTTTAAATCAATTATAAATTTAAATATAAACACTAAAAAGTAATAATTACACATTGCAAAACTACACACTATTAGACTTCTAATATGTTGCCTAATTAACTTGTGCCTTGAGACACCTATCCTGGTTGTGGTATGTATTATGACCAATATGCAAAACTTATAAGATTTTAATAAATCCATACTGTACCACAATTCAAGTAAACTAATCACTGTTTTCATGAATATTTTTTTAATAACTGAATATGTACAAAAACAGTTTTCCTTTCAAATGTATTTATTTTGAGTCATAAATACAAGAAAAGCAGTATCCCTTAAACATACTCTGCATCCATCTGTTTATGTATGATGTAGTTAGTTTTTAAAACAATTAAAATTTCCTTAGCATTATATTTTATTAGTAGGTTTTATAGCATTGCTAAAATGTTATGTAATTTTTAGACTAATGAGTTAAAATGACTAATCACATGAAATCGAATTATTTATTAAACAATTTAACCAAAATCTGTTTCCACCGTTTTTCACTCTATTCAGTCTATTTAAATGTATTTTATGTAACGAATTCTTTAGTAAAAACAAAAAATAGATTTAATTTAATCAACTAATTAAATTTATCCTGTGGTAAACTACAGTTTAAAAATAATAATTTACTTAGCAACCGATAAATAATTTTTTAAACAACCTTTCGCTGGTATTGGGAAGAACAATCAGACGATAAATGAAATTATTCAACATTAAGAAATAAAGTTTTAATTACAATACTATAAAACACTAGTGTCAAATTAAGATTTTATACAAAAAATATCTAGGACAATCGGCTCACAAATCGCATAAAATAAATTAATTTATTTTCAGTTGAAAGGTAAACTAACTTTCATTATTACCATATTTATTAATTAATATATTTATTATTATATTCATGAGAATATTTTTATAAAACTTATTCTTAAGTCCTAGCTGAAGATTGTTCAATAATTACTATTTGTTTTAATCAAGTTTATACACCATTGTTCTTATATAGAATCAGTGGCGAAGCTACCATGGTGGCAGGGGGGGGCAGCTGCCCCTGGGCGCATTCTATTTTAGGGCGTTTTTGTACGGTTTACTATACACGTTACAAATGTCTTGCTCCTGGGCGCTTTAGTCTCTATAGTTACGCCACTGTATAGAAGTAGAATGAGGATTTTCTAAAGATTCAGTTCCTTTCGACTTTTTCTTTTCACTTACTAATTACTACCCAACTTCAAATCTATAGAAGTACTATAATATAATATACCTATACATATTTTATTATAAATTATACAATTATAAACTATATACTTAAACCCATGTGATGTTTAAGGTCGATTGGGTTGAAAATAGCCACATTTCGCTGGATTCTCCAATGAAAATTGTTAAAATGTATTTATTATATGACGCGCCAAGTTCTAAAAATTTTAGGTTTCAGCCAAATTTGAGCTTAAAATTGTATTTTTAGTATTAGGGTGGATACAATTAGGGTTATCCCATAATAATAGTTTGCCGTTGTTACTAATACATCGTATTTAACAATAAAATAAAAGTATTTTCCCGGTACTACTCGTAATTATATTAATTGTACTGACGGCGGAGGTCCTTCAGGATACCCTAAGGCCTAACTAATACTTACGGCTCACTACTTACGATTCGCGAGGAAACTGATTTTTTTGGCTATTGTAAACTTCACCCAAGTAATTGATAGCACAGACTGCAGGTAAGAAAATGGCACAACGTACAATCTGCGCCCCAATTACTATCGTTAGTAAAAAAATGTTTATGTCTAAAGTAACTACGTACAAACTTCAGTAATTAGTGTATATGTAATATACTACATAATGCTATATAATGCATTTGTGATTAATCGATATTTGACGAGTAACGAGAAAACTAACTAGTAAATAGCGCAGTCGTAAAATACAGACCGTTCAACAATATTATTACCAATCGTAAATCTGTGTTACATAGTATTCGAGTAATACTGTTTAAGTACTATTCAAGTAGGACTCGACTTTGTGATTAACTACATACTTAATAAATGTTTTAAATTGTTCATTTAAAATGTGGTGTCTATTTTAAGATCCATGTATTATTTTTATTTAAACAAGAAATGTGTATGATTTTACATGGCTTATGTATTGATTTTAATTTGTTTACACGTTAAAATTAATCCAACCGTCATCCACTCACCTGTAATTTATTATACTAATTTTCTCCAATATTCGTATTCCAAATCCATCGGTAGCTGTCGATTACTCCTGCCAGCAGGTTCCATACGCAATTTGATATCTCCTCAAACTTGTCGTTGTGAAGAATAGTAAGCACGAGTGTGGGTATTACTCGCTGAGTAATGATTAAAGTGCATGCACCATTCGATAGACAACTGTATTAATTACGTGTGACATGACAATGGTAGTGTAGACTTACCCGTGGAGGAAAATTCGGGCTGGGAAAGATACCGTTGTAGCGGCCTAGACCTCAATTATCTTGTGTGTGTCCGTTGCTTATTTATTTAGGTGTTTTTTTTTTTCATAGTGCCGTTGCCGAAATACACCTCAACGTGCTTCGTTTTGTCTTTCCTTGTAAATATTGTCACTGACGATTTATTACGCCAATTAAAGTGTTCATTCTTGTATTTTAATTCGGTAGGTAGGTTAAGTTTCGTACGAATGATATAACATCATTAGTTGTAACAAGCATGTCGAAAGTGATCGGCAGGTATTAAATTATACACATATACCTACAAAACCGTAAGCCTAAATAGGTAAATACTAAACACTTTAAAAAAAAACAGTACCGTAAATATAATTACCTATTTTATTGTGTTATAAGAATATAATTAACGTTCAATTAATAAAAAGTTAATAACAATTAAATATTTTTATATAAAAACAAACAAATTTCATATTAAATTATAATAATTTATAATGGAACTGTATTTTAACTTTATTTTAGTATACTTATTTAATTAATTAAAATTGTCATAAATGCCTATTATAAGTAACAATGGCTTATTTAATGTTATGGACATTATTTCAAACGTATTTAAGGGTTTATTAAAAAAAAAACATTTTTCATTATTATTTATTAACGATATTTATGTACGAACTAATTCAATTTAGCTAATATGATGTCGGTTCACTAAAGAATTATAGTGATATTTATAATACCAAGGATGAATAGTCGTTATTGATTTTTAATCTTATAATTGACATTACATTGTTTTATAATACTTGTATTAACTAGTTAATACGTAATAGACAAATTATTAATCCAATAACCACTATCAATATTTGAGCAAGGCGGAAATAAAACACCTAACCGCAAATAGTGTTTCTCAAATTATCGTTCGACAGCTGCACACTGTATAAATAATAATTTGTGCTACTATTGAACACTGTTATTACATTACAGCCAATGAGGGTGATTGTATAACAAAACGGCTCTTCTGTTTATCCTAATTTATCTTTCTGGTGATATTTACCTGTTAACTAATTATTAACTGTAATTTATATCTAAATTTGTTCTATCAACTTAAAAAACATAAATGCACCATATGGCTGTCATCAATTTTTCATTTTTAGATTCGGTTAAAAAAAATTAAGCGAAAATGTAATAATTCCGTTTTTGTTAACATCGTAAATTAAAAGATCTGTTATTTTAAAATTGAGTTTTATTACGTAGATTTTTATGAAGTTTTAATGTAGGTTTTTACATTTTTGGCCTTGTCTCGTATTTAGAGTAGTGTAAAAAAAAAAGACTACACCACTGAAATGTACATTGAACATTTTAACAGATAATATGTAAATATCAAATATATAGGTGATTTTACAATAGTATAGCTGTTATGGTCCATAGGCGTAAGCGCAAATAGGTATTATGTAAATTTAATGTAATATATTATTTACCATTTTTTAATGTTTCTGACATATTTGCATTTTGCGTAAACATAGTAATAAATTGTTGATTATTTGATTAGCGAAAATGCATCATCGGTATTGTGTGTTTTTTATAGGAAATTTAAAAAATGAACGAAGGAAAACACGAAACACGAACAATGGATACAAGCCAAAAACCATCTAGATGTTCTGTTATCCTAGCTAATGTGTTCAAAACTCATATGGGTAGAACTATATTTGACGGTATTAATTTTACTGCATTTAGCGGTAAGATGTAAGTGAAATCATACTTTTAAATTCAGTATTTACAACTGCATTTTATATTAAAATGTAATACTACAGTCAATAGTTACAGCTCCAAAGTTTATCTAAGGACGGTACATTTTAAAAAACATTAATAATTATACAGCGTGCATTTTTCAGCTTGTTAAAATAACATAATATTAAAATTAAAACATTTTATGTGAGTATGTGACCTATCAAAACAATAGTTAATGAGTTCGGTAATCGTTTGGTGTAGATAGATTATAATAAAAATTTCATAATTTTTTTGTTCTCTAGTCACTACTTAAAATAATACCATAAGTTGTTGCGAGACATCACTCTTTTCAATCTTCAACTGAATACCCTCCAAATAAAATGAAATGTTGATAGTAAAATAATTTAAGCAACGACAGTAGTTTTTGCGTTGGATTTTATATTGATAATTTCGTTTATGGTAAACTGGGTAATTATTTTATTAAAAGTGTATAAAACAAATTAGGAATCATTACCCGATACTTGAAAACTAAAACCTTAGTTGTTCTTAATGGAATTGTTACTGGCACACTCGGTAGTCGGTAAAAAAAGGCCAATAATATTATAAAGAAATATTTTTAGCCTAGCTGAAGCTAATGAATCGTTGTGACGTCAGGACTGATATGAACTGATGGTGATGACGATAATGAAGGAAATGATTATTCTACTATATAATTGTATTTAGTTGTTTCTATACGGGCAAAGTTTCAAGTTCAACTTATGTCAATTATTGAGGCGACTGTCAATCGATAACTAAACTCAAAGATTTTATCTTGAAGTGGTTTATCATCGCTAAAATACATGATGATAGTCACAAAGCTTTAAATATTTAACGGATCTTTAATCTCTATTTTATTGTACTACTAAATTATGATAACTCTATACGGTATATAATTTAATCATATTCAAATAATTCAGATGCGCTGTTCTTGGAGGCATAGAAAGTGGGAAATCGATGTTACTATCTTGTATCGTTGGTGGTAATGATTTCGATTCGGGACAAATGTGGGTGTTGGGTGGAAAACCTCAAACAAAAAGTAGCAAAACATTAACAAAACACGTTGGGTATATGCCTCAGGTAAGTAGTTCCATTCTTACATTCGATGCATAGGTAGTCGTCAAAATGATGAACTAATTGCCTCCGAAATACTGGCCAAATTAACTCCGGTGATCTTTATTTCTTATTGTAACATTTTGGGTTAAAAAGTACTAGTTGCCTCTCGTGTCAGGTAGTCAATATTTTTCATCCGAGTTGCTCCCGAGGATATCTGAATTCCCTCCCAACGATCCCTTTTAAGCCGAATTAAGTGTATGGGGTACATTAATTTTTTTATAGTTTTATATACATAATTATAATAATGTGGATAAAAATAAATTGTAAATTATTTTAGAATAAATAATCGTAGTGTGTATTTTACATAAAATTGCACAAATTAAATAAAAATTTAAACTATAGATACCACCTACTGCTTTAATATATAATATCATTGATATCGTATCTTCTTCTTTATCGTCGTCCCACACTTCTAACTACATGGGGACGGCCACCTTAGTCCCAGTGGCGTATTTTGAACAACATTTTGGGGATGTCCATTTTTTTTTGTACTGCCCGGTGTCAACATGTTACATTCGTAACATTTTATCTTTCGTACAGAATGTTTTTTACTCTCAATCTAAGCCACCACCCCCTTCATTCAATGATGACCACTAAAAACTTATTTATGTTATTTAATATTTATAATATAATTTATAGGGTGAAGGAAGGTATTTTCGTGGCATAAGCAATTTCGTGATATAGTTTGTTGATCGTATCGCGTAATTCCCTATTAGAAAATTGTCTTGAAAATCACACTGATTGTTAAAATAACTGTGTTTTAAGAATCATTGTGATTTTCAAGACAATTTTCTAATAGGGAATTACGCGATACGATCAACAAACTATATCACGAAATTGCTTATGCCACGAAAATACCTTCCTTCACCCTAAATTAAAGATTTTTATTCGCAATATATTTTGATTATAATATATTCTTTGTATTCTATTTTTTTTTATAACATAACTAAATTAAATTAAACTATAAAATCAAGAAGTCATTTTTTTATTTAGTTCTTGCAGTACATCGTCGGTCTCTACGATTACGGTTTTTGCTAATGCATATTAATGCCGACTGCCCAGGCCAATTATAATTTACACAAATATATTTTTGAAAGTTTTAATGTAAAGTTATGTAAAACCTATAGAATGCTTTTGTCTTTGTATTGTTAAATAAGTGGTTTAATTATAAGAAAAAATGTATACATTTGTTGTATATTTAGTACAAATTTGTCATGTGAAATACATTTTTTTTAGCCAGGGGTGGCCAGACACCGTGGACACCCTCCCAAAAATAAGCCACTAGTTCTATACCTCTATAGAGCTCGATCTTCTATACCACTCTCTATTCCGTCTATCCATCTTTTTTCCAGTCTTCCTTTTGCTCTCTACATTCATCTTCATAACACCTCTTACTGCCTCTGCCTCATCTTTTCTCATCTCTTCTCATAACATGACCGAACCATCTCAACTTATTCTTTTTCATTTTCCCCGCAATTGATGCAACCCCTATCATTTATATCGGAATACACACAGATAAAACCACACTGACAGCCGTCAAACGTAGGTAGTTACTTTGTCATCTTTTGTTGGGTTAAAAATGATTACAGCATAATGTAATATTATTATTAAATAAATAAATAAATACAAATAAAATATTCTAAGGAGAAAAAATATTTTATACCTAACGTGGGAAGCCACTATAATACTTTTTACTCAAAATGTTACAATAAGAAAGTGAGGCAATTCGTACTTTTTAGCAGACAATTCGTATGCGCTCCTTACATTTTGGTCGCCTTTTGAAGAATTGGAGAATATTCAAAACACACTTGAAATAAATTTCAAATTTTTATTTTTTTCTTAAGGAGTTTTGTTTATATGAAAAAATGACAGTATTAGAGCTGATTCTATACTTTGGACAGTTATATGATATAAATTCTAAATTTATTTTGTGGCGATTAAGATACTACAATGATTTTTTTACTTTCCCATCGTCTAAATCACTCGTAAAAGATTTGAGGTAATTATTTACATCAAACTATAGTCTATACTCTATAAGTATGTACCAAAGTTATTATATTATTGTAATGTTTACAATGGATTAAAGTTACAGCGAAAAGCGAATCGTTTCATTTATAATAACAGTGTTTCACAGACCTCGATTAATCGTTCTTGATGAACCTACTACTGGTCTCGATACTTCAAAAAAAAATCAGTAAGTAGATGTATCGTAATATATTATATGAAATGTAAAAGTATTTTTGTATGGTCATAAGTCATTGTGTAAATGCGTTTTACGAAAGGGAGATGAAGTGTTAAAGATTTTAACCATAAAAAATGTAATATAGAACTATTTAATAATTGTAAGGAAATTACGAATAGCAAATAAGCACAAATTTAAATGGTAGAAGAGCATCGCATTCATTTTACATTAAAGCATGTTTTTATGCATTAAAAGTGCGAAGGGTATTAAAAGGACGGGGTCTACGCTAAATTAATTTAAGTATCCGGTAAAGGCAACATTTCGCAATCTTAAGTTTAAATTAAAATATATTAGTTTTTATATCGTTAAATATGAAATACTTAAACTTATAATTTATAACGTTACTATTTAAAATGTTTTTCACTATTCATTGTCATACACATATTATTCACGTAGTTACGAACCATTACATTTTATACCTACTGTGAAGATTAAAATGTTGGTGATTTTTAAAAAAAACAATACAATACTACACTCGTCATCATTTTTTTTTTTAATATAATGATTCAATAATTTTTATTAAAGTAATGTATGAACAGATGAAGAGTTTATGATACGCTTTGCGATGTTGGCCGATAACAATTAACAATTAACAAGGTCTTAAAATATGATGGTGCAGAAGTATTGAAATATCTATGCTAGATCGTTATGGATAAATGATAAAAATTAACAGGTCAAAATACTTAGAGAGAATAGAAAGATATGTGTATTAAGGGGTAAAAGATAGGCAATGATTGACATAAATTAGTCTAGGATATATTTTTAGTATGCCAACTAATTAATGGGTAAACTAATTAATGGCCTCTTACTTTCTGAGTTTTAAATTAAGTTTATTCATCTAACTTAGTTTATAAATAAATGATTGGTTTATTTATCTAGGTATAGTTATGTCGACATTTTGAAGAAAAAAATGACTTTTGAATAATTCATTTCCTGGTGTATCTGTTGAACGGATTTCAAAATAATTTTTATTAAAAACAAAAACTTTTTCAATGGTGTTAAAAAGTCGATTGAAGAGCCATTTAGTTATTCAAAAATATATTAAATGTATCAGAAAAAATCTATACAAAATTGAGACAATTATTACAACATGTGTGCATTAATATACGACTTTTTAGATGATATGTTAAGAGGACGTTATACCCATATTTTTTAAGGAGTTAGGTATAAGCAATATTTTGCACATAAATTCAATTTTTTTTTTTCGTTAAAGATATCTTGAGTGTGGTTTTATTTGACGGATTTTTTTATTGTAGGTAAGTTAATGCGACAAGAGAGTCACTGATAATAAGTGTTTTATTGGAAGGAATTGATTCGGCGTATAGTATTGCTTCTTTGGTAGTATGAATTTCAGCCGTGAAGATACTGACATCGGGAGAGAGTTTGTAGAGTTTATTTTGGAATCCACAGCTGAATGCAAAGCCTATGTAAATTTGAAGTAGCTGAAGTCGGAGCTTATGATTTCATTGGAAATTGTAACTATAACAGCATGTAGAGTGAGGTTTTTGTTTTATTGGTGCATCTGAGTGTGATAGGTTTAGTAACTGCTTAAAATAAATATTTTGCATAACACATTGCATAAAACTAAAATGATTATTGTTATAGAGTTTGGTCTTACATACATCATATGATTCACACGTGGAAACCAACCATAATTGTCGCAACAAATAACGTCGAAGAAGCATCACTTGCCACTAATGTAGGTAACAATTGAATTTAATATAGAGTTTCTATTAGATTACTATTACAATTTCTTCTTCGTCCTCGCCTTACACTCCCAACTGCATGAGGTCGGCACCCTAGTCATACACCTTTATACAGCTCGGTCTTCAACACCTCGTTCAATCATCCCAAGCTATCCTCAATCACTCTCTATTACGTCTAATCATCATTTCTTTGGTCTTTCTTTTCCTATCTTCCCTCTACGTCCATCTTCATAACAACTGTCACTCTCTCTGTCTCATTTCTCCTTATAACATGACCGAACCATCTCAATTTATTCTTTCTCATTTTTCCCACAATTTTTTTAAATTTAAATTGTGTAAGCTTGTAGAAAACGTATAATAATTTTATGTCAAAATAAATTAAAAAACTAACGATCGTTTCAATTGATAAACACTAATCCTTAATAGTAACAATCAGCATTTAACTATTTACTAAAACTGAATTATTATAACAGTAATATTAAAAATTGTGCAATTAACTATTATTTTGTGTCTCTACTAGTGTTACATACTAAACAATTATATATTATATATATATATATATACAAATATTTAAAATATTTAAAAAACCATACTTGATATAACATTGAGATTATGGAGCATTTGTCGTAAATGTTAAGTATCATTACTTAACTTATTATCATTTGCTTTTTAATTAATTAATTATCCGGCCAAATTAATATTTGTACCGATTTTAACTATCCCTAATTATTACAAAATCCCGATGAGTTTATTTGTATTTTCAACTACCTACCATTTTAATATTATTATTTTCTTTTACGAATACAGTATGTATTATTTAAATTAAGTCACAGTTTTGGAACGTAACGTGTAACATAAAAAACTTACAAAAGAACATAGAAAATTATTACTACTTTTAAGTAGAAATATTGTACTCATTATATTTGTATCCTACTTAGATAGTGTACTTAAAAGACGGTAAAATTATATTTGACCATGACGTATCCGACTTAAAGAAAAATCATCCTAATCAGTCATTAGAACACATCGTTGATATACTGCATACTAAAAGAATGGCTAATTTAAACGTAAGTAATAGTACTAGACTGACAATAGTAGTATAAGTGTCTTACTGAATATTACATAGCTTATTTTAAAAATGTATTCATTAAAATTTAGGTGCATAAGAATTGTCAAAGTAAAACCTCGATTTTACCTTCCCTTGTACAGTGGTATATTTAGGATTTCATTGTTCTTGGTTGATACTTCCTGATTAATTAACTGCTACCCTTCTGCTGACTGCTGTTAAATTTTATTAGTAGATCTCTGCAGTAGCTCTTTTAAGAATGCCATTTGCCAAGATGATGACAATAAAACTCGGATTTAACAAACATCTGTATAACCGGATAATATGTGGATTGTAAAAACCGATGAAAACTGGTTTTCTTTAATTATCCCCATAAATGAGGCATAAATTATCCCCATAAATATTTGAGAAACAACGTAAGTCCAAAAAATGTAATTAGGAGAAAACAATAAAAAACTGTTTTAACGCTACCAGTGTTATATATCGCCGAAACTGAAAGGTCCAATGGAAAGTGCTCGTTTAGGATACACAACTTAGAAAAAAAAAAAAATATTGACCTCGTTCTGGCCTTGCGGGATGCATTTGAAATTGCTGGACTTACGTCATTTCTCAAATACATGATTATCCGTCATGCAAAGGTGTGGTTTTATTACTGTAGTGAACACTCTGGACTTATGTTCGTTCTGAAATACACGTAGTTAATCATAAATAGGCGTGTCTATCTATAATACTAAATTAAAAAATATTAATTTTTCACCTTTATTCCAATGATGAGTAAAAAAAAAACTACTAATTTACTGCAATACAATATTTTTTATTGATAATTAATATAAATCATTAATGCTTTGTTAAATTTAATTTTGATATACAGAATTAGTATTTCGAAAAAGAGAAAACAAAATTAAAAACAATGAAAAACTATCTTAAAATTAAATATTTCTCTCCAAAACTTTTACATATGATGCGTATATCAATATAAAACGTATCCCATGTGTTATCTCATTTTTCAATATTTGGTGACTTACGTTGTTTCTCAAATATGTGGTTCAAATATAATATAGTCCGATTAGTGGTAATATTCGGTAATATTGGTACCTATCCTATTTAGGTACAGAAATTGTTCGAGAGGACGTTATATATTTATTATTTTTAAAAACTACTGTCATAAAATAAAGGATTAATCTGATTGTTTGTAAAATATAATTATTTCATACGATAGGAGGACGAATGGCTTCACTCAAACGAATCGAAAATGCCACACGATAAAGTAGTAAGTATTATTTATATTTTGTAGTTTTTTAACATTTTTTTTTTTTAATTAATTAAACTAATTATTAATATTTTTTTTTCTAATAACTATGAAACTTTTTAGTTAACTAACGTCGAAACATTAACCCCAAGAACAAGTATATGGAAATTAAAAACTGTAACGATTAAAAATATAAGGGTTTTACTAAGAAGCAGGTGGTGAGTATATGAAATAATTATAATATCAAAAATTAGTATTACCGAAATGCTAATTTTTACATTTAGGTTGATATTTCTTCTTTTTATCCTACCTGCAATTCAAACACTATTATTTTGTATGCATTATGGAAAGTTTCCTAAACCAATTCCTATGTCTGTCTTTAATCAAGAATCTTCATGCGAAAATCAATTTGCGTGCAAACATTTATCTAACTGTACATACTATTCTTGTCTTTTGATACATCTATTGCATGCTTTTAGTATTGACCCGGTAAGTAATGATAAATTATTCATAGTCATGTATGATGTAATATTTTTATAAAATAACAAATGGAACGTTCCACGTGAAAACTACACAATTTTTATTTAAATTTCTAATTTTTTTTTCACAAATTTTAATATTTATTACCAGCTATATAAATATCTTTAAAATACTGCTAGGAGCCATACTGTTATTTTTTATATATATATAGCTTTATTTATTTCAGGTTTTTTTTGATAATGTATATGAATTAGAAGCCTCAGTTGAATCATTTAAATCTTTTGGATATATAAAAGTACCAAAAAATTATACACAATTGATCATTGAAGCTATGCGGAAAACAGCAACACCGCAAAGAAGAAAATTATTTTCGTCGGAACTTTCTATAGGAATTGACATGACAAGTATAGATTTATCAGAAGTTTAATCTTGAATCTAGAATAAACATAAGGATGGAAAAAAAATTTCAGGGTTAAAATTTAGCGATTATCTTAACAAGTTATTGTTGAATTGTTATAATACATTCTTAACAAACGTTTATGAACACTACAACCTATCTAAAGAATATGCTGATTTACCTTTAAAGGTTCAAAATATGTTTAATATAACAATTGACCATTGTTTCATTTTACGATATCTATAATTTGTTTGTAGATGTACGAAGACAGAAATTTAGACATTGCTGAAAATACCGCTATTGGAATAATATCCTGGTATGCAAACCCGATATTCAATTGTTTTACTTTATTTAGCCTTATAACTCATAGTCATAGCTGTATATGTTTATTATACTTTGAGACAAAAATTAGGTAGGTACATAAAAAAATTACTTGTAGTTATTTTTTTTTAACTAGGTATGAAACGTATTAATTCTCAAATCATTAAAAAACATAGAAATTTAACATAAAAATAACTTCTAACTAATTATTTTTATTTTTCTAGTCATTAATTTAAAATCACCTACCACAAAATATGTTTATACTTTATTATTTGATGCATATAATAATGTATTTTTTAATACAGACAAAGTTCGCCCAATTCTGTCACTAAGTATAATTTTCATAATATTAATTTTGTAATAAAATTTACGAATGTATGTTTTATGTTAAATAGCTGTATATTCACAACAGCATTAATTCATTATTCATTGACGTTTCATCGCGAAATTATAAATGGAAACATGTCAAGAAATATAATAGCTGGTATACATTATTTTAATTTGGTTAGAATACAACGCAGGGTTGCCAGATTATCATCTATACTCTATTACAAAAATGTCCTTACCCTTAGCAATAGTTTAATTATAATAATATTAATATTTATAGGATAGTCAATGTTTTCCCTAGAAAACAATTTAGCTGAAACATACACACATCATATACATTCGACAACATCTGACGATAATTTGACTTTCCTGTTAAGTAGCTAAGAACGTCAGATACGTTTTGTTGCTGTTAAGATGGCGAGATGATTATCAGATTGCAAGTTTTGTGTATCAGGATCCAAACAACCACCCTTCGCCCCACGGCCACAGTTCTAGAGAAAAATGTATTGTATTCGGACACAAAAAAAGTCCATCATTGTTAAACCAATACTTTCTTAGCTTCGAGTAAAGCTAAAATATACTTATTTCAGTTAAGTCAAAATGGAATAAGCTAATGACAGTCGCTCCTCGTCCTCACGTTAAAGATTTAAAAAAAAATTATTTTTATATATACGATCTCGATATGCATGTGTAACACATGCCCTCCCACTATTTTTTAACACTAAATCAGTGAAACACACCATGCGTATCATACTTACTAGTTACTTCCGAAATTTAAAACCAAAAACTTAGTTTTCATAATTTTTTTTTTATAAAAAGGAATAGCTTACCTTGACATCACTAAATACCAGACTTGTGACCTCATCTTAGGCTACAGCATGTATAGCCTTCAACTTAGTAGGTTTTTCTCTTGAAAATAACGAAGCGTAAAGACCAAAGAAATCAATGTCGGAAATACTATTTTTCAACATATTTTCACTAAAAAGTAAAAATGTTACGAAAATTCTGGCTTTACAAAACTTGGTAGTGAAAATTTAAACATTATAAAAAAATATTTTTAAAATTTAAGTAAAATAAAAAAACCCAACCTGTGTGATTATTTCCAAAATGTAATGTATTAAATTTTTTTAAATGTTGTAAGATGGCAACCCTGGTGAAATGTTGTTCTGACAATATTGTAAGATATTTTACACAATACACATCATTATTTCAGTGGCGTATCTAGATGTGATAGGGTGTAGGGGGTTGTATTTCCTCCAGAAATTACATTTATATAAAGAATGGACACACATTTTTATAAATTAAAAAAAATTGCAAATGTCTCCCAAAAAATATTTCTGGATACGTCAATGATTTCTTCGTAAGTAAATCTGTCTGAACAACGTAATAAAGATTCATAAATTTTATACTATACATACATATTTTAGAATGTTTGTTTATTATTACAGGTACAACGTTTTTAGAAATTGTTTTGTCCTACTTAATATTACAAATCATTTTTTCATTAGTACAAGCATTTGGTTTGTTCTTAATAGTCGATTTCATTTTGTACCTTACGTGGCAAAGCTCACTACTGTTAGTGGTCATACTTAACGTTACATTGAGTATCTGCGGAATGAGTATGGGTAATAATATATAATACATTTGAGTGTAAGATAGATAATTTCTTTACATAGGTACGTTCATGATTTTAGGTTTACTTATTGGTGTATCCATGAATGATTCAAATACTTTATATAATATTGCAATTGCTTCTTGTCTATTAACTGTAATTTTCAGCGGTAAATCATTTAACTGACTTACAATATACTTGATATTACCTACATTAAAACACCTAACTGAAAATGTAATACATTTTCAGGTGTCTTATGGCCAGTCGACACCATGCCACTTGTGCTCTATTCCCTTACAGAACTATTACCTTTGCACGCGCCAATCGAAATATCTAGAGGTATATTAGTAAACGGCCGCCGGGTGAAATCATTAGAAGTTTGGATTTCATTTTTAAACTCATCTTGTTGGATTATTATATCTTTTATTGGTGCCGTGTATATGCTCAAAAACAAACCCTTGAAAAATAAAATAAACTTTACTTTTTAACAACACAATCATAATTAAAGTTCAGTTTATAGTTAAGTAATACGTATAAACATGAAACATTGGATTATTGGAAATGTTTATATTATAAATATAGGCAGTTAGAGAAAAACAACAACAAAAGAGTTTAAAAGAACAAGACCGACACGTGAAGGATCAGCAGAAGCAATATGTTTAGAAGTAAGAACCAGTTAAAAAAAAATGTTAAGCAACTCTTCCTCGTGAATAATGTTCAGTTCAGAGGAAACTCAAAAACACACGTCGTTGTTACTAGTGTACATTAATTATTATTATTAAATAAAAATAATTAAACTAGGCAAACTGAAAAATCAAATTTTAACCGTAAACCTCATATTGGTGATGTTTTGATATAAATGTTTTTATGTGTGATATATTTGTGTTTTCACTCGGACATAGTATAGATTACAGTGATGCGTTAAGAGTCAAAGGGTAGGTAATATTTGACAAAAATTGATTTAATAGCTATTTTAAATATGCTAATTAGCTCACAGGTAAACGCATATTAAGTTTTTCTGTTACAAATCTAGTTATTATTTTCCGAGCTAAAGCAAAAGTTTGATAAAAAAAGAATTTCTTGAAGTCCCTTTTTGGCGAATCTATTGGATGAACTTTTTTTTTTTATATTATGAAGATAAATTCCTTCTTTTTCTTTTTGGGCTAAAAGGACGATCTTTGACTTGGCTAGGTAGATTTGTTAGAAAAATTATTAAAAAGTAAAAATATAAACGCCAGTAATAAAAAATAAAAAATCGACTTTTTATAATGGAAATATTTAACTACATTCAAAGTTATTAAAGTAAAAAAATTAGGACAGGAGAAAGGGTGAAATGAGTATTATTTTTACCCGTGAGCAATATTCTACCTCACTTCACCTACAGTCTAAATTTTAAACTTAAATAACTACAATTAATTATCCGAATAATCAACATGTTGTTCATAATTTAAAAAGTTAATTAAATATATACGTGACCATTTAAGTTTCAAAAGTTAATAGAGCTCTGAAAAATAATGAAAAGTAAATATTATAAAAGTAAAGTAAAAATATTTATTAATTTTATAAAATTGTAAAATAACAAAAATAGAAAAATGTTGTCTTTGGGCTAACATTATGTCCAGTGAGACTTAAAAAAATACTTATTTTGAAATTTCAATTGGGAATTGGTACATCATAGTACCGCTTCTGCATGTAAAACTTTTTTAATCGGATCTATTTTAACCTGGATCTAATAATCTTTAAAGTAACTTTTATATTATATATTATATTTATTGTGGTTCTTATAATATGTATACAATTCTTTTGTCCCTGTGACCTAGTCTAAGAATATTATGGACATTGAATTAAATCATGTTTGAAATTGTTTACATGGTTTATTTAAAATTTTGTAAGTACATGAAAAGAAAATGTCATGGTATCCATAAAATGTATTTTTGATAATAGGTCAATAATATGTAAAAGAAAAATTGTGAAAACTATCCTTACATTTTTAGGCGAGTCAGTTGTAGGGGATCGTCTGTCAAAAAAATATTTATGTCATGTAACATTTATTACCTATAGCTTAGAAAAAAATGCATATCAAATTACTTCCTGTCTGTTGAGATTTGTTGTATAGTATAATCGCATTATATTATATATTAATATATTACATATTTGATTAGTGAAAGCTAATATTTTTATCTCGTGATCGGTACACTACGCGCTTGAGATTAGCATTTCTTTAACATATTATAACTATATGTACACAAAAATGTAATATAAATTTCATAATATTAAATTATTATTTATTATCATTTATCACAGCGATAGTCTAAAACGTACGCTGGCCACGAGCAGGTGAATTGAACCGTTTTCTACCTGTTTACTACGAGTATCGTGGCCACCAGTAGTATAAAATACTAATCTCTTTTTTATGATATTACCCGTTGTGAAAATTTGAAAACGATTTGTTTTTTTTATTAGTATTGTAATCGAGTAGACAAGACTATGCCCCGTCTGTCGAACCCTTTGTCCCAATGTGTAGTAAAAATCATAAATTTTCAACATCGCTGTAACCCGGATTTTCGTACAGAGCGCTGTCCACCGAGTTAAGATGGACGATGTCCACGCCACGGACAATAAAAAAATCACTACTGCCACATTAACCTATGTGGCACGTGCTATGTAACGATTAGTGTTTTTAATGTAAAATACCTATACTAATAAACCAATTACCGAACTAATGTGCTCGAACAGAATCCACGTGTCGCCCTTTCACCCTGATAAAAGCACCGGCATGATCAAAATATAGTCGTTTTACTAATCGCCTCTAGAACTAGGAACTGCCTATGAATTGTAATCCATGAGTATGGCATCATTTTTCGACAGGTTGGTGGTGGCCGTCACCGCCGTCGTTGGGTTTTCTGTTGAAAAACCGTGATACCTTGACTACACGGGTGGGGGTAATATACCGTGACCCCGCCCCGCCGCCGCCCGCGTAAACCTTGCAGCTGCTGCTGCTGCACCGCCGTCCCCGATTTTTATACACGCACACTCGAACACAAATAATCGCCGCTCTCCTTTTTTTTCTTTCTTTCCCGTTCTCCCTCTCTCTCTCTCTCACGCTCACTCGGTGTATACCAGTTTTTTTTTTTTACTCCTAATGGCGTCTGCTATCATTTGACCCGATCCCGTTTTGTTTGCGTGCAAGCCGCGATCGTTGTTCTCGTCGGCGTCAGCAGGTTAAATTCAAAAACATATCTATCAAAAGCCGTTAGTTTCGTCGTATCCAACGTACACTTTCGTTTTGCGCACTACAACAACACCATGTCCACCAAACGGCAGTCGAAGGGCAAGGCCAACGGAGTGTCGCGCAAAAAGTCAAAACTGGTCGAGGAAGACCCGTTGGACTTGACCGACGAAGAACAGGATGACGACAGAAAATCGTCCGACGACGAAGCCGGCGACATGGCGGCAGAAGAGAACGAGTCCATTGTGAGTTTTATTAGTCTTAATCGGTGTTGCACGACTGGTCCATTTGGCAAACACTGCCGTTCGTTTAACTTGTGACAAGTTTATACCGACACTCGTCCGGTACTGCAGGCCTGTGGCCAGAAGTTGAACAAGTAAACCCTCCTATATACGACTGGCATAGTATCACCTGGGGGCCAGTGTTTGACAAATAAATTAGTCTTGTGGGACCAGCTTTATTTATTAAGTTACATTGCCTCCTTGTGGTATGCTTGCTTGATCCATCGAGACACCCGTCATTCAATTGTGTACGACCTATGTAGTACGTAGCCCGTCTGAAACTTACTAGAAAAATTAGCTATGCTATGCTTGTTATCTGCTTATCAAACTGTTCTGATAGTTAACAATATTTTACACACAGCTTTGAGTAACTAAAATTTACTTATTTAGAATCTGTGAATTAACATTTGATGTAATGTTCGACTATGATTTTGTTTTCGATAACAGTTGTTTTAGTTGTGATATGTTCTTTAAATTGAAATACATTTTAAATGTAATTGTGACTAGGTACTGGAAATATCGTCTACATTTTGTATTGATTAGACTAAATATTCACTAAATACAGTAGAAATTGATTATAATGATACACCAATTAATATGACAAATCGGTTTACATGACCAAAATTTAAATGTCGTAGGCTTTTATCCATACAATTATTTTATACTTTATACAATTATGTATATAAAATTATTATCAATAGGAACCTGTTATGAGAAACGTATATTTTGAAAATAAAATATATATTAATTAACTTTTCTTGTAATGAAGCTTACATTTATTACTTTTTACATATTAGTCGATATTATATACGTATATATAATAAAAATAGTGTATAAATATATTACTTATTTCGATACATTTATTGAAATAAGTATTTTGATTGTTTAAACTCATTTTACTGTCATTGTAAACTGGTAATATTATCCCTAGTTAGTAGGTAATTAACTATATAAATTTATATAGTTAAAATATTTTACTTATGTTTCAAACAATTAATAAAATACAATTTTGTTTTAAGAGAGTGAAGGGTCCAGATCATATTGGTATTGTACTCATAACCGGTGGTACTAATTGGGATTTAAACGGTCGTAAAGCTGTGCCAAAAGGAGGCAAGTCAGTTGGACGCAACTTATATGAGCCCCACGTATTCGTTCCACTTAAAGACACTCGTATTCGTCATGTCGTAAGTGGTTGTAACTCATCACACACTATTTTCATTACAGAGGAAGGCAAAGCGCTGTCTTTAGGTATATAATCAATTGAAAAAATTCATAAAATTTTTTTTGTGTAAAAAAACTTTTTTTTTTTAAATTTTAGGTCGTAATGAAAAAGGTCAATTGGGAGTGAAAGATTTAAACAGACGGGACATACCGACTCCAATTGAAGGTTTACCTGATCACGCTATTGTTAATGCCGCAACAGGCCGTAGCCATACACTTCTTCTTACTGGTATGTTATTGAATATTTTTGTACAATAACAAATTTGTTGAGAAATCCACTGCTAAATACATTGATGTATCAACAAATATTACTTAGTATGTTAATGTTCATTATGTGGATTATATTGCAAATTCAAAATGTTCAAATTTTAAAAAATCAGATGTAATACTATTAAATGAATGGCGTTATAGTGTAGTATACACTATACCACACTAGTTAAACTAAAATCTCGATTTTTTTTTTTGGGTTAGTTGCTTTCTGCATAACACCGCCATTCAAATGTGATATAATATAAAGTAATGATCTATCATTAAAAATTATTAGGCATATAGTAGTGAACAGATAATATATAATATGTATACATCTACTTGTTAGGTAGTACCACCAATCTAAATAGATACTTATTTTTGGCCAAAACGTAGTTTATAAATCTGAAATGTATAAAAACAATCTGTATAACAAAAAGTATTACCCTTATTTTGGTTTGATACTGTAATGATGAATTCATTTGAAGGGCTGAGAGAAAAAAAGATCAATGTCAATTTTTTTTCATTCTGAGAAAATCATGTTTTTAATTTCAAAACGTAATACATTTTACCTGTATTCCTAAACTTCCAGGTCGTTACCCTCGACTAATCAATTTTTTCCCTGGTTCGAGCGCTTAAAAGATACACTACGTCAATACAAATAACTTGATACCAAAATCTCATTTTCAAAAAAAATTGACATTGATCTATTCCCCCCCCCCAGCTCTTTATTTGTTTCCCTCAAAAACTAAAATGAGCAATATTTTATTTCACATAATGTGCAGTGAAAATACTACTCCAACAATTTTGAACTGCAATGGAATTATTCAATTCCTGACGTATCCTGAATTATACATATATTATACCAACATTTAATTCAGGTGTGACTGACAAAAAAGTATAATCCAAATACTTGTATCATATAAATTATATTATTCTGAATTTAACAAAATACAGAATATTTATACTATTATTAACATGTTTCCCGTATTAGCGTATCATAAACTATTCGAGTACAAAATCCAGCCACTTGGGTGTTAAGTTGGATTGTAAATACCATTGCATATTATAGTTTTACGAGTGGATAGACACTAATAATTATTGTCTTATGTTTGACAACTAACGGAAGGTTCAAATTTTCAAATAAAAGCTTAGTTAAAAATTATAATTTTTAAACAAATTTTAAATGTGTAAAACTTATTTTTAGATTTTATTGCCCAAAGAAATTTAAATATTCAACAATCAATACAAAGCACATTGAAACTGTATCTTTACATCTTTACGTTGGCTTATCCGTTTATTATGAAACAAAAATGGTAGTAAAAGGCAAAGAAAGAAGGAATACTCCCTTTGACAGAGTTTTAAATTTAATAGGACTTTAAAACTTGTAATAATAAATTGGGGGTTGTTCATTTTTCTAAAACAGAGGATAGGTAAGATTAGGAGATTTCAACATACCTATACATGTTTGATTTTGAATTGTAACAATGATATGCACTTTTGCTTGTTTTTCGAGTATACAAGTTAAAAGTAAAAATAATTGTGTTACGATAGAAGAGATGCATCATATACATTCTTAAACTATGCATGCAGATATTAATTAGACAAAAGTATTTCAGTTAAGATAAATGTTCTAATGTTTAATATTGTAATATTTAAAGATCGTGGCGCAGTCTACAGTTGTGGTGATAATAAGAATGGTCAGTGTGGGTTGAAATCTAAAGAACCCATGATTTTAACAGCAATGAAGGTCAGTAACTTTAAATTTAAAATATAATACAAAACTAAGACTAAACAAATAAATTTGTCTGATTAATTAAGCCTATTAATGTTTTGTCTATATTATCAACAGTTTTAATATGATCTAAAGTGTAAAATTTCTCTGCTCTAATATTTTAAATACTTGAGGTGTTGCATGGTAAAGTCGGCGCTATCTACAGTTCTGTAATTTTTTGTATATTGCAAAAATTTACAATGCGCATTAGGTACTGCAACGGGCACCTACTGTTAAAGTGTTTTATCTCTACGGATAATCATTTGTAATAAGAATCGGTGTAACCAGTAGATGCGGCATAAACTATTCAATAAGCATGTCTATGAACTTGAATTAACATTAAAAGTGGAAATTGCTGACTTAGCCAAGCAACGCCCTATTTATTTATTTATTGGGAAGCTGTTTTACATGATTTATATTATGTAATACAAATTTAATATGTGTTAAGTTATACTTTTTAAAGTATATCTGAGTCAACTTAGAATCATATTTGCCTCTTTAAAAGTAAGGGGCCAGGCATGTAGCACGCACAGGAGAACAAGATAAATTTTAACTAATGTCACGCCTGTTAGATACATTTTCTTAACTCTCCTGAAAATTCCGCCTCTATACTACTACCCTTATTAAAATATTATGAAACAAATGTTAAATAACTTATTTATTAATAACTATTTTTTTCTTTTAATAAACAATTTTCTATAGTCTAGTTGAAATTATTATTGTTAAGTTATTTATTCATACTTTTTATTTTACCTTAATGTGTCCAAAACACCAGCATACACTTTGCTTTTGTTTTAAATTTTATTCGTAATTTCTTGTATTTTTTTTTCTTGAAAGGGTTGCACTCAAAACATTGATAATTTAAGTAAATAAATATTCAAAATGTGAATAATAATATTGATAATGTAATTATTTTTTATAGGTTAAATATAGTGGCCCTCCAATTGTTAAGGTTGGTTGTGGTGCTGAATTCAGTATTCTGCTCGATTGTAAGGGAACATTGTATTCATTTGGTATGCCTGAGTATGGACAACTCGGACACAATACGAATGGCCAGTATATTGAACGAGCTGGTGCTATTCAGTATGCTGTAGTTAATCAACCTAAAGCCATTACGACTTATGTGGAAAAAAACAAAAGCAAAGTGGAAGTTCTACCCAAGCCTGAAATCAGAGATTTTTCATGTGGAACAAATCACACGGTAATGTACTTTTAAAAATGATCACAAAAATCGTTTTCTCAGTATAGTAGTAGTATTTTTTCTCCATTTTATTCTAATTTCTATATGTATAGGTTGCGATAGATGATCGTAAAAAGACATACTCTTGGGGTTTCGGAGGCTATGGACGACTAGGACACGCTGAACCAAAAGATGAAATGCAGCCAAGATTAATTAAATACTTTGACGTTCAAAGAAGTGGTGTGAAATATGTAGCATGTGGCCCTGCATTCAGTATTGCTATTAATGAATTTGGTTTGTACAATTTCAACTAGACTAAAAAAAATTGTTTATTAAAAGAAAAAATTAGTGTAAAATATTTTATTTAAATTAAACATTTTTATAAAGTAAATGACGTGTTATTATTACAGGGGCTGTCTATTTATTTGGTCAAATGAGTAGTAGAGGTGAAGCCAACATGTATCCAAAACCCGTACAAGACCTTCATGGCTGGAGCGTACGTAGTATCGGTACGTGTGGAATAGGATTAGTTGCAGCCGCCGATGATTCGTGTATATCATGGGGCTCCGGGACTAGCTCTGGAGAACTGGTAACTATAAATCTGGTCCAATTTAAAAATGCCACTTAGTGATAAAATCACTTTCAACAATACCCTGATGCAAAAGTAAAGATGATAAAAATGATTAAATTTTATTATAACACATTTAATGTGCTTATAATAGTTTTAGTTATTTGTTTTTTAGGCTCTCCTCAAAAACAAAGTGTGAATACAGATTTAAAACATTTTTTTTTTTTTTTAATGGTAACATGCATTTGTGGGGAATAATAATATTAGGTACTGTCGATTTTTAAATTATTTATTGTGTATAAAATCAACAAACAATGATTACAGAATAACTATTATTTAAAAAAAAATGTGCTACATTAAATTGATTACTCTGTATAAGTATAAAATACCAACAAAAGTCGCAATAAGTAAATATCAACAAGTAATAATTTTATAAGAATGAACGTAATTGTAACTGTGTTTTTAGTTTTTTTTTTTCAGCTTTTCTTTAAAAAAAAAGTATTGACTATAGTTTTTTAAATTAATGTTTACCTTAATCTAGGCACACTAGAACTACCTTCCGTCTCATCATAAGAGTTTAAGTCCTAAAACTACACCTTAAAAATGGAAATAAAAATTTGCACGCACTTTGGGGTAACTTATATTACTTTTATTATTCATTTTTTAATGATAGTGTACTATATCTAAAGAATATACCACACAGGTTTGGAATTAAAATGACTTATGACTCTGAGAATGGGCCGTTTGGTCGCTGAGATGGCTATAATTTTAAATTTGTATGGTGGCTAATTTTCACCAAATGATATCTCTCTCCTGCCACTGCCACCTTACTGAATTGGCTACTCGTTCTCTTCCAGTTAGGAGCTAATTTAACTTTTTTGAAAAATTATGACATTTCGTAATTTTAAGTACATTTTTGGGATGTTTTTCTTGATTTTGAATCGAAAGGATTTTTATTTTTAGGGTTTATAGGGCTGCTACATGAACCAATAGGAGCAGCGGCTTGAGAGATCTTTTCTATATTTTATCTCGATGTCATAGCCATGGTACTTCCCCTCCCCACCCCCTATTATAAATTTCTCGTTACAGTACTTTTTAATGTCCAACATTATTTGTATAATTTAATATTGTGTTCAAAATTTTTAGGGACTAGGTGAATTAAAAAAGTCCAGTGCAAAACCATGTGAAATGAAGAAACTTGACGGTGTGTACGTAGAACATGTTACTTGTGGAGCTTCACATACAATTTTACTGGCTCGTGATGAGTCGGAAGATGACAAAGACAATATTGCTTCATTGCCGGAGTATAAACCTGTTGTGGGTTAACACAACTCGCTAGGTATATAAAAATAAACAAAAAAACAACCCTTACAATTTTTTTACTAGTGTTTAAGAACCAAGTGGTATTTAATAATTTTTTTACTCTATAATTTAATATTTTTTTTACAATACGTTTTGTTCCATTAGACTTAAGCTTTAATTGTAAAGTAAGCAGAACAATGTCGATCAGACCCAAGTTCCTGCTAGATACATATTAATGGTCTGTTCTTAATTTTTTTTTCTTATTATAATATTATCATTTATAAAATGACAAGTGTCCGCGATTATACATAGTAAATAAGAAATTATACCAAAACAATTGTTTTTTTTTCTTTGTTGACATTATGTCAATAAAGTTAATTGCCATCCGAGTTCACTAAGGTAATAAAAAAACTTATGAAAAGTTAATCTAAAAACGTTCATTTACTTGGTTTGATTGTTGGAAGGAATAGCCCTTTTCAAAAATTCTTGGCATTTTATGATTTATTCTTGCAACAGCAGTAATGTTGTTTCTTTTTGAAAAGTCATAGAGAGCCAAGGTTTAAAAAATGTCTAGATAATTAATAATTTCCTCAAGAATGACACTATTGTTCAAGAAGATTATTGTAAAACAAAATGTTTGTTATCATAGGTACCTAAATTTTATTTTTATTTTCATGTGTATTGATGGCAGAAACCTACTTTTACCTGTATATAGGTTATTTATAGAATATTTATGTTTTAATGTTAGGATATAACAACAGATTGTCTGCAGCATTATATCAACACTTATAAGGCAAAATTCTTTTTTGGCGGTCATATGTGTGATATATCGAGAGTGTAATCACACTTTAGCATCCACTAAAATTTTGCAAAACCAGACATTTTTTTAAATTATTTGTAAATTTGCTTATTAGTTTAATTACCGAGTCTAGGTAAAAGTAATGGATTAGAAAATAAGTTTATATTTATAATATTTTATTGGTTATTACAAAATTAATTACACTACACAATAAATTAACGAAAACAACAAAATGAAGTTAAAACCATATTACACTATTAATTTTTCAAAAAGACCTCCTAAAGTTCTTTCTTTATAAATACATACAATTTATGGAATATAATAACAATAAGTAAACGACATTGGCGATGAAGATTTAAAATACATTCTTTCTTTATACACATCATACATAATGTATAAATATTTATTAGAAATAAATAGGAACAAAAACCCAAAAAATTAGTTTGTTACAATCTTTTTAATAAACATAGTCAAAAAAGAATTGTTAACATTTTTAATCCCCATTACATAGAAAGTAATTTTGTTACTGGGAATGTGTTAAGTATCTATAACGTAATAATAAGTCAATAAATATGATAATATATACATAATGAAAGGATTACAATATGACTTGTGTCAGTTTTACGTTTGGGTTGGAAAGGGAATAAAGGATAACACACAAAATTATAGGTAAGGAGGCGGTGGCGGAGGCAGTTGTGGCCAGCTACTACTGTGTGGATAACCATGTTGAGTTGCAGCAGCATTTAGCCAATCGTTACTATCGGCAACTGTGTACCATCCGCCACTGTGATAAACACCTCCCATTGCCATTTTCGGCCAAGTGGGTCGGCTGCCGCCAGGCCCAACCCATTCCTAGCTGAGACGTTGCCGTTTATTTTGTTGTCCACTCTGTTGCTGTAAGTGCAGTTCGTCCTGTTTGATTAAACGATTGAGTTGCTGAAGATTTTCAATTATATCATTAAGCATGGCTAACGGAATTTCATCGGCGTAAGAGATACTCTTCAAACGACCGTTTTCTCGCAGCACGGACAATTGTTCACTAAACAAATTAAATTTATTAGAAACCATTGTACTGCTGTATACATTTCAACCCCGATGTATAAACTCACTTGTTGCCGCTGTACAATGCTATTTTCAGGCCTTTATATAATAGCATACAGCATCTCTGAACACTGCAGATAGGGAATATTGCTTGCACTAAATCCTGGATGGTCACCATGAGATCGGAATATATATATGGTTTAGCGTTAATGCAATGAATTGTTTTTCCTTGAAGAGTAGCTTTTTGAATCTGTAAAAAAATGAATACTTTATTATTAAAATAAATAGCCAGCATGAGTAATTTTTTTTTTAATCCATTTGAAACAGAAATTTAAAATGAACCGTAATCCTTAGATTAAACATACTTTGTAAGCAGCGTTATTTTGTGAATCGTGCCCCCAAGCTCGATCAGGGATTTTTTTCAATTCCCACCCTCGGCTTTGATCTTGCACAGGAGGCTGAGAGGGTGGTGCTGGACTGGATGGCGGTGATGACAAGTCGATGATCTCAGACGCCTGAACAGGTACAGGTGCCGGATTAATGTTTCTCATATTGTTGCGTTGTTGTGTGTTTGACATTCGAGAGCTTGGAACGCTTGTTGGCATCGGTTGACCATAAGATTGAGGAGTTATCATCTGGCCTTGGCCACGTTGGCTACTGTTGAAGAACTGTCGAATCTGGCCGTTAGTCGGCATTGCACTGTTGTTTACCATTTGATTATACATTGTAGTCATTTGCTGATTCATGGATGCATTGGCGTATGAGACAGGATTTCTGAAAAAAAAAAAAAAAATATATTACCAAAAAGAAAATATGAAATGTTTCTACTGGGAAAGACGTTGGATTACGGATATGTCTTTTGGCAAATCTGTGCACAAATCTGATTAAATTTGGACCCACAGCCAAAAGTTATGTCAATAAAAAATCTGTTCTGGTTTTTTTTTTAGTTCTTACCCAACAACAGGAGTGGTTGTGTTTGTAACTCTGACCAATGGTGGTGGTTGGTTATGCGCATTCATATGGCCATTGTTTTGTAACATTTGATTACCCTAAAAGTAACATTACAAACAACATTAAATATAACATTTACAAAATATTATTTTCAATTCGTTGTAAAGAATACATTATTCATCTATCAATCACATCAATTCAATATTATTTTGTATATCAATAAGTGTAATGAGATTATTATTGCTAACTCTGACATTTTATTAGTTTATGAAAAAAATATAAATCCAAGAAACTTAGCATACTTGGAAGCACAAAAATGAATAAGGAATATTGAGGTATATTCAAGCTATTAATTTTAAGTGTTAATTTGACGTGCGTTTGAAAAAAAAAATTAGCAAATATTTCTATAAATGTTTAATCATCGCAATGATGCTAAAATTTAGAATAATGTTTACCAACAACAGAATGTTTCTTTTTAATGAATTTAAACATATTATAACTAAACTATGTTTATCATTTGACATGAATGGTAATAATAAGATTTAATTTTTTAAGTATTTCTAACAAAAAGATATCCACCCATAATAAAAATATATACAAAACATTAATTTTCAAGTGCTCCAAGTGAAATCAATAAATACACATAAAAATAAATATTTGTTTGTAAATGTTTGTTTGTTTGTTTATGTATGGTTTGTCACAAATTTAAGTTGGTTTGGGTTTTCCAACAGACAAATGTCGAAACAATATTCACTTTATACAAACTAATAACTTAAGAAAATAAAGAAGAAAAGTACCACGTTATAATATTGAGCTGCTGCACTTTGGTTTCTGGAAACAGCAGTATAGTTACGTGTTGTCTGAGCTTGTGCGCCATAAGAATTTACCTACAAAAACATTTTTAATCATTGAGAACAGAACACATAAGTTTAAAAAAATCACTTAACTAAAAAATAAAAGTAAATTAATCCACAACCGCAATAATTTAGGTTAAGAAAATTAGCACTATACTTAATATTTTGTTGGTCTATTAATCAGCTAGATTTATCAATAAACAATTTCTATAAGTTTATAAAAAAAAAACAAAAAGTAGAAAGTATATGTAGCCATCCATTATACAAAATTCTGAAAAATAATTTTATTTGTATATATTTATTAGCAAATATGTCATAAATAACAATATCTGAAGTAGCAGTCAAGTATATTGAGAAAACTATTGTAAACCAAATTATATATTAAACAAACTTGTATAAACTACTTATTAAATAGACAGTTATTACAGTGATAATAAGGTAATAAAACGGATAGCTAAGACTAACAACAGATGAGTTGATTAAAAAAAAAAACTATGAATATGGTAAAAGTGATATTTTATGGACAAGTATTGTTAGTTTGTTGTTGTGATTTTTAAATTACATTATTTGTCTAGAAAAAATATTCATTGCCAATATCAAATGAAACCAATCAGAAGGAGTCGTTTATGTATTCATTTTTATGTTGCTAAGATTGTATTCAAATTTTTGATGAACTGTTATGTTGGTTGAATGAACCTTTGAAATGATAGTTAACAGATAATCTAAGTAATTGTTGATGTTATATCAAATATTGACCAAAGATTAATTGTTTATTTATGGTAACTTTTAATTTTATCAATTTCTTTTGGTTTATTCAGCATATTAGCAAAAAAAAAATTATGTTCTTCGAATATATTGCATCATATTGTTTAATATAATATGATATCATTTTAATTCTATAATATTGTTGTTATAATGAAATTGTGTATGTGATAATCGTAAAATACCAAAGAAAAAAGTTTTGAAATTAAATATTACAACTTATTTTTTATTAATATTTTTTTCACTATTAGAGCTCAAATTTGTTTTAACAATAAAAATCTATATCCAATTATTCTAAAAGCGTTTTTTTTATATAATGTGCAATAAGACTTAGGAAGTTATTTAGAAGAAAAAACTAAGAATTTAAGAAAAATTGTAAAAGCTATTAAATAAAAGCAGAAAAAAAAAGTAATAATTGTGAACCTATAAAAATAAAGTACTCACCATTTGATTATTTGGCCATCCGTTTTGATAAGTGTTGTTTTGCATTGACATATTTTGTGGTGGCACATTAGGTGTAGGCATAGCAGGATGCGAGAGGACTTTTTCGGAAGCAACCACTTTACTGAGAATCGGTGGTGGAGCCCTTGTCCATGCTCCTGGTGGGTTGACGGTCGTAGCCTTCTGGTTATTAAGCAACTGAGTGTCTACGACCTTAGCTGGCCAGTATTCTTCGAAATTTGTGTCGGGTGGAAAATAATTTTTTATGTCCTCTAAGCTGGTTACTATGCAAGAATCACTGGCAAACAATTCATTTCTTATGCCTTGCACTTTGCAACAGAATTTCAAGTACGCTAAATTCCAATTTTCTAACTTTTCAGAACGTAATCTTAAATTGTCTGTTTCGCCTTCAAAGTAGAATAAAGGAACATATTTTTGGTTATCCTTGATACAATAAGGTACGACAGACTCATTGTTTATTCGTATGAAGCCACATTTTTCACGACGTCCTGGTGCAATGTTACATAGCAACTTTTTGTAACACACTTCTATAAATGCATAAAACTCTTCAACGTCTTCTAATCGTACAATATAGTCTTTGCCGGAGTAAAACGGATCTTTGCCATACAATAAATCACAGTGCTTTTGGTTAATCTCGTTTAGCAATTTTGCTTCACATTCTGTTATGAAATGACTCTTGACTGAAGTACAAGTGTATATGTCTGCATGTAAATAGTTGAGATATTTGCTTAGTAATTGCGTTTCAGCAATTCGTACGGATACAAATTTCAAGTATTCGTTATCGATAACACGTAAGATGTAAGGAACGTAGCATGTATCACCGATTTTCTTCCAACCAAATCTACCTACATTAAACACACGACAAATAATGGGTTCTTATTATTTATCTCAGGGGTTGTTCAAATACTAATGTAATATTTAATTTTTTAGCTTACCCTTAACGCTTTGTTCATCTTCGCTACATACATCTTTTGGAGTAGCGTTGACCACAGCATTTGGTATAGTTATAATGGGAACCGGTCTACCTGCTCTGTTTATATAGACATTGTTAGGAGTACCAGCTGGTTTCGACGAAGCTGCTGCAGCTGTTTTTTGCATATTTTCTTTGATCTTAAGAGCCATAGCGTTGATTTCAGGGTCATCCCGTTCATTTTTAACGCTTATCCCTGCAAGCACAATATATGATAAACTATAGTACACGATAGAATAAATAAAGATCAGAGTATTGATAATAAGTTTTGTAATGTTATATTAAAGTTAATATTAAAAAAAGTATGTTTATTTAGTGTGATCAATAGTAACAAGACAAAGGGATCTTTTTATTAAGAAGATCTTTTTTTTAGACTCAGTTCTAAGACTCGAGAGCTAACAATTTGACTAAAATAAGCCTAATACACATTATAATTTTGTAACACATTCAAAAACTTAAATATACCTGTTCTTTTATTGTTTTTTTTTCTAGTTTTTTATAATTATACATATTTAAAAAATACTTGGGATGTAAATTTTAATATGATTCCATTACAAAAAACACTTTTTTTGGATTACAAAATTATTCAAAAGATTTTGATACATAAGAAGTCGAATAATAAATTATTCAAATACATTATATTCGCATAAAATATAGACTTAAACATACAAACACTGAGAAGTTATTTAAATAATTGAAAAAATTGTTATTCAAATAATTTGGTTTAGAAAGTATTTAAATAAATATGTATTTAAACAAATGTTGATAACATTGTAGGTATGTGTTTTGTTCAATTTATTTTGGTTTGGGAATTTCGTGAATAACTGAATCCGAATAATTTGCTTATCTCAGCTGGGATGTTATAAAATGGTAACAGCGTTGTTTGTTCAAGCACATTTTAGATGCAGCTCATTTATCATCTCCATCTAACCTTGTATACCGTGTCACTTTTGCTCTTTTGTCTTATAACAACAGTCGATAGATTGGCTATTGCTTCTGTATAATAAATTAACCAATACTTAAAATCAGTTGCATTTATGTATTAAAAATCGATTTTTTCCTTGCTACCAATTTTAGTAAAATCCACGATGCCCTTTAAATAGCCTTTTTGCATTTTTATCACAATAATAAAATTATGAATGTAAAGTGCTGTATTATTATGCCGTACAACGCCAGACGCAAAAAGAGGCGTTGAACCTACAGTCTGAGACATCCTCCCCACTCCCAACAACAACGTTTAAAAGCTCTTGATTACATTTAAAAAAGGGGGATGAGCAATATCCATTAGAGACCGCTTTGACGTATTAACAAAAAACTATTATTTTTAAACACTAGTTTGAAAGTCAACACGGTTTTAGTTTTGTTTAAAAAAAATAAATAAGTACAATATCTCGGGTTTATAGTTTTACAAGGTGTTTTTTATCAGCGTCAGTAGAGACAGTTGGAAATAAAATACCTGAAGAGAAAGTTTGACCAAATAAAACGAGCGCCTTACTTCCCGCTTGGAGAACATGTGAACGAAATGAAAGCCTAGGAAAATAATTAAAATCACTGCACTGTGTACGGACTGTGTGGCTCATAATAATATAACAAATACAGATTTCAAAATTAAAATGTTCAAAATAAGTACTATATTTTATGCATTATGCAAGCTGAATTATGGTGGTATTATAATAACAATTAAAAAAATATAATACACGTCGGTTATTTTAAATAATATTGTAAGCTTCAGGGCGAGTTTTTATATGTGTGTTTTTAGTTTTACAAATTTACTCATTAAATACCGTGATTACTATTAAATTTTGCACAAATATTACATAAATCATATTGTCTAAATGTTAACTTCCCATACACGTGGAAACATAAAGCTATAGCTGTTATGTTTTTACTTATTGTAAATGTAATTGTAAAACTATTTTTGTATTTGTAAACATTGTATCACGATTAAGGTGTGTTTGTTTAACATTGTCCACATAATTGCAACCAAGCGAATTAAACAAAAAGCGATATGATCAATGTTCGACTATAGGATACTTAAACCTATGTATACCAAGTATACTGTACACTGTACACAACATCAAACTATCAACAGACAACCTTCAAACTGCTGGCAATCATTTTACCTTCTATGTAAAAGATCGTATTAATTAAAAAAAATAATCGACATGATCATTTCAATCATTTGATTAAATAACTCATTAAACCTATTCAAGTCTTTAGTTGCTAATTTACAATACGAGTTTAAAAAAATAATATTAAGAATTTTAATCTAGAATTTAAAAGTATGCTAACCAAAAAAATAATGACTGGCCATTAACCAGTTTAAAATAATTATATTTTTCAAAGTGATAACAGGAAGTATGGTTAGTGGTAAGCGTTGACAATATTGAGTATGCTCCATCTAAACTTCCGCTTAAACTGCAAACGCCATTTAGAAATAATGTTGCAGTTTGTACACATTATTGTACCAAATTAGTTTGGCACAATAGGTTTGAGCTAAGAGTTACCAGTTTGAATGGAAGACATGCAGGTACACAGATACGGGTAAGTATGTTTAATTAATTCCCGGTTAACAAAAAGGTACCAGAAAAAATATACGGGTATCAACTCAATACCAGGGTATCAGTGAAATACAAGAACTCAATTTTTTTTTTTAACTGATTGCTCGTTTATTTTAACACAAATAATCGAACACTCAAACCCCTAATTTGGGCATGGTAAAGCGAAAAACACATTCTTGGCAATTTTGGTAATAATTATTGTGGAAAGACATCAGTGTTCAAAATGTTTAACTGCTAACTAATAGTTTTGGTGATTCACCATCTAGAGCTAGAAACTACAAAAAGTACTAATTTTTTATTTATAGTAACTACCAGTGAAACATTCTTAACGCTACATACCTAATATATATTAAAAAGTGTCACATAACCTCAAACAAATATTAATTTAGGTAAATTATATTTTTTTCATTTTCCATTTTTTGTAGTTAAAAACAAACGACAAAATTATTTATTACTGGAAATGCAAATATACAAGGCGATATTAGATGAGGGAGGACATAAGATTAAGATTTTTTCAAAATTGAATCGACATATGTAAAACAGCTATTTCAGATTGAAAAAGAAATACAGGCGTCTAAAAAAATTGCATAGCACAATAGATTACTTATTGTGATCGTTGTACGAACACTAGTTGGAGCAAACAGTTTAAAAGTAATAAAATATAAATCATTATCTGAAGTTAAATTCACAACAAAACAAATGTAGGAAACAACTTGTACAGTTAAGACTTAACATGTCAACAAGAACATCCTAAAATGGCGGCTTACCTACCTTCGTGTACATTCCAACTAATAAAAAGTTAACAAATTTCTTATTTTATTGTGGGTTTGTCAATTATTAGAAATTACAAGTGTTCAATAATAAGAGTGCTGCGGTCAAAACAGCTTATTGCTAACATCGCTAATGCTAAAATAAATATTACCTTCTCCCTAGTTCAGGTCATTAAGTAACCAACCGAAAAATGATTTTATTTTTTTGTATTTTTCATTTTAAACGAAACAAAGAACAGTTGCAAGTTGTTGTCTGAAAACACGACACATCTTTGTAATCTGAATTTATGGAAATTGTTAAAAAAAAACATATCTAAAAGAAAAACATTGTACAATAAAGTAAGAAATGCAAATAAATGTTATAGATTCAGATGTTTGACTAAAAACGTCAGATTGTAAGTACAAACAGTCTATAAAATCACACACATACCACATGTCACAACAGCACCTGTAAATTTCGAGTAAAATCTTAAAAATTGTCACAATAAAATATACCTTAAACCGTCTTAAGAGTTAAATAATTATTAAAATAACAAAAACAATAAAGGCGGGAATAAATAATAATTTATTGTATTGTATGTTCGGTGAACGTAAAAATTTAAATAAAAAAATGTATATTTCTAAAAATATATTGACGTTATGAAAGTATTTTTTAAAAGTAATGAAAATGAATGTTTACACATTACGTACTAAAGTTACGTATTTAATAAATTTATTGTAACCTCTTATTAATTTTTCATTAGATGAGCAATGGTATGCAAAATCGACCACCCATAAAAATGCAAAATAAAAAACTAGGTACATTTCATTGAAACGATCTAAAACAAAATACTTTTACCGTCTTTTGTTAAAAAAAAAAAAGCATTAAGTAGTAATGCTAAGTACTGCGCTGTGTATTGGTGTTTTAAAATCACCTGAATGGTTTTTGCATTTTAAAAAATAAAGACAAATCTTTGAGGGATAGTCACTTTCTGCTGACACCTTACACCACTCATATACAATAAATATGACAGCAGTAACCGGTATAATTAATACATTTCATAAATCACATGGCAATATTATTATTTGTATTAAATCCAAAATGGGTACTTCGATTATTTATTATTATTATTATTAGTATCATTGATGTACGCGTATTTATTTAGCTTATTTATATGAAAAAAATGTTATTTTAATCCCACGTGTCGACGACGTTTCTTTAATAGGATGTTAATTATAAATTGAGCTCAATAATATCGTAGGTAATAATATTATGTAATTGTCGTTAAAACAACGATCGATAAATTACACGAACCGATAACGATAACGCGACAACCGTCATTACAGTTGTAATCACCAATTACAAGTGTACCCGTTGTAAGCGTTATCATGGATTGTCGCCTAGCCGAAATTTAAAAAAAAACATTTAACGACGTGTAATAATAATGATAAATTAACGAAATACCTCGTTAAACAATTACGTCACGTAATAACGGAAAACGTTTTCACAAATCAAATAAGAGATAACAAATTGAATAATTTATTGTATTTACCTTCGTTTGCTGGTACGCTGACAACGGCAGTCATTTTTTATATTTATATAAATATTCGCGTATAACGAGTATTGAAATTAAACGTGTACCGGCTTTTTGAAACTCACAGTAAAATAGTCATAATATACATATATATTTAAAATAATCGTATATATATAAATATCGTTATATATAGATAGTGTATATATAAATGTATTATTTTTACATATAAAATAAAGAAGCGATATTTGCGTAAACGTTTTGATTATCAGTTGCACGCAACATGCGTAACATCGTAGCGTAATATATCAATTTATAATTACTAAATATTGAATAATAATATTGTTATTATAATTTAATATCGAGTGATGGCCGGTATCGGTAATGTCGGCAGCGGTGGTAACGGCGGCGACGGTAACGACGACGACGATGAAAAAAATGTACCACGCGGAGCGATAAGAGCAATGACGAAACGAGGCAAGCGGTGCCAACTGTGACTGGTGAGTGAGCGCTCGAAATGTCCAAACAAAGGGGAACCAGTGGGTAGCCTCTAAACGAGGTACGTCGTGAAACGAATCCCCGTTCACCGCCCGAGCCGTTCTCCACAGTCATACGACAGCGGCGGTACCGTCGACCAATCGGATGGCTCCGCCGTCCATTAACATGAAAAACCCATTAAGCGCCGACCCCGACGATACGTACCCGGATAGAGGCTACGGCAGCCTGAGCGCGCATAGTTCAAGGTTTTTTTCTACCAAAACAACTAACAACTGTACACAAAACGACCCCCACCACACCGCCCTGCAATCATCGTATATCACCCGCGAACGTGCACGCACGGCCATCGAGCCGTTGCACGCCAGCGCACTCTCTCTATCGCCTCTATTCGAACCACATTGCTTCGTGTGTGGACTGTAGAGAGATCGTTCCGTAATCGGAATTGCCGTTTGCCAACCGCTCGGCAACGACATTATGCTGTTTGGTTTGCCGTGCCTATATAGTTTATAACTTTCCCCACGCCTCCCACCATTCCCGTTCACTCAAACTGCCTACGGTTCTACTCACCATTGTGACCTAGAGACAGCGCGCCGGATATTATGCCCCGTTACCCACTTTACCCATTACAATTATTGTTCGCGCATGATTTAGTGGTTGGCACGTCTGATAATATATATAATGGGATTTTGGGTTGTGGAATGCCCAATGCCTATTGCCTGCTATTGTGTACTGATCGTACGACCCAGCGGCCAGCCCCCTCCATTCGTACTAATTCCATCCACGTCGAACAAACAATTTCGATTTACAAAACGATTATACAAAATCATGTACTATCAATGATGTTTTTTTATACATTTGTTCATGTAAATTGTATTATAATAATATTATATTACATATTTGGAGATTTTACATCTAGCTCGCACAGTGCCTTGGGCGACCTAGTTAATAACAAATAATACACGTGGCACTTCGTAATATGTTGTTCTGTCTAAATAAAATTATTCTTTCTTAAAAACTATTTTTTTTTACATTTACAACAACTAAAGCGTAAATTTATAGTAAACAATATAATTCAAATTTAATATAATTTTTTTCAACAAAAAAAAGTATTACATTTTTCAGTGGTTGAATTGCCTTGCTTAGGTTCTATTCATTATTTACACCTATAAACAAAAACCATGTATGGGCAATTTAAGTACTTTTGGTGTTAAACAAATAACGTAAATCATAATCTAAAAATTAGTTTTATAATATTTTATACTAGAATCTATATCAAAATTAATTTTTCATTTTAATAATAAAGTTGTAAAAATAAGACAACAAGGACCAAAAAAAATAAATATTTGAAATGTTGAGTCATGAGATGCTGAGTTTATGTAGTGAAGTGCCAAGGCACTTAAACTGCACAAACTAATGTATGGTATTTTTGTGTAGTCAGTTTGCGCATATGAGTTGAGTAAATTATTTAGGATTTCATGTTCATTTTTTGCTTTATTTTTGTTCAAATCTAAACCCACCCTCACTCCGAAAACTGTGCGATTGTATAGTTTTTTCAGGACCGCTTGAACTCGCACAGTTCAAATGTTTTACTGTGTAATCATACGATTATTATTTACAAGCGTGAAGCGCAGTTAGTTTGTGCAAACCAAAGTACGTACAGTTCGTTTGCACAATAACTGAATGTGTAAACCTCCCTTTACACAAAATATTATATACCTATAATCGTAATGTGGTCATTAATAAACAGTGAAGTGATTAAAAATATATTTATACGAGTACAATAAAACAACAAAATTATCATACAGTATACTAGCGTGGTTTCATGTCAAATTTCCAGGCAAATCGGGTCCGGTTTATTAATGTCTAAATTAATTTTTTAATATAAAAAAAAAGTTTTAGTAAATTCGAATTTAAGTAAATTTGTATTGGCTATATGGTACAATTTTCGTTTATGATTTTATAGCAATTTTGAGAGTTGATAGTAGAATGTTTGTACATTTATTTTTTATTTTTAATTCTTATTTCTTACACCGCACACGCACTGTATTGACTTTCCATTTTTTATTACATTTTTAAATCTGTCAAAAACGCAATAGATTTGTATTTTAAACCACGTAAAGAACTTAAAAAATCATGCTTAGTTAAATTCAATAAGCTTACAACATTTTTCAAGTTTAAATTATAAAACATTTTGTCCATCCAAAATGAAATTTCTTACGGATAAAAAGTCGTATTCAATATCGACATTTTGGAACATATTTGATTCTTATACATTGTTTGTTATAGATTTATTTAGTACCTACGAGTTGTAGAACTATTTAACGTTTATAGGCGATTATTAATTATTTTATTAACGTTCTACGTATTTTTTAAAATTTTATTTGATTATTGACTGTATTTTAAGTATTTTAATTCAACACTTAATTTTCTAAGTACATTTTGTAATTTATATTTATTTATTACTAAAAAGTGATTATGAAGTGATTATATTAAGTAACTTGAAACTTCTGAACGTAAGGAACGCAGAAGAATGTGCAAACGATAGAGAGGGTTGGAGACTATGTTGTTGCGGCGATGGGCCTTAAAAGCCTGTAAAAGCCCAGAAGAAGAAGAAGAAGAAGTGATTATTTAATCATTTAACTTAATTATTACTAAAAATTATTTAATTCAATCAAATTTCTATATTTCGTTACGTTATGTAATGCGCGCAGATACAAATAATACTATACAGTCACACTACCCTTCCTTCCTCCCGTCCTTAATTGATCAGCATACAAACCTAATTTTAACAAATTAATTAAATATGCATGTTTAAAATGAAATACTACAATTTAAGTATGCTAATAATGATATTTGACCCAAACTCCAACAAATCTATTTCAATAAAATTATTTAAAATAAAATGCGGTTGCAAAGACATTCGCGATGGATGGTAAATGCTGCACTTATGTAAAATAAACAATTTTGACGTGCTATAAAAAAAGCGCGTATACTCGCATTTAAAACGTCCAGTGTGTAAGTCATTCAACGCTCTTCATGCCTATAAAATTTATATTGATACTGCTATAAAATATAGCTTTATAATAAATGTAAACTAAGTAAAAATGTAATTAAAAAAACTTACAGAATTTATCAAATTTAAGATGTTTTGAATAACGATATGCCATCTATAGTTTAAAAAAAAGTATATTCTTCGATTAGAAAAATGCAATAATATTGTGATAAGACTGATTAAATGAGAATCCGAAACAGTACTGACTAGGTTCCATGATAATAGATATTGTGTAATCGTATTTCACATTATTAACATTATGTATACATAATGGTCAATAGGGAGCGATTTAAGGACAAGTGTTAAACGTGATAACTGACAACTAATAGACAATAGACGATTTTTTTTATCTCTTCTTTGAAATTAAAGTTTCTGAAAGTACCTACAAAATATCACAATTTTTAGGGCGTTAAATGGGAAAGGGCGAGCGGATGAGATAGCACACGACTGCCGCAGTTATAAATAAAGTAGTAGCAGACGATACGATCTGGTAAATTCGTCTGGAAAGTGGAAGCCTGACTAAATCAATCAGGTGTAGCGTACAAAATACGGCCTTCCGCACAGAGTTGGTCATTTTTATTAATGTTAAAAGATAATTGTTAACTTTATAAATAACCATATTGGTCATGAATAAAAATTTAGCTATTGCGTACGAATAAAATTAGTCATGATTAAAAAGTTACTTTATTGTAAGTGCATGCAAATAATATTTTTAGTGACTTAAGAAAACATTTTTGTACAATTATATAATATAATTTTAAGATTTCATCTAAATTAAAAAAACTTAAATAAGACTGAAGTTTACGCATTTATAATAGCGCTTGCCTTATTTTTAAATGGACTTTAAACTAAAAATACTGGATAGAACATGTTTTCGTAGAATGATAATTTTTTTTTTAATAGAGATAATAGATTTAAAAATAAGACATTTTTATCTAAAGTAGTATTTTGTTTTGCCTAAAACTACTTGATTAATAAACATTATAATACTATCCTATCAATCGAGTATTACAAAAAAAAAGTTATTATAAGTAATCCTATGCTAGCTGGGTTCTCGTTTTATTTATTTGATAGAAAATAGTTTGTTAGAATTGATGGTTCGATGTCCTCGATCATTAATGTCGAATCAGGTGTACCATAAGGTGGTCTTCCCTTTTATTTTTAGTTTTTATGAACGATCTTGATAAAGTTTTCGTTCGTCCACAGTGTTTATTGTTTGCCAATGACGTTAACATTTTTACTGATATCTATTAATAATATTACTGATTGTTAAACCTCCTTGCAGATTTTTATATATTTTATTAGTAGTGCTCTTTGAATGGATTGTCTGTTAATTTAATCATATTATATTAATAGATTAATATAATCTATTTGTTTATAATATTGCAGGAATTAATTTAGTTAATGTTAAACATATTAAGGATTTAGGCGTAATTATTTTTGCTGATTTATCTTTAAACGAGCATAGAACTTTCGCTTATAACAAAGCTCTAAGGACTTAAGGTTTTATAAAAAGGAATTGTTGGGAGTTCACGAACCCTATTTGCATTAAAATTCTATACTGCGCGCTGGTTCGGTCTATAGTAGAATAAAGATCTATTATTTGGTCACCTTACTAGTTTACGTTTGTAAATAAATTAGAAAAACTACAACGTTGGTTTTTACGCATGATAGCGTTTAAAATTGGTAAAATTGATGTAGACATAAATGAAATAGCTTCAGAGTTTCTCGCCGGCGAGTTCCTGGCATATTTTAAATCTACGGTCTAGTTAATAACAAAATTTATTGGCTCGAAATTATTAATTTCATTCCCTTTAATGTCTCTTATTTTTCCTTACGTTTCACACCTGTATTCTACAGACTACACCCCTAGCCATCGGCAAAACTTAAGCTATTTCGGCTCGGTCCACCGTATGTTGCTATATAGAATGTATTTAATTAGTAATTACGTTGATTTTTTTCATGATTT